GTTCAAAAAGGTGATTTTTGCACCCCTGATTCTGGGCCAAGCAATCACCGCAGTCACTTCAAAATTTTTCATCGTGCACTTTGGACAGACTAGTTTGATATTCTGGGACTACTGAATGCATACCTTGCTTTGTGTCCGTACGCTGGTGGGGTGATCCATGATTGGACCACCCTAACCTAACCTTAGCAAAAATAGCCATATTTTCTTGTCCTCACAACTTCCAAAGTATTCGAGTTAGAGGTACCATTTTTGGTAGCAATATGACCAGTAAGGTAAACATCTATATAAGATTCAAAAATAGTAGTCAACCCATACTTAATTTCGATCTAGAGAAGATTATTTAAAAAGTGATCCATGTTTGGTAACCTTACCCATAGATGAGTGCTAACTTTTGCTCTAATCACTGTGGCAAAAAGCTGCGGAAAATTACGTCAACAGCTTGTGGTAATTCTCCGTAGCCCCCTTGTCAATATTCTCCTAGGACCCTACAGTATTCTCCTTTGGACCGTACCGTCTTCTCCGAAGGGGGACCACAAAGAACCCTTACGGAAGGTCCGCTCCTCTTCCGTGCCCCGTTTTCCGTAAGTTTTCCCTGCCAAACCACGGATTTTTTCTTTTTTGCAGTGTACCTGGCCACGGCCCCGGTGGAGTGGGAATGCGAGTCGGATCGGCATTCTGTCCCGATCCGTCCGTTCCAGGTGAAATCGCAGTCACAGTCACTGGAGATTCCGAGGATCCTGCTACCTGCGTCGTGGGGAGTGTTGTAGTTCCAGTAACAGGAGAATCGGATGGGGATATCGCTAAAGTGACGAGGGCCGTGCAGATACCAATAGTCGTCACACCAGCTATCCACCAAGCGTACTTCTTCCCTGAGCACCAATCAGAAATCCTCATTAAATACCAATACTGATATTTCTAATGCGATAAGTTTCATTCAGCAAGCAGGGACAAAAGGGCTAAATGCTTTACGTTTTTCAGACTTGGACTGGTTTTGTCCGTTAAATCCTTGGCCAAGGCGGGCGGTTCTCGTCAGACACGACAAAGTTTTTACTCTGTAAAAGGCTATGCCATGAGACACAGTGCAAGACGAATACATTCAAGGTATTACCTTGCTCTCTATTTTCAATCTAAGAACGTAACAACGGTTCTGGGGTCAGGACGGAAAAGAACCAAACACCTTAGGGGTGGGGAAAAATCGCACACCCTATTTTTAGCCTGGTTTACCTAATTTTGAGATCAACTATTGCAGTTACGCGTTAGTGTAGGGTACCAATACTCAGTAGAGTTTTTTTCCGAGCGTCAGTGTGTGACAGTTCTGTCTGAAAAAGGGGTGTGCGATTTTTCCTCGCCCCTCACTGTGAAAACCTTGCTATTTTAAGCCTTACAAAGAAAAGGAGCTGCTAATTTTGAGCATACATAAGCTTACCAAGAAAATACGAAGTACTTCGTAATTTACGAACTATATCTTCGTAAAACAAAGTAAATTAGTTTGTACTATATGCTCAAAATACTTCGTGAGGTTTTAAGCGTGCTGCAGTGTTTGAATCCCCGTAACTACGAAGAAAATAAAGGCATTGTAGAGTTGCTTCGTATAAGAAATGGTTCGTATTACGAAGGGTTTTGCTTCATTATACGAAGCATTTCTTCGTAGATTTGACGATGCCTTCATTTTCTTCGTACGAAGCCGTTCTTCATGGAGTTTTTACTGTGGACCTGACCCTCGAGGGGTGAATCACTAGTATACACATGTGTACAAATTTGCCCCTACTTAGTGTACTCACAAGTTTAAAAAGGGTGAAATTCTCTAGTTTTTCGACCGATTTGACGTTGAGTGCCGTTAAAAACACTAAATAAAGCCTTAAAACGTTTTAAATTGTGAAATTTATGAGTAAACCAAGGTGTACTCACCCGTACTCATGTACTCATGTGAACACCAGAACGCTGAGTGATTCACCCCTCGCTGACCCTAATGTTCTGTTTGCTGGCGACCAAACGAAAATATTCTTTGAAACTTACATTTTATTTGTTTCTGCACTGAACAAGGGACGTTCGTTTTGGGCGACGGCTCTTGGTTCGGAGCCACGCTTTCTGAGCGCCCCGAAGTGTCCGGGGCGTTTGCCAGCGCATTGAGGACAGCCGACAGAATGGGCTCGTTTCGTTGCCCCGCCGCGAGAGCGCTGCTGGCCGTGTCGGACGAGACGACGAACTTTATATTCGTCGGGCCGATGAAGACGTGGTCGCAGTGCCTCGCCGATATATTGCCATATATCTGAAGAGATACAATAAATGCGATATAAAATGACAGAAAGTGCAGCACTGCAAGAAACAGTGTGAATAGTACAACAGAAGTACAAGAACTGTACAATTAAAGTGTACAACAGGGATGGTAGAAAGTACAACGAGAATTGTGCAAACCACGAGGCGTGGACTGCACAACAGTCGTCCCACGCCGGTTCCATTGTACACTGACAAAAATTTTGTCGTAACTTAGCGACACATTTGTCGCTAATTTTTTTAGCGACAAGATTTGTTGTGGAACGAATAGCTTGTTAAACCAAACTCGTACTGGAACTAAAGGATAATTTCACAACGACTAACTTGTAATAACACTAATGTAGACTGCTAATGCAGTCTACTTTCAAATACAAGTCGTTGACCAACAACAAATGTTGTTGGTCAACGACAAGTGTTGTAAGTCGAAAAAGATTTTGTAATGTCTGGGACAAGTATTCATGAAGTACTTTTGTCGCTAAATTTATTTTGCCTAGTTCTTTTTTTAATAATAGTAATGTCGCTATGACTAAAGAAAACCAATAGATGATTATTCATAATTTGCTTTAATTGAGCAGATAATTGCAAAAGATTTTGTTTCCATACAAATAGTATCGTTAAGGGTGATAACAAGAATTTTGTTCTTCAACAACAAATTGTCGCTTACAAGATTCAACGACATTTCTTTCGCTTTGGTTCATGATAAAATTCTTTGTTTTGGAACGACTAAATTTTCACTCATCTGATTGTTTCTATACAACCATTTTTTTAAACAGTGTACTTTGTTTGCACAACAATTATTGTACTTTGAAGGCACAATAAATTTCTGATAAAAATTTGCCAGGAATTTGTGCACTTTTGTTGTGTTTTTTTTTTCTTGCAGTGAGGGATCTGCGCCAGCTACCAAACTCTTTACTTGTCGACTTGCAAATATAAATCCTAATACTTTTTGGGAAGTATAGTGCAAACGTATCATGAGGATGGCAGCTGCAGAACATTACCACAAGTATCGTCACCATCGACGGTCCAAATACAGTTAGATGGCACTCTCATCCTGGCACATCACGTTGAAACGAATGTGACAAAATATCACGTTCCTTTGAGCATGATTCCGAATTCGTTTCGATGTGAATCAGCCATAAATTAGCTTTATTCACGTTGCAAAGAATGTGAAACTGTGCTCAAAGTATCGAGGCATTTTGTCACATTCCTTGTTAACGTTTGTCACGTTCTTGGAATGAGAGTGGGGTCGGTTGTGGTTTGAGCAAATGCTTACACTCTCAGTCCAGGAACGTGACATCACGTTGAAACAAACGTGACAGTCACATTCGTTTGGGTGTGCATTGGACAAAAATCAGCTTTTTCACATTCAAACGAACGTGGCACAATGCTCAAACGAACGTGACATTTTGTCACGTTCGTTTCAACGTGATGTCACGTTCCTGGAATGAGAGTATACAATCGGTTCGCTTACCATAGCCAAAAACGGTTAATATATATGCCAGTTCGATCTGTTGAATAGTAACAGTTTGGCTAAGAAATCACTCCCTTTAACTCCCGTCGATTGTGGTGACCGTTCCGACTCAGTTTTGCTGTTGCCGTCCCCTTTATCGAACAGCAATGCTGAATCTTATAGATCACAAGAAATAACATTCAAAGTCACTCTGTCAAAGCAAGTGCGGAGAACTCCACACTCCCTGATGGGGGCTATTTCTTCACACTTGGCGTGGCGAGTTTGTTTGCAGTCACAAGTGCACAGTAGCTCACAGAGCCATTGGCATATTGCTAACGTGGACGTGGAGAACTCCACACTTGAAGTGTGGAGGACTGAAAATTCCATTACTCCACATTTGAAGTGTCGAGTTACCAGCTCCACACACTCTTAAAAGCCTGCGAAGCAGTGTTGCTTCACAACTACGAAAAAGATGAAGTCATTGTATAATTGCTTTCGTATTATGTAGAAATGCTTCGTATGACGAAGGATTTTGCTTCAGAATATGAAGCATTTCTTCACAGGTTTTACAATGCCTGCGTATTACGTATTCGTATTACGAAGCGATTCTTCGTAGGGTTTTTACTGTGCACTTGCACTACAAACCTTACTGTCTACTAAGTACACACTTACAAACGCAAGCTTGCAAGGACACACTTACTGTGCATTCGCTCAAACCTGAGCCAGCGGCGACCAAAGGAAAAGTTAAACAGCCGAACCCCACCGGGGGCCTCTTTGTCCGAGTGCTGTTCCGGTGCGTTATAAGGGTTCGACCCTTTGTTTCGCTCGTTGTTTGGAAGCTGTTTGCCATCATGATGGCACCAAGAAAAGGCCTGCATAGCAAAGGGTCGCCGCTGGCTCAGGTTTGAGCGAATGTACAGTACAAACGCATGCTTGGCCAAGTACACACTTACAAATGCATGCTTGCCAAGTACACACTTACAAACGCCTATGCTTAGCATGGAGTTAAACGGCGCATCAAGTATACTTGGCAAGCGTGCATTTGTATGTACTTCGCAAGCGTGCATTTGTATGTACTTCGCAAGCGTGCATTTGTATGTACTTGGCAAGCATGCATTTATATGTACTTGGCAAGCGTGCATTTGTATGTACTTGGCAAGCATGCATTTGTAAGTGTGTGCTTGCAAGCATGCATTTGTAAGTGTGTACTTTGTAGACAGCTTAGGTTTGTAGTGTGATTTCACGGCGAAGCCTTGCCTTCAATGCGAGACGTTACCTCCCGACCCGTGGCGCCCCTGTCGCGGAGCTGTGCGCCCGCGCCACTCGTTGCCGCGCTGCTGGTGCTGTCGCTGCTGCAGGTGCTGATGGAGTCGAAACTCACGCCCTGGGTGTCAAAGCTGCAGATCGAGTCGTTGCGGCGCGCTAACGCGCTGAGCGGCGTGGCCATCACGAAAGCATCGAGTCAGCGGCAGACTGAAGGTTACAATACAAGACAGAAAACATAATCTTCATGAAGTGCGAGGCAAAATTTCTTAAGTACGAACCATGTTAGCATTTTCCTTGTGGGAAACAAAGTACACTCTCCGACACTCTACGGACATTTTTTTCAGTAAACCTACAGTTTAATTATTTTTTCTGCAATTGTAGTCCTTTTGATTGTAAAGTACAGAAAAAATAATCAGCAACCTTACAGAAAAGTGGTCTGTTGATAATATTATCTGCAACTACAGTTATGATCAAGCTTAAAAAATTACTGTGCATTCTAGTAAAAAGATCTATAATGTGGGAACAAATGTTCTCTACATACCGATAATATACACAAGAATTAACAGAAAAGATTTAGTGAGTCAGAATAATTTTTGAATGTTTCCGCAAAGTCCAACTCAACCATCTTTTAAAGCCGCTGACATGGAGTCCTTTCTGACTGTCGAAGCTAAGATGTTTTGTAGATCATTTTGACTAAGCGCATTACCATCCAATCAGCTTTGTTTGAACGAGAAAAATTTCACTGAACATCATTTACTGAAGATCACAAAGTAGCCATCGACAAATTGTTTATGAGCACAAACTTTATCTCCTACATTTGCAGAAAATAAATTCTTTGATTATAAACAAATTTGTCATCATATTTCTACTGACATTGTAAATTTTCTGTAAGTAAGTAAAAGATTGTCTATAATTACCAAATTTGTCACCGCTAATTTATCTGTATCTCATGTAAAATTTATTCGATATGTTATTGAAAATATTTACTATATCATAGTAACGCTCTAAAATCAGTAAGCCGTAGAGTAAGTTTTCTACAATATAGAAAAAATAATCAGTGAAGGTCTGAGAGTGTAAGACCTTCGTAATACGAACAAAAACTACCTTCGTATAATGCTTGCGCCATTTCTTTCGCATTATGGGACATTTCTTCGTAAGACATGGGGTTTGCAGAGGAGTTACCTTTGCGCCTGACTCCAGTGGCTTCACACTTTAAACGATGATGATGCCTATTAAGACAAAAGGCCCCTTTCATCGTGGGGAACACACTTCACCACACAGCCGCGCTACACACACTGCACAGATTGGGTGCGGTTTCTCTGCTCTCCCCCCCCCTCTCTCTCTCTCGGAAATACGTGGTGGGGCGAAACTTGATAAGGGGCTTGGCTATCTCCGTTTGCCGTCATACAGTGACACGAGTTCTGCACCCATGAGGAAAACTGAACACTCATTTCAAGTACGTGACATCACGTTGAAACGAACGTGAGAAGAAAATGTCACGTCCGTTCGAGCATTGCGTCACATTCGTTTGGATGTGAATCGGCCAAAAAATAGCTTGTTCACATTCAAACGAATGTGACACAATGCTCAAGCGAAACGTGACATTTTGACACGTACGTTTCAACGTGATGTCACGTATACGTGACTCTCAGACTGTTATTGACATTTTGTCCTTTGTTAAAGAGTATTTTACACAGCAATAAAAAGTACTATTTCCTCAATTATTATGTAGGATTTTCTTCATTATATTGACATAAAGTCAATTTGCTATTGACAAAGAGTCAATACGCAATTGACTTAACAAAAAGTCAATATTAAATGACAATTTAGTCTTTATAGTGAACAATATTGTACATGGTTACAAAGGAAATACTACATATTATTGCTGCTTAAAAAACTACGTAAGCAAAGGACAAAATGTCAATAATGGAGAGAAAAAAGACAATACGAGTCTGAAAGTGCACTTTGAATGAGAGTGAAGCAACAGCAGTTTGTCGTCACGTCGGCGATTCAGAAGATCGGTTTGTCGCTGTCTCTCTCGCACCCTTGCGGAGAGCCCCATGAGTGCGAGAGAGAAAGAGCGACGCGAAACGACTCTTCTGAGTCGCTCGGCTGTCATGCAAAGTGTGAATAGTGCGCTGGCTGAGTTTCAAATTCGTCTGTATGCTCATAGGCGCTTGCGCTGCAAATCCAACAGCAGGCTTCGTACACACTTAGCGTACTCTACAAACTCAAGTGTGTACATGGTACACTCCACCTGGAGCCAACATGCATGTATACACTCCAATCTGGAGCATACCTGGCACGACGCACACTTGCCCAGTAGCCTACACGCCAACCTGGAGTGAAAGCACCAGGTATGCTCCTGGTTGGAGTGTACATGCATGTTGGCTTCAGGTGGAGTGTACTATGTGCACACTTGAGTTTGTAGAGTATGCGCTTGAGTATGCGTGTCATGCACAGTGGGCCAGAAGACCGCTGGAGGCGGCGAAAACTCTAGACGCGTTTTAAGCTCCAGAGTCGCTTACGAGGAGTCGAACCGAACGTGTGACCCCACGAGTTCATTGGTGGGGTCACAGGTTCGGTTCGAGTCCCATTCAGCGACTTTGGAGCTTGTTAAAAAAACAAGTTTGTTTTTTAACAACTTTTCAACAACTTTTTTAACAGTGCACAATCGATTGCCAAGGGCTTGCCAAAATGTACGTGTCACTCGCTTGTCCATAAGAGAATGCCCTTTTCTTTTATCAGCAGGCATGTAGTGAGTGAAAAGCGGTTGCGAGGGAAAAAAACATGACTGAAATGAGTCTGAACCAATGAAGTCTTTCAATTTTACTTCAGAATCTCAATGGACAAAAATAGACAACACAGGTGATAGACGTTTAGTCCTTAGTGACTAAACAGAACGCCTGTAGGCATATAAAATATCAACTCCTGGAAGCAGAGGTCCTAAAGCATCTATATCCTCAAATCCATAGTTTATCAATCTTTTCAAGGCTTTAAATTGATAGCCAGCTTGGACCAGATCTTGAAGAACGCGAAAGTTTTCGGTAAGACTTATTTCTTCAAGAGTAGCGCAGTGCATTTTAAGTACCGTGACTAACCAATTTGGTGGGAGCGTCCAAGAATAAGTATAATCGTGGTCTTCAAATACCTTGAGCTGTCCAAAAAACCCAGGAGATTGCACAGGAGGTTTATCGTCACAATGGGAACCTCCGTCGTAAACTTCCAGTTTCTTCAATCTTGGCAGGCTGATCAGTGTGTTCATCAACGCATTGCTGGGAGAGGTGACTAGAATTTCTTCAAGACGTTCACCAATACTTTGGATGAACGAAGTCATCCAATCTGTTTCTTCATCAGTATTATGGCAAAATAAGTCGTTGATCCGCAACACCTGCAATCGAAGAAAGACGAAGTTACCACACAGTAAATTCAAATGGCAGAATCCGTAACGGTTCGGCCCAGAAACCGCCAGTAAATGATTCTGAATTTGGTAGTCACAGAAACTGGCATGGGCTAACATAAACTGACAAAGGCTCCACAGAAACTGGGATGGGCTCACAGAAACTGCTAAGGGGTTGCGGTCTCGCTGGCCAACCTAACCTCACTGTGTCTCTGGATGCTTTTGTTGTTTTGGACATTATTCACATATTTTGATGAGTGTGCATACTTTTTCTTGCTTTGACAAGTCTATAAATTAATATTTTCCTTACGCGGTACATCTACACTCTTTATTTCCAATAATATAACATCTCAAAGTCGCGAGGTGGAGGGAATCGCAATTGACGATTACGGTGCAGTCTTGTCCGGATTCCGTGGCGAGTGCACGGATTCCGTCGCCTGTGTGCACAATGGGTTTGCCGTCGGCGGTTTTGGTGCAAAACCGCCCCGGATCTATTTACCTGTCGGTTTCTGCGATTTGGGGCTCTCAGACCACTACAGATTCTGCCATTTCAATTTACTGTGCAAGTATATTGACTTCGGGCGAGATTTCATTTCTATACTACACAGCGAAATTCAGTCGAAATAGAACCGCGCTGGCACGACGAGGCACTGCTAGGCCTACGGCTTGGAGTTCGACCTCTCCTTAGAAAACCATCCAAGTTCGCCGGGGCGCCAGGAAACTATTGTAGCTCGCCCGGGCGCTGGGAAACTATCTTACCTTGATAGGATTTGTGTAAGACTTCAGAAAGTCTCCCAGCGACCGGGAGTTAGGATAGTTTTCTTGCGCCCCAGCGAGTTTGGTATGGTCTCCTAGCGCCCGGGCGAGTGAGTAATGTTGGTTACCTAGGAGCGGTCGAGCACTCTAAATGTCTTACAATGAAATTTGACCTATGTTATTCGTATGTTACAGTAAATTCGGCGCAAGCATATTACGAAGCAATATTCCTTCGTAATACGAATCTTTTTAGCTTTTTCATTGTAAGATACTAAGAAAAACCTTCGTAATACGAAGAAAAACCACCTTCGTATTATGCTTGCGCCATTTCCTTCGTAATATGGGAAATTTCTTCGTAAGACATTTAGAGTGAGTTCGACGCATCCTAATAGAAAAATCCTAACTTTCGGAGCAGATCAAAGACAATCCTGTCAGTGCAGAGGTACCTAAAAGTGTTCACGAAGTATCTTTAGTGCAAATTCAGAGAATTTCGATATATCTGAAATACAATGTTCACTTAATTAAATAAGGATGAATCTTTGTAACAAGCCCTTCGGGAAGTAATTTTATGAAGCATGTTGGCGTCACGGACTTTGAGAAAACACCGCTTTTCATGTGATGTTCAGTTAGGATAGTTCTAAATTGACACGAAAAGTTAGGATTTTCTTGGATCTACCCTGGCAGTTAGGATTATTCTATTAGGACGCGTCGAGTTGAGGACGTCTAACTTGACAAGAAATGTTTCACCGTAGCATAAAGGCTGTCAACCCGAGGAAATGATTTAAAAAGTGTCGTCGGAGGGGAGGCCTAATCTCAATCACCCCAAAATTTGATGCACATTTTCACCTAAAGAATTTTTCTTTTAAGGGGTTGCGACCCTGAAGCCTCCAAAACAAGAGGCAACGCGCCTCCGAGATGTCCAGTTGCACATCGACCATGGAGAATAGACTGCAAAGGAAGGTATTAGTAGAAATAAAAATGTGCCATCTACCACCGGCCTGAAATTGATACCCTCCGAACGGACCAAATCCTCAAATGCACCTGGAACTTGGAGCCTTTCCACTTTGTCTATTTATTGGCGCATACGTTATGCAACCAAACGAACCTAACCAAACATTTTGTGCTCATAAGTACCTGGATCAGGACGCTAAGTGATTCAAAGCAAGTCGTGAGTAGACCGAGTACGGGCCAAGCAGTGATTTGCGCGGTGCTTGCGCAAGTTGCGCACATTCGTGATTCACACTTCAATGTGCCCAAGTGCCCTTATTATTATTATTATTATTATTATTATTATTATTATTATTATTATTATTATTATTATTATTATTATTATTATTGTAGTTGAAACTTACCACTGTCTTGGTTTCAAGAAGTGCTTGCTTTAATTTTTGGCTCTTTAGGGCACCATTAAAGGACACAACACCAAGACATGGCGCACGACGTAGGACTTTGATACAGTCACGAATGTCACCAATTATCCAGTCGTCGTCTTCCGACTCTTCATACCCTTCGACTGCAAGCACAGCATCACGCCATAGACAAGGGTCGGTTACAATCTTTCTCCAGGAATGGTTAAGTTCCCACAGCCGCACTAGATCGTAGATGGGCAGGAATGAACAGATGTGGAGGACCAATTCCTGGGGCAAAACTTCCATTGGGTCCATCCTTGCGGTTAAGGGATCCTGCGATCAAAGAACACGTTATATCATCGACATCGCTCTCATTCCAGGAACGTGACATCACGTTGAAACGAACGTGACAACATGTCATGTTCGTTTGAGCGTCGTGTCACATTTGATTGGATGTGAATGGGCCAAAAATTAGCTTGTTCACGTTCAAACGAACGTGACACAATGCTCAAACGAACGTGACATTATGTCACGTTTTTTTCAACGTGATGTCACGTTCCTGGAATGAGAGTGATGTATTATGCACTGCGCACAAAACATGTATTTTGTCCTTAAATATTCACATATTCGGGCATACGGACGCTATGTACAGGTTAGGGGAAGTATTTATAGAATTGTAACTTATTGATGAACAAAAAGTCCAAGGGTATTTAAAGTCTCAACCAGTGAGAATTGCTTGTAGGGGTAGGTTGGGTAAGGAAAGTGCACATCGACCCGTCCTAAGAAAACCATCCTTACTCGCCTGGGCGCTAGGAGACAATCCTAACTCGCTGGGGCACTGGGAAACTATCTTAACTAGCACAGCGATAAAATGCGGCCAGCGCAACCGGCAAAGATTCTTTCACCACAACGGCCAGAGAGAGCGCTAGCGAACTTCTATGAGTGCAATTCGAACGCTGACATATTGAGGGACAGACTAGTTCCACTTTTGTATTGACACGACGCCCCTCTGATGTGTGGCAATGGTCTAAACTTCCTTCCGCTCCCTGTCAAGATTAACCTCAAACGAGTTACACTGCAGGAAATAACCACAACAAAAGTACACAAATTTCTGGCAAATTTTTTATCAGGTTTTTATTGTACTTTCAAAGTACAACAATTGTTGTACAAAGTACAATGGAACCGGCATGACGAGTGCTGGGCAGTGCAGGCCTCGTTGTGGTTTGTACAATTCTCGTTGTACTTTCTACAATCCCTGTTGTACTTTTATTGTACAGTTTTTGTTGTACATTTGTTGTACTATTCACACTTTTTCTTGCAGTGTAGGATAGTCTCCCGGCTTCCGCGCGAGTTAGGATGGTCTCCCAGCGCCCCAGCGAGTTAGGATGGTCTCCTAGCGCCCAGGCGAGTAAGGATGGTTTTCTTACGAGGGGTCGACATGAGGCTCGGGTAAGAAAAGAACACCTGCTTTATCTACGAACCGAAACTACACTGCACCATCAGGTTAGTGGTTTTAGAAAGATTGGTCATCCCGCTGACAAAAGATAAATTTAGCCCAGTTCTACATTTAATATTTAGAATCAAACTGCACGTTTGAAATAACATTAAAAATGACAATGAAAATCTTTTTTTTTTTAAATGTTTGTACTTTGAAGTACAGCTTCCTGCAGAATCAGCCGACAGTGCAATGAATGGTACCACTTTATAGCTTAGACCATCATCTTTGAAAAAACAGTGCCGTTCGATGCTCCTAGGCTTGAAAACAATTTTTAAAAGTGTAAAAATGAAACGGGGAAGAGAAGTAAAGGCATTGGGGAAGAAGATAACACCCTCTAAGAAACTAAAAGCGGGATGAAAATTGAATTGATCACGGAAATAGATTTGATTCGGCGAGACAAGCAAAAAATGTCAACACAAGTTATAGAAAAAGACTCGAAATAAACAAGTTATTGGGCATTTTCGTGAAAAGGGGAAGAAACGTACAAAAATGCTGTACCCACTTATCTCTGACGAGAGGCTTGTTGGACCTTTTGTAATGAGTCCATGTAGAATCAGAACCAATTGACCGATTTTGACGAAACTTTAACTAATGGCAAGTGAAAGCTCTCTCCTTTAGGGGTTAACCTGTATTGAGCCAAGATTGGTGGTCTTCTGGTTCGAAATCGCAATTCTTTTCGTTGTGCTTTTCTTTCCTGGGCTTACTTTTCTTACCCTTTTCGAGAAGTACCGAAATCACATACATTTTGGCATGTTGTACGTAATGTGGGGAACTACAATCAATGAACAGTGATCCATCTCATCAGGAAGGCATTGGATTATAAGTTCACGAGAAGAGAATAGTTGAATCCTCATTTGGAACTTCTGTACAGTGCAAAGTACGCGGTTTTGTACTTTTCTTACCCAACCTACCCCTACAGAACTTACCTAGACTGCTGATAAGAGCCCGAAGATTCGCACCAAGGTAGTACGCTAAGTGCGAGTAACGGCGAGAAAAAGGACATCCAGACGCAGCCGCGGACTGGAAGAAAGATGAAATAAAACGGAAGTCAGAGGCAGAATCGTCGCTCATTTGATGTCAACGCATTCTCAGAAAGTTGCGAAGAGTGTGTGCGCATCACCCACTGTTGGGAGTGTGGCTTGCGAAGAATTTGGGAGGGGCTACTAATTTATTTCAGTGCACGCACGATTCCGGATTCCCACGATTCTCGTGATGAAGTGAGGATATTCAAAGAAATTCTAAAGTTCTTCGTGTTTAGAGATATCACAAGATTACGACTACACTTTAATTGAACACTTAGGACTTCAATTAAGTTTAGAAAAGGTTGCGAATGATTTCTACAGGGCAAAAGTAACGCTTGGGATTCCCTGGAGCGCACCCTGGATTAAAGGATCTCAGGTGTTACTTTCGCCGTGCAGGTTGAGTGTACACACGATTGCCGGAGTGGGTAAATCCCTCGAGAATTTGGCTTCTGGTTATCGCCGTTTTGAAAGCAAGATTTTTCGGAATGGCTGTTTGTTGACGATACTCAATTGTATCGCCATAAACATACTGAAGTTTCGCCTTTGGAGTGAAGTCAGATTCTACGCAAGCTTTACAAACACATCGATCGGTTCGCAGGGTTTTGTGAGTGCGATCACTGTTCCGAAAGCAGTAAGGGAAACGTAACGTCACGATGTTCCGGATGTTTCATATCCGCGAGAGAGACACTCTAACGTTTCTCACTCTGGTAAAACTATAGTGTAGTATTACCCTCTGATTTCAAGCGTAATTAGTTTACGCTTGGCGTATCAGGCTCTTTCACCAGGATCCCCCTATCTAAATGCATGTGGGAATTTCCAGAGTATGCTTCATTTTAAGCGTAACGTCTACAAGCGTAACTTTATGCTTGACTCAAGCATAGAGTTACGCTTTAGTTTTACCAGTGCAATGCTGAAAGAAACGAAGCCCCTGAGCACCGAGCACTTCCCTCATTCCAGACACGGTGTGCAGGGTACAGATAGTTTTGAGCAGACATGATGAGGATGCGATTTTGTTTGCTCACAAATACAAAGGTTTTGGTGTTCGTAACTTACATTCCTTTGAAGCTGACGGACACTAAAACTTTTGAAATAAAATTAAAGTTCAAGTCCACTGAACTGAATGATATGAAGGCTTTATATTCCTGTTGGTTGCTATGGATTGGCCAAGCGACACCAAAGCCATTTACACTGGCGGGTTCGAACACGGAGTGTTTGGGTGCGTATATAAGCACTAGGCTCGGCCGATCCGGGTGACATTAGCAGTCAGGTGGGGGGTGCAACCGTAACCATGGGTGTTTCAAGGTGTACGCTGCAATTGACATCAGTTCATATGCCGATTTGGAATTTGAAGGCGACATGAAGGAAACGAATAAATCGGCGTACACTGTAAAAATACTCCGTACTTTTGTACGGAAATGGTACAGAAAAATTTGGTACGGAGGTACGGAGAAAAGTACGGAACGTTCCATACTTGCTCCATATGAACCCATGTTAATGGGTACGGAAAAAAAGTAAGCACGGAACGTTCCGTAGTTGGCAAGTACGGACGTTCCCGGCAAATTATTGACCAGACATGTTCCGTACTTTCTCCGTACTTTTTACTCACAGTGTAGCCGTCTTGTGCCTGCGTGTCACTGGCGGAACTGGTAAAAAGCTACGGAAAATTCTGTAAACGCAGCTTGTAATTTTCCGTGCCCCCCTTGTCAGTATTCTCCGTAGCACAGTACAGTCTTCTCTGTAGGACCTTACAGAGACCTCAGAAGCACTAAACAGTCTTCTAAGAAGATTGTACGATTCTACTGGGGTTACTGTACCAGGCTGCGGAGAATAATGATAAAAGGGCAACGATCTTGGCAAAAAATAACATAATTTTCCGTACCTTTTTGCCACAGTGTGGGCTACGGTGGGCGATTAACCAACTAATTGAAGGCATTTGATTTTCGAAGTGGGAGAATGACCTCAAGAGAGCCGCTCAAGATCTAAACGAATTCATTCTCTGTCCGTTATACGGGCTTAATGCACAAGTTTTCACAACATATGCAAGTGATTTGTGTAAACATTTATCTTCGCGTATTTTAACACGTCCGTTCTTTAATTTAAGAACTAATTATGAAGTGTTGGACAGAGCACTGTAAATTTACGTATTTTCACAACTGCACAAATAATTTTTGTCGTACTTAAAAATCACGTAATTATAACAAGGTCAGTAACGGGCAGAGAGAGAATTGCAACTCAGGGCCACTTCAGGTTAGGTAAATTGATTCGGTTTGAGTATCACCCTAGATTGTCTCTTGCAAGTGCAGAAAAGAATTTTTAATTTCTCTGCAACTATTAATAGTATACCCGACACAATTTTGTTCATTGTACAAATGCAATTGTTACTGTCATGGTACATTTGACATGACAAATCTTTCAAATGATCTATATCGTGAAAATAAAAACAAAAAACAGTGCCTATTATACGCCTTTACAAAACATTAAATGCGAGAGAGAAAGTCAACTAAGTAGGACGGAAGTGTCAGGACAAGGCTGAGAGCTGTAAAGTGGATATTTTTTCGAAACATACCATGTTACAAAGAGAAAATTCTAAAAATTACGTTTATTCAGAACTGTTTACCGTAGACATTCACAAGTAAGCAGTCAGTTGTTCTGTAAGACAATCTTCACAAAGGCACATTTAAAGGCAGTACGGCCAGCAGGTGGAATGAATCACCTGATATTCTAACAAAAAAAGAACACGTTGACAAATTAAAAATACGTAATCAAAATACAAAGAAACGGCCGACAGATACCGAACATTAAGAGACAATGACTGCGATTTCGCATTTCTCGTGCTTCACGTCACAGCGGGCGCCTTTGGAGTGGCTGAACAGGGTGCAACGACCATACTCGGGAATCTTGTGGCACTTGTGCTCCCGGCAGTACTCGCAGACCTCGTCCTCCTGGTGGACCATGGGGTGGATGTGGACGTGCAGCCGTCGGTATCTGCGCATCAGCGCGCGGGCCTGCCAGCCGTGCGCCCAGTCGTGGGGGCACGGCCAGGGCGCGTTCATCGTCAGCTCGACGAGCTTGGGCACCACTTCGCCGTCCAGGACCACCACGAGGAGGTCGCTGGTGGGCGCCCCGCCGAGGTCCAGGCTGGTGAGGTTCGGCAGGGCGTAGAGGACGGCGCCCAGGTGGCGCAGCTGCTCTGTTGGATCGGGGCCGAAGGCGTGGCACCCATCGGAGATGAGGAACTTGAGGGTGCGCAGCGCGGCAGGAGTCGTCGCCTCCTCGGTGCCCTCGAGGCAAAGCACCAAGTCGACGGCTTCGTCGCTCTCGTCCCCGCCCCAGAAATCCAGCACGAGATTCTCGAGGCGTGTTACCGCCTCCGTCAAAAAGGCCCTCACTGCGGGCAGGAGCGGCCGGGATCGATCGGTCAGATAGATCATTAAGTGGAGAGTCTCCAGCGACGGACACTGGAGAAGGACCTCCATGTCCTCCTGCAGGGTGCACTGCAGCCTGCGCAGGCGGGGCATGGAGGAGAGCAGGAACGCCGCGCGGGGGACGGCCGGAGCGAGGCTGACGTCCTGTGAGGCAAAAAACAGACCTCTGTTGCAGGAAAGATACACTGTTACTCTACAAACCCAAGTGTGTACATGGTACACTCCACCTGGAGTGTACATGCATGTACACTTCACCCTGGAGTGTACTTGGCATGTACACTTCACCCTGGAGTGTACTTGGCGACCCCCGTGACACCTTCACCCTGAAGTGTACTTGGCATGTACACTCCAGGTTGGCGTGTACTTGCCAAGTCCATGCCAGGTGGCTCATACCTGCAGCAGGGAGCCAGCAACAGTGTACCTGAAGGTACACGCCACCGTGGAGTGTACATGCCAAGTACACTTCAGGTTGAAGTGTACATGCATGTACACTCCAGGTGGAGTGTACTATGTACACAGTTGAGTTTGTAGAGTATTCCACTTGCGATGCAGACCGCACTTTCAGCGCGATACAAATTTCATCGCTCTTTTCTGTGATGATCATTGCAAAAAGGTGTGATGAGCTGCTGCATCGCAGAATTTTGCAATGATCATTGCAAAAAAACTGTGTTGAATGCAGATTTTGTGTTGCCATCATCGCATTTTTATGCAATGATTCCTACTTTCATTGCAGAAATGTGCGATGATCATTGCAAAAATTTTGTGAGACAAAAGTCATGGCATCTGGGGAGCAATGATTCGTGGGAATCACATTTTGGATATTATCGCACGATTTTGTGTTTAAAGTATCGCAACTTGGATAACAGTGTACATAAATAACGTGTTGACGGCGTTAATAATCCGCTAACGTTATCGCGCTGAACAGTTGTTAACGCTATGACGTTAATGACACTGCACTGGGAATCGGAAGGTGACGTCACGTTCGTTTAAACGTGAATCGTGTTACGTTCGTTTGAATACTGTGTCACATTCTTTTCAAGGTGAATTCAGCCTCATCCAGACCCGGGACCAGCTGATTCGCGTTAAAACAAATGTGACACAGTATTCAAATGAATGTGACACGTTTCACGTTTTAAGGAACGTGACGTCACATTCCCTGGTTCTCAGTGCGACGTTAACGTTAGCAACCCTGATCTGTGTAGCCACTCTGCAAACTGAACAAGGCACACGGTTGACTTTTTCAAAGAATCGTGTACTGGACAGGCAGGCTGTGAATAAGTGGGTGTATGGCGAGTGCATGCACTCTAATTTACGCACTCCAAATGCTGTGTAGTGAAGATTCTCTATACTATGCTGAAAATGTTCCATGCTATGATGGTGCAGCTGACTTCACACTGATAAAAATTTTGTTGTAACTTAGCAACACATTTATTGCTAATTTCTTTGGTGACAAGATTTGTTGTGGAACGAATGGCTTGTTAAACCATAGCCTTACTGGAACTAAAGGATAGTTTCACAACGACAAACTTGTAATAACACCCTAACAGTCCACCTTCAAACACAATTCGTTGACCAACAACAGATGCTGTTAGTCAAGGACAAGTATTGTAAGTCGAAAAAGATTTTGTAATGTCTGCGACAAATAGTCATGGAATACTTTCGTCGCTAAAGTTATTATTCATGGTTTACTTTAAATGATAGTAGTTTCCCTATGACTTAAAAGAACAAAATAGATGATTATTCATAAAATTCTTTTATTGAGCAGGTAATGGCAAAGGATATTGTTTCCACACAAATTGTATCGTCCATGATGACAGCAAGAATTTTGTTCTTCAACGAGAAATTGTCGCTTACTAGATTCTACGCCATTTGTTTTCCTTTGGTTCATGATGACATTCTATGTTTTGGAACGACTACATTTTCACTGATCTGATTGTTTCTGTACAACCATTTTTTAACAGTGCATAATAACATACCATTAAGAATTCACTATACGCTCAAGATACTTTGACGAATGTCGTTTGTATTATGGAGGAAATCTCCACCATAATGTGGTGGTGCAGCCTTTCACCGTAAGACATTTACATTGCGGCAATCCTGCCACATTGTACATGCCATTATACGCTTCTTTTCTCACAGCATGCTGTTAAGTAGACAACAATTAGCGCCAACCATTATGTCAACCATGCACACTGTACTGTGGCATAAAAGGAACGGAAAATTCTGTTATTTTTTTTTTGCCAAGATTCTCCGTAGGCTCTCTCAGTATCCTCCATAGGACCGTTAAGTCTTCTCCGTAGGACCTGGAAGACTGTATAGTCCTACAGAGGTCACTACAAGGTCCTACGGAGAATACTGTAAGGTCTCACAGAGAATATTGGTACGAAAAATTACCACAAGCTGTTTACAGAATTTTCCTCAGCTTTTCAGCTTCCATGTCCTGACGCATTATGACAACTTGTTTCTGGTTTGCTTGGGCCAAATATGAGCTGAAGTTATTTACAATTTGATGGAAAAAAATCAAGCAGAATCAAACGAGATCTAACAAATTTTGGCACACTCGCAAAAACAACGGCATAAAAACTACGCCCTTTTAGGCATAACGGTCTTTCACGCTCTTAAAGGGCGGAAAAAAGGACATGCCTTCTCTTGATGTCTTACGGTGGAAGGCTGCACCAACATATTATGGTCAAGATTTGTCGTCCATAATACAAACGAAATTCGTCAATATATCTACGAGGTACAGTGAATTCTCAACGGTAGGTTTTAATCTCAGCTGCACCACCATAATAGAGAATTCACCATCGTATGGACAACCTTCACAATACAACTTCTAGAGAGTGTGGAAAGATATTTAAAGTTTGCGGAGACTTCCTATGTCAGTTCGTGCCCCTTCCAATGGCGTGAACGATTTACGTCCCTGGAACAGCGTAAATAGTTTACGCCCTATTAGGGAATTATTTTATGCCTTTGTTTTACCACTGCGAAATGAAATAATGTCGCCCGTCTTGTGTAAACCATAATCGAGATCCCGATTGATGGTCGCGCGAGACGCCAAGAACTCCTTTGCCCCGTTAGAACTAAACTGGGACTGAACGAGCGTGCCTCTGGCAAAGTTGCTTAAGGCTCCTTTCATAATTCTCGAGATTGTTGAGTTCTGTATTTATTTTCGTGAAATCTCCAAGAGTCTTCGTCAATTTACGATGAGTGTTCGTACCTGTTCAAAGATTCTTTGTAAATTGCCGAGAATCTTCGTTCATTACCAAGCATCTTCGTCAATTCACGAGGGTACCCTGCGCTACATTTTTGCCACAGGTACCTTCGTGAATTTTGGAGATAAATTTTTACAGTGAATTTCACACCAACAATTTCGTACGAGACATTACAGTTTAATGTGCAGATAAACTTTGCGTACGAGTTTCGTTTGAAAAAAACTGCACATATTTCACCATTTTAATACAAAATTGCGTACAAACTACAGTAAAAAGTTTACCTGCACCAAAAACCGTTATGTCTCGTTCAAAACCTTCACTCTCAGACTCGTATTGACTTTTTATCTGTTGCCATAAAGGTTTTTGTGCAAACGTAATATGTACTATTTTCTCTTTGGCTGTGCACTATTTTGTTCATTGTATAGTGTTAATGATCTATTGACAATTACATCCCTGAAACGATCAAAATTGTGCATAGTTAAGGAAGAATAGTACATTTTACGTTTGCTCAAAAACCGCTATAAGCAAGAGAGAAAAAAGTCCATATTGGTCTGAGCGTGTTTACAAAAACACTTTGGGTGTTCGTTACCTCAAGCGTGGCCGCATGCCACTTCAAGTGGAGAGGTAAGTAAGGGTCGAGGTAGGGTTTAGAGTACTCCAGGCGGCGTAAAGATGCCGGCACAGGAACTTCCCTGGCTTCTTCTGAGCTCGTCAGGGCCGGAAGTTCAGGTTCACAGATGATGTTCAGCGAGATGTATTTAAGTCCTGGACGGAACAAAAGGAGCGAGAATACTGGTAAAACTAAAGCGTAGTATTACCCTCTAGCGTAATAAGGTTACGCTGGAGATCAAGCGTAACAGGCTTATCAACCAAGTTTCCCCCTGTCTAAATGCCTGAGGGATTTTTCAGAGTATGCTTCATTTCGAGCGTAACGTCTTCAAGCGTAGCTTTATGCTTGACTCAAGCATAGAGTTACGCTTTAGTTTTACCAGTGAATCGGGGTCTGGGATCGCAATAGGGTACTTTCGTAGATCCCTGAACCGGAAGCACACAGACGCCATGTTGGCGGAAGTAGATCCAAACTTGACATGGGAAAGAGACGTTCGTCAAAGGTATCGGCCACACTTGAACATAAACAGTCGTTTGATACTTGTTTGCAGTGCATATGTGTTTCGCGAGCAATATTTGTACAGCTCGGCTATAGTTTTGGATCCGAAGAGAGGTTAGTTTCCGGCCAATTTGGCGTCTGCTGGTCTGCCAGCTTCCGGTTCAGGATTCTACGAAAGTACCCTATCTTAAGTGGATCCCGATCCCAGTCCAAGTATTACACAACACACTAATGCCCTCGAGGGGGTCAGCTTCCCACATGCACTGTACAAAATTTGACCACATTCCACATTCAGGTGGCAAAAATACCTGTAAGTAGGCAACATGTGAGGCCAAAACGCCAGAAATCTTGCACATTCACACAATCATTGTGCACAAAATCTCTGCAAACTAAACGTAAGAATTCTGTTAAGTGGAACTCGCATGTTCTAGAAATATTTGTAAACAGGAAGTTCATTTTGTGGTCAAAATTCAACCACTATTAGATGAATTTATTCCCTAAGTTGGGGGCCCCAACTCCTATTAGTGTCTGAGTTATGGAGGTTTACGTAAACTTTTAGTCGTTTCTCCCAAATTCTCCTCACGACAGAGGATTACCTACCCAGTCTTCAGATTCTGGCAATTATATCTGTTTTGCATAGGAAGAAGAAAGTGTTGTCAGATTTGAAAATATCAGTCCAGAAGAGGCTGTAAAAGCTATTTTAGTAGGCCTACTTTTATTTTTCTTCAAATGTGAGAGATTTTGCCCCACTTCGGTCTTGTTTTTGGTTTTTCAGGAAAACTAAGGCAGATATTGAAAAAGGGGCGAAAACAGTCTTTTTCCCATTTAAAAACAGATAAAATTGCCAGAATCTGAAGCAAATCCTTCGTCGTGAGGAGAATTTGGGAGAAACGACTAAAAGTTTACGAAAACCTCCATAATTCAGAATCTTATTCGAGTTGCGGCCATACTCACAGTTAATGCCATGGAAAGGAAATTTTACCCAAAAATTGAGTTGACACAAGTATTTAAAAAATGTCAAATAGCCACCTTTTTCACTTTACAATAGCCTTAAACTGGCCCATGCTATTACATAGGACTAATCGAGTGTATTTTAGCGTGTGCTTGCAGGTACACTCTTGTTTAGCGTGTACATGCCAGGCATTCTCTATTTTAGCGCATGCCTAGCAAGTATGCTGTAAATAAGTGTGTGCTTGGAAGCATGCTCTAATGTGTACTATTTACACACTTAAGATGGCAGAAATTTTGCAGTGGGTCACACCTCGAAATCCCTTACGCATTTTTTGAACGCTGTCGTAAACAATATTGCGCATGCGTGCTTTTCTTACAAATTTACAAGTAATTTACACGCAACTTCGTGCACGAATTTGTACGAGTATACGTTCAAATTAACACGAAAAAACTGAGCGTGTTTGAAATTGTGTGAAGCCACCCACGTACGACATTGTAGCAGCTATAATGCCACATTAAACCCACAGGACCCCCTTGACACTCTGCATAAGGTTAAAGTCTTGTTTTACATTATCAGGCAAAAACGACAACGTTCGCATGCTGGCTTGACGACACAAGGCGACTTTATTTCGCACCTTTGACCCGGGTACCTCTTTTCTTCCTGACCCACGGAACTGGAACCGAAACCTTTGTGGCTCCGATCTGGGGGACATTGTCATATTCTAATAGGACATACGACATCTAGGAAATCATTATCTATTTTGGCGTTTATTCAAAAACTTCCCTATTTCTGGGACCAATAATGGTGTTTGCAAACATTCATTAGGTGGGAAATAAACAATCCAGAACGAATCCAAAGAATGAGATGAGACGCTCCCCTCCCGAAGAATGTTAAAAACAATTCCGACAGAAGGAGAGTTCCACTGGACCCTCAAAAGGCTCAGAATATCACGGACTGACTCACCACGAGTGTTGAGAATTTGGTGCAGCAGTGCACGCAGTTTGCCCAGGGAGGATTTATTTATGACTTCAAACTCAACCATAGAGAAATGAAGGTGTTTCAAACTCCCAAGAGAAGATTGCCTGTGGACACACATAGAACATCGATAATTATTTCGCATGGCTTCTAACTTGGTTTGCAAGCAGACACATCCCGATACCTCAAGCACTAGAGATTTGCTCCAGTTGTGTACATGAGCGATTCTCACGTTTCGGGGTAGTTTTGGCGTCTCTGATTTGCCGAAAGTGAGAAATATCGAATTAAGTTTTTCTGATTATTGGGGTCCTGGATGATACTAGAGTTATGGCAATGGTACTTATAGTAAAGACCTTGTACTACCTTCCTAAAAACATGAGCCCTAAGGTATTCCCATACGTTTTAGTGGGTGTTTTGATCACGGAAATTACGTTATCACGGAAGTTACAAAGTGTGAAAATCGGCTTTAACGGCTGACTCGGGCTTGATGTGGCTTAAAAGTCGTTCCAGGGTCAAATGATACTCTAAGCCCGACATTTAAGCGGAAAATTTTTCCACCTAGTGCTGCTGCAACATTGGGTAAAAGGTGCCACGGAAGTTACAGGTAATTGTTGATACACGCCATTTTATAATGCTCTAGCCCGCTTTGAGACCGTGTACAGCATCTTAGATTTCCGCGACCCATGCAATTACATCCCAGGGACTCCACTTTGATGGCTTGTGTCATGGAAAGTTAAAAGTTTGGCTTGGGGAGAAGTCCAGAGCTGCGTTTTCGGAATTTGTGTAGTGAAATTGAATATACGGTGGACATTTTTCGTTCCAGCATAAGTACCTTTGAAAGAAGTCTGGCGTATTGGTCTTCGGTTGAAATAAGCTCGAGACATGCCAAGCTTTGAATCCCCATCGACAGTTGGCAGCATTTTCGGACCACACAGCCACACTGGGGGCGGAAAGTTCGAGTATGTTCTCTTTGGACAATCACGGAAGTTACATTTAGGGTATTCCAAACGCTACGTAGACCAATCCAACGAACGTGAACTTTTCGAAATGTGTGCGTTTAGTGGGCAATGGCCCTCCCTAACACCAGAAACAAACCCCATGTCGATATCTGCGCTCGTTTGGGCACAGGAGTCAGAAGAAATGAAACTACCCCGAAACGTGAGAATCGCTCACATGGCATGTATCAGGCGCGGTTTAAAGGGGGTAGGTTACGTGGTGACGCGTGACTTTGAACCTGCGTAACGTTTTACATAAAATTGTGCTCAAATTGCATAAGTTCATGTACTTTTAGTCATACTGTTATGCTAATTCCAGGTATGCACGAGATCGTGATAATTTTTTCCTGTTTAACTGCATATTTTAAGATAGTGTCAACAAGAAAGAGGCACTGGTTTTGAGTGGGTTGCAATCTGAAGGTACCCCTGTTTGTGGTAATGCTTTTGCACTCCTGATGGAGAACTTTTGACAATTGTGGGCTCACTACTCTTATTAGCCCTGACCTCTATAGACATTTACTTTAAACATATTTGATGACGAAGAAAGAACAATTACGGAAAACAAACTCTCACTTTTAAAGTTTGCAAAAAAAGATCTATGGTGAATTTGCGCTAAGTGAAATTTTTATTTCACCTACTCTGTTCCTGTAGGCAAATTATATTATAAAAGTTGGAAAATGTTAGATATTTGCATATTTAAGTGAAGGTGCTTATCAGTGTGGGCAGGGTGCTCAGGATGGCCGGGTTTAGCCCAAATCATGATCTTCTACCTAGTACTCATCCAGCCAGCAAAGCCACCTCAGCTTGCATTTCCTGGTCAAAAAAAAATTGTTCCTTAACTTTTTTTACACTTTGAAAACTATCAAAACCTCAACACCCCCATGACCCCACCCAAACTCAATATTTTAGCATCAATGTTTTTTTTTTTTTTTTTTTTTTTGAGGTCGTCTGGAACCAAGACCAGCCAAAATAGTTAATTTGACTCGATTCGGGCTGAATCCGCTCAAATGCGAAGAAAAGAGCCAGATGATACTTCGAACAGCGAAGTATAGTTTTCTTTTCAAGCTTTCAAGAGTGTTCATGAAGATTGTGAAGTGTTCATCACTGATGTAGTGTATTCGGTCAAGTTCGCATAAACTTTTCGAACCATGTCACCTTACACTACAGACCTAACTGTCTACTAAGTACACACTTACAAATGCGTGCTTGCAAGTACACACTTACAAATGCATGCTTTCAAGTACACACTTACAAACGCATGCTTGGACGCCGTATACCTCCATGCGTCAAGCATGCGTTTGTAACTGTGTACTTGCAAGCATGCATTTGTAAGTGTGTACTTGGCCAAGCATGCGTTTGTAAGTGTGTACTTGCAAGCACGCATTTGTAAGTGTGTACTTGGCCAAGCATGCGTTTGTAAGTGTGTACTTGCAAGCACGCATTTGTAAGTGTGTACTTGGCCAAGCATGCGTTTGTAAGTGTGTACTTGCAAGCACGCATTTGTAAGTGTGTACTTAGTAGACAGTTAGTTTTGCAGTGTATGAGCGGAAGTGTCCGAAAGCTGAACGTATCATTTCCTACAGCTGCGGCCGCCCCCTTCAGCTTACCTGGCCAGGGCCAGCGCCGCGGAGGATATCTCATCCGCCGAGAAGGACAACTTGAGCTCCGAAACGGCGCCGTCAGTTGTTGAAAGGGGTGGTCCGCTTTTTTTGTTCATCCTGCTGGAAACTTTGAGACGGCGCAAGCACGGCGCCAGACGCAGGCACGGCGAAGGGCAATTTCGGGTCGCTGTAACAAAAGGAACAGTAATACTGTAAACGTCATGGCGTGGAAAGATTACTATAGTAATCTTAAAGAGGTTTACGTTAACTTTTAGTCGTTTCTCCCAAATTTTCCTCAAGACGAAGGATTGATTACCTGTCCAGTCTTCAGATTCTGGTAATATTATCTAGTTTTGAATAGGAAAAGGATAGAGTTGCCCGTTTTTAATATCTGCCTTAGTTTTCCTAGGAAAAACAAAAACAACACCAAAATGGAGCAAAATCTCTCAAATTTGAAGAAAAATATTAAGAGGCCTGGTAAAATAGCTATTACAGCCTCTTCTGGACTGATATTTTCAAATCTACCAACGCTATCTTTTTTCCATGCAAAAATAGCTGTAATTGCCAGAATCTGAAGACTGGGTAGCTGATCCTTTGTCGTGAGGAGGATTTGAGAGAAACGACTAAAAGTTTACGTAAACCTCCATAACTCAGAAACTAATAGGAGTTGGGGCCCCCAACTTTGGGAATAAATTCATCTAATTGTGGTTGAATTTTGACCATAAAATGATCTTCCTGTGACAAATATTTCTAGGACATGCTAGTTTCACTTTACAGTATCCTTAACTCCAAATTGAGTTTTGATTCTATAGCTATATCAAGTCAAGGAAAGAGAAGGTTTTGAGCCAGCCTCCTTTCTTAGCTTCATATAGCTTATTATTGTGCATAAGTATGGTTTACATCATTGCACCAAATTATTTGATTCAATTCCTAGCAGTTAAGGAGAAAGTCCACTTGGAATAAAGATGTGACTCGACTTGACCCCTTTTACACTCTCAATTCAGCGGAAAATGGAATCAACTCAACCGAAGTCAAAAACTCCCTTTCATTTTAAGAACTTAAACAGAAAGAAGAGATACGTCCAAAAAATGTACCAGAGGAACCAACACTCTCTTCTGACTATAGTTTCACTTGACTTGACTCAAAATTCCACTTCGTTTAAGAAATAAAGTTAAGATGACTGTGTTTACTATTTTAATAGAAAGTTATAAGTCACACAAATCCTCTACAGACTGACATAACACTTCCATTGTTTACCTCAAAATTAAACTTATGCTTCTTGAACTTGTTACCATTTACAAAATTCATTAGTTTAATTATAGTTTTCCCTGCTAACGGTTTTTTGTTTGTCCTGAAAAATGGCCAAAATGAAGTTATCCACCTTCCGCTTCCTGGATCACATTTAGCGGAGCCATGCTGACATACCAAGGACTAAGGTTGCAGAAACTGTGGACTTTCAATGTCCTTTGCAATGCTTTAGAGGGCTTTACAATTATCTCCCTGACCCTGACCTCACTAAAACTCAAGTTACATGTCTGAAAAATTAATTTATTTCTTGACATACAAATGGTAAGATTCTTAAAACTACAAAGTTTGTTAAACTTTTTTTTCATAGGGACAGGATATTCACAATTTCAGACACTGATAAAAAGCTTTTCAATGCAAGCTTCAGACAGAGACAAATTTCTTGAGCACACACTCAGGTTTGTGCAACAAAAACTGTAGCCTGTAGCATACCAAACAATAATAGTATTTTAACCCTAACATGAACAAGTAACAAAGTTGCCTGTGGACTGAATAAGTTACTTCAGAGAAAACTAATCCTAAAATTGAGTTCTTAAAAGGTCATTGTGAAGTGAAGATAGTGACCACTTAACTTTTATTTAATACTTGTGTCAGAAGTCTGAATTTATGGGTTTGAGTTCCTATCCAATGAATGAGCTCATACGCTCAGGAGGAACGCCACCTTTTCTTAATTTCTGAGTTAGAGACGTTTACATTAAGTTTTTGTTGTTTCTTCCAAATTCTGCTCTGAACAAAGGAACGGTACCCAGCCTTTAGATTCTGGCAAATAAACGTGGTTTGATATAGGAAAAAGATTATGTTGCTCTTAATTTGGTATCTCTCTTAGTTTTCTTGGTGACAAATTATTGAGACTGAAATGTGGTAGAATCTCTTCAATTTGAAAAAGTAAAATCAAGTCTAGTACATAAAAAAATTTAACAGCCTCTACTGCGGTGTAATTTCCATATGTGGCAATGTTATCTTTACTTATGACTTCAAAGGTCCTCTAGCTAGAATTTGATGACTTCATACGTTTTTCCTTTGACATGACCAGAATTTGGGAGAAGTGATTTCAAGTTTGCATTAACCTCCATACCTCAGACACTAATGAAGAGTTGAGACCCCAAACTTCAGGAATACATTATCATGACTGGATTTTGACTTCAAGGATTATTGAAAGTACGTTGCTCTCTTATATGGATGGATACATTGGAATGTAGAGTACGCAATACTGGGAATATTTCAGGTCCTAAATAAGAATTCTTCTTGTTTATAAAACATCCAAGAACACTGGATGTTGACAACAATTATGTCAAAAGGGTGGAGCAAAGGAATAAACCTACAGTTTAACCTCAAATGTAATGTGCCAAAAACAAAGGGTCTACAATTATCTTGAAAAAGTCCCAGGACCTAAATTATTTTTACAAGTGAACCATTACCACCTAAACGAAAATGCATAAATGGAGTTGCTGAACGGACCCGCCAACCTGGAGCCTTAGTGATACACCCAAAGACGCGGAAAATGAAGTAGGCCACGGAAATGATCTCAGTTAGCGATGCTGCGGAGTAGATTGGGCTAATGTTAGTGACTCAACATACCTTTTAACCACTCACTATATCACATATACTCGTCACTTTGATCCTCCGTATACAATGGATCACGAAATTGAATATTCTACTGTGACAACACGGCCCGCGCCCACTGCTGTGGCTGATGAAGGATGAAGCTTCCAAGGATGAAGCCTTTTTCTGTCATTCTGTCAGGGGCTCTAGTTCCGCCGCCGGCCACCACGAGGCGCTGCTGTAGCGTTTATCCAGCCAAGTTGAGAGGTTTGGTTGCTAGGGGCGCCAATTGGATATACCCCACCAGAAGACAAGCAAGGGTCAGTCAGCCCGGCTGCAATTTCGGACCTCTATCACTCGCTTTAATTACCGCATAGACATGAACATTAGTTCATTAGGAAGCTAGCAGCGTCGCCTTCAATCGGCTCGCTTACTTTATGGGTCTACCTTGCATGACAAAAAAGTTACGAGGGTTGAAGTGGGACAATGACCTCAGAGAGCCATTCAAGATCTTAACTAATACATTCTCTGTTCTTTACTGACTTAATGCTCAAGTTGTCACAACCTATGCAAGTGATTTGTGTAAACAATAATGATCAAAAATTTTGATACGTCCTTTCTTTTCTTTAAGAACTAATTGTGAAGTGTTACACAATGCATTGAGAATACACTTACGCAATTCGGAAAATAATTTTGTCGTACTTAGAAAACACTAAGAATTGCTTACACGAATACGTTGTTACAAAAATAGGCCAGTAGAGAAGGGTACCTCCGGGCCACTTCAGGTTAGGTAAGGTTGTTTTGGTTTGGGTATCATCCCAGATTGTTGCTAACATGACTGCAAAGAGAATTGAAATGCAAAAAAGAATTTTTAATTTCTCTGAAACTATTACTACGCACAATTTTGGTCATTGTACAAATGCAATTGTTAGTATGTCATGTATAAACTAAAGAGTACATAAAACATGACAAATCTATGTACTGAACTATATCGTGAAAATAAAAACGAAAACAGTGCGTATTACGCTTTTACAAAAACATCAAATGCTAGAGAGAGAAAGTCAACTAACAAGGACGAAAGTGTCAGGATGAGGCTGAGAACTGTAAAGTGGACACTTTCTTCAAGACAGACCATGTTACAAAGAGAAAAAGTCTACAAATTATGATTATTCAGGACTGCTTACCGTAGACATTGACAAGCCAACAGTCAGTTGTTCGGTAAGCCAATCTTTTCAAATGCACAATTAAAGGCAGCACGGCCAGCAGGTGGCATGAATCACCTGATATTCTCACTAAAAAAGGAACACGCTGACAAAATAAAAACACGTGATCAAAATACAAAGAAACTGCCGACAGAGACCGAGCATTAAGAGACAATGACTGCGATTTCGCATTTCTCGTGCTTCACGTCACAGCGGGCGCCTTTGGAGTGGCTGAACAGGGTGCAACGACCAAACTCGGGAATCTTGTGGCACTTGTGCTTCCTGCAGTACTCGCAGACCTCGTATTCCTGGTGGACCATGGGGTGGATGTGGACGTGCAGCCGTCGGTATCTGCGCATCAACGCGCGAGCCTGCCAGCCGTGCGCCCAGTCGTGGGGACATTCCCACGGCGCGTTCATCGTCAGCTCGACGAGGTCGGGCAGCACGGTGCCGTCCAGGGCCTCGAGGAGCACCCTGGTCGGCGCGCCGCCGAGGTCCAGGCTGGTCAGGTTCGGCAGGCGGTGCAGGACGGCGCCCAGGCGGCGCAGCTGCACTGTGGGATCGGGGCCGAAGGCGTGGCACCCATCGGAGATGAGGAACTTGAGGGTGCGCAGCGCGGCAGGAGTCGTCTCGGTGCCCTCGAGGCAAAGCACCAGGTCGGTGGCTTCGTCGCTCTCGTCCCCACCCCAGAAATCCAGCACGAGATTGTCCAGGCGAGTCACCACCTTCTTCAAGAACGCCCTCACCTGGGGCAAGAGTAGCCGGGACTTGTCGGTCAGATAGATCATTAGGTGGAACGTCTCCAGCGACGGACACTGGAGAAGGACCTCCATGTCCTCCTGCAGGGTGCACTGCAGCCTGCGCAGGCGGGGCATGGAGGAGAGCAGGAACGCCGCGCGGGGGACGGCCGGAGCGAGGCTGACGTCCTGTGAGGCAAAAAACAGACCTCTGTTGCAGGAAAGTTAACGTAAATAACGTGTTAACACACTAAATATTTTTATACAAATTTTGCACGAGACATGACAGTTTTTTTGAGCACACGAACTTTTCGTACAAATTTGAACAAAATTTTGTACAATTTTGTACAAAACTGGCGAAAAATGTGCAGTTTTTCGCACAAAATATGTACATAAATTTCGTGTGCACAAACAACTGTGATGTCTCGTGCAAAATTGTACATAAAATTTAGTGCGAACTGCGTTAATAATCCACTAACGTTCACGCGTTGGTTTTGTTAACTGATTAACTTTAGGGGAACGCATACATGTTAGCACTTTGCACAAACATTTATTTGGTGTAGAAGAATCAAGATTTTATGATTTTTATATTAAAACTCTTTTAGATAATTAAGTAAGCTTCAGTTTGACATAAAGTAAAGTGACTTTGGACACTTTTTGAAAATTTAGTACAAACGTTTAAAATTTTGGCCCTTGTACGACTTTGTCCGCATACTTGCTCAGATCTCGATAAGTCCATCTCACTGATAAAAATTTTGTCATAACTTAGCGTCACATTTATCGCTAACTTTTTTAGCTACAAGATTTGTTGTGGAACGAATAGCTTGCTAAACCGTAGTCGTATTGGAACTAAGGGATAATTTCACTACGACTAATTTGTAATAATGCACCAACAATCACACATCAACGACAAGTATTGAAAGTCCAAAAGAAATTTTGTAATGTCTGCGACAATATTCATAGAGTACTTTTGTCGCTAAATTTATTTTGCATGGTTTGTTCCACAATAGTCATTTCCCAATGACTTAGAAGAACAAAATAGATGATTATTCATAATATGCTTTAATTGAGCAGATAATTGCAAAAGATGTTGTTTCCACACAAATTGTATCGTAAAGAGTGATAACAAGAATTTTGTTCTTCAACGACAAAATGTCGCTTATTAGACTCAACGACATTTGTTTCGCTTTGGTTCATGATGAAATTCTGTGTTTTGGAACGACTAAATTTTCACTCATCTGATTGTTTCTGTACAACCATTTTTTAACAGTGCTGTCTCAGACCAGTCATGTGTAAACCATCATCGAGTTCCTGATCGATGGTCACGCGAAACGCCCAGAAATCTTTCACTTTGGCTAAAAATGAACTGGGACCAAACGAGCGCGCCCCTGGCAAAAATGTTTCTAAAGGTTCCTTTCAAAATTCGCGAGTTATTTAATTCTTATCGTGAATTCTCGAAAAATCTTCGTCAGTTTACGATGAGTGCTCCCAGTTGTTCGAAGAGTCTTTGTAAATTGCCGAGAATGTTCGGTAATTACCAAAGAATCTTCGACAATTAACGAAGGTATCATCCGCTGTATTCCCACAGGTACCTTCGTGAATTTCGGACATAAATTGTAAGTTAATTCCACAACGACAATTTAGTACGACACCACGGCAGTTCTAGGTGCAGATGAACTTTGCGTAAAAATTTCGTTAGAAAACAACTGCAAACATTGCCCCGGACAAATTTGTCCGAAAAAAATCACCTCCACCTAACTCTGATGTCTCCGTCTCGTACAAGATTTGAACAAAAACACTTTGGGTGTTCGTTACCTCAAGCGTGGCCGCATGCCACTTCAGGTGGAGAGGTAAGTAAGGGTCGAGGTAGGGGTGGAAGTACTTCAGGCGGCGTAGAGATGCCGGCACAGGAACTTCCCTGGCTTCGTCGGAGCTCGAAAGGGCCGGAAGTTCAGGCTCACAGAGGTTCAGCGAGATGTATTCAAGTCCTGAACAAAATGAAAGGAGTGAGAATCGGGGTCTGGGATCGCAAACTACACTCTACCAAAAATGTCCTGTAAATGCCGTTAATTTATTACCAGTTTTTACTGTAGGTCAATTCACAGCGTTTACTGTAATCTGCTCACGGGATTCACTGTGGTCTTGTTCGCGGTGTTCACTGTGATCTGGTCCCCAGTAAACACTGTGAGTTTGACGCCGCTGAGCACCGAAGGACTGCAAATCAGGCTCCAATTCACGGCGTTTACTGTGGCCAGATCACAGTGAACACTGTAACCGAGATCACAGTGAACGCCGTGAACTAGTTCACAGCAAACGCCGTGAATTGCATCACAGCAAACATTGGTAAAAAATTAACGGCGTTGACAGGACATATTTTGTAGAGTGTAGAGTGGACCCCAGTCTAAGTTCATTAGATGATATTCGAAGACAGCACGCAAATTCCCTGCCTGATACATTTTTTTGAATGTGGTCTCATTGCGCTGCGCATACATGCTTTTCGTACAAATTTACACGAAATTTATACGCAATTTCGTGCACGAATTTGAATTTGAGCGAGTATGCGCACAAATTGGCGCGATAAAGTTAGCACGCTCAAAATTACGTGAAGCCACGCACGACTTCGTAGTAGCCATGATGCCCCATCGCACCCACAGGACTCCCTACGACACCCTGCAGTAGGTCAAAGTTTTGTTTTACATATTTAGGCAAAAACGACAGTGTTCGCCTGCAAACTTGCAGAGACAAGGTCACTTTACTCCGCACCTCCGAGTCGGAAACCTTCCTTTTTCCTGACCCCGAGTCTCCATGGAAAGAAACATTTGTTGCTCTGAACTGGGGAACATCGGGAAATGCCAGAAGACATGCGCGAGAGGAAAGTGTGCCACGAAATCATCTGTATTTGGCGTTTATTAACGGCATTTTCTATATCTGAGACCAAAGGTGATTGCAAACGTTCGTCAAGTGTAAACAACAACCCACAACAAAACTCTAAAGAATACAAGACGAGATGCCTCAGTCAAATGATCCAGGAAGCGGAAGAAGGGGATAAGTCGAGTTGAATCCGTGCACTTTTGAAAGGCCTAAATCTTGCAGGTGAGAGAACGGGTGGGGAATGTCATCTAAAAATAGATGCAAGAGGATGGGACTTCTCTGCAAACTGAAGTGTGTACTCAGTATGAATCTACAGGTGCATACTTAAAAGTACACAGTTACAGATGCATACCTAGCTGAGTACACATCTACAGATGCATACTTGGCAGGTATGCATCTGTAGATGTGTACTCAGCCAAGTATGCATCTGTAGATGCATACTGAGTACACACTTCAGTTTGTAGAGTTGTCTCACCACACTTATTTTTGGACCAAATTTTCGCTCACGTTGATTTCATAGACTGATAAGAGGTCACTGAATCAACTCGACTTAACCCCTTCTTCCGTTTCGTGGATCAAATGTCTTGCTAAGTTTCGGTCACACCTGAAAGTCTCGCTGAAATGGTCCGACTAAAATGTCTTGCCTCAAAATGAATGAACTTTTAGGTCTGACCATAACCATAACCATGAGGTCACATTTTTGGAACCAAGTCAAACGAATCCATGCGGCCGGTACCGTGGTCAGACAAGAAAGTCTCACCACTTCGTGACGAGACCTTTTCAAGCCCAGCCAACTCCCGTGCTAAGGCTGTGGCCGGAGTCGGCCTGAGCTCAGTCTCCCCCATGGTCTCCCCTAAAAATATTTAACACCATTTCGACAAAAAAAAAAAGAGTTTGCCTGGACCCTCAAGTGGCAGAGAATATCACAGACTGACTCACCATGAGTGTTGAGAATCTGGTGCAGCAATGCGCGTAGTTTGCGCTGGAAGGATTCGTTTATAGGTTTACAAAAATCAGAGACACAGAAACGAACTCGTTTCAAACTCCCAAGAGAAGCTTGCCTGTACGGACACACATAAAAAGTCACGATAATTATTTCGTCTGCCTACACGGTAAAAACGGTACCTGGATTTCCCAGGAACCCTATGGTAGAGACATAGGCGATTTCCAGGGAGTTCCTGGGAAAACCAGGAACCGTTTTTACCGTGTACTACATTGGCATGCAAGCTGGCACCTCCCGAACCCTCAAGCACTGGAGGTTTGCTTCAGTTAGCGTGTACATGCACGTACGTTATACGAAGAAATAGTTCGAAAATTGCGAAGTATTTTCTTTGTAAGCTTATGCATGCTCAAAATGCTTTGCTATAACGACTACTTTTCTTTGAAAGGCCCTTGTAAGGTTTTCTCAGTGTGACATAAAGTATCGGGCATGGTTTAAAGGGGGTGGGAGAGGCATTGCCCCCCACCCTGTGAGATTTTCCCTAACTGCCTTACGGTAGGCAACCCGCTTTACATGCACTTGAAAGTAGGCCAAATACACATTATGGTTGTTGGGGGCTCCTTAAACCGCGCCAGGCATGTCTGCACTAGTTCATGCACGCACACCTGTGTAACGTTTTGCATAAAACATACTGCACAAATTTATGCACTGTAACGCATGTTATGTGAATTCCACGTATGCACGAGATCGTGCATACGTCACACATACGAAACATAAGCATTTAGTGTGTCGTAGTACTGTGAAGAATATTTCTTTTCAAGCTTTCAAGAGAGTTCATCAAGATTGTAAAGGGATTAAACACTGCCGCCGTAGAGTGTTGCCTCAAGTTCGCATCGACTGCTCAATCCATGTCACGTGAGCGAAAGTGTCCGAATGCTAAACGGATCATTTCCCTTCGCTGCGGCCGCCTCCCTTCCGCTTACCTGGCCAGGACCTGCGCCGCGAGGGATGTCTCCTGCGCGTAGAAGAAAAACTTGAGCTCCGAAACAGCGCAGTGAGTTCTCGTAAGGAGCCGTCCGCTTTTATCGTGCATGCTGCTTGAAACTTCGAGACGGCCCAAGCACGGCGCCAGACGCAGCACGGCGGAGGCCAGTTTCGGGTCGCTGCAGCAAATGGAACAAGTACTGTAAACGTCATGACGTGGAAAGATTGCTTTCCTCTTTGATCCTGTCGACAAAAGCCTTGAGAAAGTGAAGCTTGTCTATTGCTCATTTGCTCATGATAATTAAAACCAATCCAAAAATCGGAATTGTGCACACCAAGAGGGAGGTAACGTACTTTCACACATTTTCATAGCTTTATTTTTTTTAAAAAATAAGCATTTTGGGATCTACGATAAAAATGCTTAACTTACGGAAGTTAGTGGCTTTGTACGTGACCGAACAGCGATACTGGATTAAAGAACGAGTAAAAACCGACAAAAATTATAACATATGTAAAGATTTTACATTTATGGCTCTACTCAAGAAAAATCAATTCCTATTCTCAGTTTCCCATTTCAAAAGCGTTAATTTTCTTTGAGAGAATGCACTTGCCCATCAAAAAAGTACAGAGTTATGTGCCAGAAACTACCGCTAAGGCTGTATGAACGGGACTCTGCAATCCTTTACTCATAGCGTGTTACTGAGGGGTGGACCACCGACCCGGGAAGTGGAAGAAGGGGATAACTCTATTTTGGTCATTTTTGAGGAGAAACAAAAAGCTGTTAGCACGAATGTTTATGATGAGGTGTGGGTGAAAATGGAAACTTCTGTACCACTTGGCTGTGGTGGCTGAAACTTTACACACCAAATTTCATCCAAATCTACCCACCCATTTAGCCACAGTAGGCTTTTATCATTGAATTTAAGCGTTTAGTAGAAAAATCAGCCACGCAAAGTTTTTAGACGGAATGATCTGAAATTAGTTTTGGAGTAACCTAAACCCTATACTTCAATGGAACAGGGAGATATTTGAATTTTATTTTTTTTTTGTTTTGACTGAGCAAACTGCACAATCTTTTAATTGGAAAAAATAAGTTTTTTTCTCCATTTTTTACCACATTATGGTAGACGATTTAAGAAAGTGGATAGCTATTTGAAATGTCGCTCTGTTGCCTTGTCACATGGACCACAAAGAACTACTCCAAGAAATATGGTCAATATAGAACAAAACTGTATGCGTGGCTAGTTGACGGCGCACAGTGGGCTAAAACACCCTTTTAGGCGCTCAAAACCTATATTTCAGCCATTTTTGATCGTATATGTCCCGAATTTGGTGCAGACCCTCTTTTGGTCTTACTTTATGAGATTTTGAACAAGCGGCGGCAAGTGTGACCTTATCTCAGCCGTAGTTCACCGAAAATTGATTTAATATAATCGTATTTTTATGTTGTATATTTCTGAGTCTGCGGGAGCACTCTCTCTTTCCACTAGATCGATGCAAAACATATTGTAGGTTTTTTTAAATGTTAATTGCAGACGAAACAATTAAAAACCGCAAGGAGTCAAAAACATCACTTAAAATATATGTACGTTCTTAAAAACAATACTGTAAAAAAAAAATAATGGTTACAGATTTTATAGCAACTGTCAAACTTAAATTTCCTAAAATCAATTTTTAAATGATATACGTATCATTTTACTCTTCATGGAACAAAAACATGGCAGGCTCATTAGCCTGGTCATCAAAGGGGTCAACTAAAAGTGAAAGAACTGTGGCACACATTTTTTAAGACTTGACTTTAGGTTTTTTTCCTGAAAGAGCTGATGACAGGATGGGATGAAACAACATTGCAGTCAGAAGATCTGCATTCTCATCAATTCAGTTGCAAGCCCAGGTGGCCTTTTCTGGAGGGTTATTTGTAGAGAAGGGGCGGGGGGCTCCGGAAAAGGAGCCAAATAACACGTGAAAAGATAAGGGACGGTTGGGATGGAGACACGGTTGCATGGATTCTTTCTTCGTTGGGACGCATTTTCTACCGAAAACGGGGAAATTGCCAATTTTTTAATGTTTCACAGCCGTGTATTACTGTTTGCGCAAATATGCGCAGGTTTTCTCTGTTGATCCTTTCAATTGACACATAGGTTGATAATTTCCAGCGCTGAAACCTGCTTGATAGTGCTTGATTCTATAGTAGATCTCAAACTTTCGCTTTTAAAGTAACAATTATACAAATAAAGCGATTACATGCACACCAACACCCTTCAAATTATCGCAGGACGATAACTTGGGTATCATTTTGAACGGGAATACTTGTTCTTTAAAATGGAACCACCGGAGATTCAAAATCTAGATGCAAAGGCGTCAAAATCGCTGCGGCGTTTTGTTGAATTTTTTACTAAAAATAACACATTATCACAAGTTTTAACTTTGACGGCCTGTGGTGGTCGTAGTTTTGGTCTGACAACAAAAATACGCCCAGATTTGAAATCTGCGGAAAATTTCCTATCCGATGGAGAAAAAGTTTGCCCGTTTGAAAGATTTTCAAGAAAGAGGTTTTGAGCGCCTAAAAAGGTGTTTTAGCCCACTGTGCGGCGTAGAAAAAAAATTTCTTCGACACTTGTCGTAAAAGTTGGGTGACCAGAAAAAGCGCATGCATACATCAGTCCAGTCCATGTAAGATGAACACTCACTTAGGGGTTCATTACACAGACCTTTAGGACATGCTGTCGGTAATAGAAGAATATTTTACATTAAAATAACAAGTGGGTTAAATTTATCATTTTAATCAATTTTGGTGCAAATTTTCACCCACACCTCACCTTAATGATGAGAAAATCAGCATAGGTTAAATTTGTAGATCAACATCAAAAGTGTCAGGTCACTCCGTAGAAGATATTTGTGACTATCACTTCCCGTTATGATGGAAAACAGATCAAGTCAAGTGGAACTATAGTCAGCATTAAGTGTTTGCAACTCCGGTGGATTTTTCTGGACTTAGCTCTTTTCCCACCTCATCTGTTAAGTTGACTTGATTCTTTTCACATGGACTCATAAAAACACAAGTTGAAGTATCTCCTATTGACAGTATTTTTAACAGAGTCGTGTTGACTTGGGTTGAGTAATATCTACTATCTGTTAAATGGAAATCGTAAAAGGGGTCAAGTTGAATTATTCCCTTTTCGCATGTGTATTATCTCCTAAACTGGTTGGGTAGGAATTGAGTCTAATAATTTATGTCATGGTGTAAACCATTTTACAACATAATTTAATTTGGAAATAATTCAAGTTATTCCCCTCTTCCACTTCATGGATCACTTGTACAAGTTCAATGAGCGGGTGAAAAAGAACTCACACTGTTTCCCAGCGCTTGGATGGTAACGCCTTGTCCCGCCACAGCGACGGCTGCAACGCCATGTGACTCCACCGGCGGCAAACAGCGCGGCACTGCAGCAGCTGTCCTGGACTCAAAAAGCCGAGGATCAGGAGCAGGACGTCGTCGGGTAGCTCCATCTTCGGAACAGAGAAACAAACAGAAATCAATATAGAAACCAAACAAAGCGACATTCGAGGGTTAAGGGTAACTGTAAAGTGGACTTTGAATGCACTTGTAACACTTAAGCGTAACTCTATGCATGAGTCAAGCATAAAGTTACGCTTGATGACGTTTCGCTTGAAATGAAGCAAAATCTGGCAATTCCCTTATGCATTTAGATAGGGGGAATCTTGACGGGGGAGTGTGCTACGCTTCGGAATTCTTCGCCAGATCGGGCCTGTGGGGCCAGCCGGGCACCTGCTTGATTTGAAGCGTAAACTGATAACGCTTAAAAATAGAGGGTAATACTACGCTTTAGTTTTGTCAGTATGTCCTTTAAAATGCCTTAGAAAGCTTCGGGCGCCTTCGCCCCCACTCCGCTGATTTCGACCCCCACCACCGCTCAGCACAGCCGCGCGACGCTCTTTTGTTTCTCCCGTTCTGTCGCTGACTTCCGGTCTAGGCTTTCTCCGAAGTACCCTATTGTCCCCCTGAGCCTGACCTCACTCAAGCTCAAGTAACATATCTGAAAACTTAATTGGCTGAGCGTTAGCGAAGCCCGTTACTCCAGTAGGGTTGAAAAGTTTTGTCCGTCTGTTTGTCTGCGTGCGTGTGTGTGTGCGCACTCCTCCTCCTGAACGGCTCGGCCGATCTGGCTGAGATTTTTCAGGGTCATTAGGTATGTCCTTGGCTCGCCACCAGGGATGATACCCAAACCGAAACGATACCAGGGCCGTTACGACAACAGTTTGCACATATGACTGAAACTCAAAAAGTGTTGCACCTGGAACCAAGGGAAGAGCTTTTCCTTGTTGATCAAGGCGTACCGGAGTTTTGTTCCCATATGGGCCAAGTCCAAATTCCGCTTCCCCCGGGTTCTTTTGGGGCCTTAATCAACAAAACTCAAGGGAAGCGGAATTTGGACTTGGCTCATATGGGAACAAAACTCCGGTGCGCTTGATCACAGGAAAAGCTCTTCCCTTGGTTCCAGGTGCTACACTTTTTGAGTTTCAGTCATATTTGCAAAACGTTGTCGTAACGGCCCTGGTATCGTTTCGGTTTGGGTATCATCCCTGCTCGCCACACACCAAAATTCAGCTTTCTATCTCAATCCATTCGGTCATATTAGCCAAAAAAAACACTTCAAAAACGGCAGAAAAAAGGCAACTCTTTAGTACTTTCAATTTTTTGTCAAGTTTCATATATCATTTCATATGTTTTGGAGGCTGCTGAGGACGAAAATAAAACCCGTTCAGACCCCCGACCGAAAGTTGAATCCCATCGGTGTAGATTTTGATGACCAAATGCTGTTGTTTGAGGGGATCACGCCCATTTCTGCGGTCTGCCTAGGAAAGCAGCCTGCCGAAGGCAGGTTAGCGCCGCAGGCCAAGGTAGGTGTATACGCCAGGCGTGGATTGTCGAAACTGGCGCAGCATCGCGAAGCCTGTTACGACAAGACACGGTCTGGCGTACACCTACCTTGTTTACTTCTTGACATAAACTGTCAAATTCTTAACCTCAAATGTAGTGTGCCACAAAGCGTCTACAGTTTCCTTGGAAAAGTCTCACGACCTAAATTTATTTTTCACAAGTAAATAATTGCCACCTAAGCATTGGGTTATTGAAGTTGTTGAACGGAACCGCCAATCTGGAGCCTTTGAGGTGGACCAAAGGACGCGAAATTGAAATAGGACACGAAAATGACCACAGCTATCGATGCTGAAGAGTAAAGAAACAGTGAGTGACGCAACAAACCTTCAAACCACTCACGTAATGCTCCTAGACGATAGATCCTGACTTCTGAAGCTTTGATCCCAGCAGTCAACCATGAGAGTCAAGATCAAGATTGTGGCCCAGCCAGCCCTGCCACGAGGCTACCTAGCGTTGCACGAGCACGAGTGTCCTCGCATATCTAAGAATAAGAACAAGAGGAAGACCATACACACAAAGCAGCAAGATCTTGCTCGTGGAAGAACAAACCGGAAGCTGGGAAGATAAGAGGTAGCGAGCCCGGTTTTCCGGTAGGAATGTTGGCAAATGTGTTTCTTTCCTATGCCAAATAGTATTAACAGACGTAATTGCGAAATACGTACGCTTCTCAAAACTTTCGGCGCCACTTCCGATTTTGTTCTTCCTCTTGTTCTTCGATCGGCAACGACTAGAATTCTCTAATGCTTCTAAAAACTGACATTGGTCATATTGATCCTGTTTGCGTTTGCCTCTGTGATAAAGGTTAATAAGAAAAGTAACCACTAGTCACAATGAAGCTTTCTGACTGGCCGGAAAGCAGGCAGCCTCTCCGCACCTTTCGTGAGCAAGTTTAAGATGAACGAGAGGAAAATATTGTACTAGGTGTTTCTCCTCACCCGTTTTAGATCGGCAGCCACTCACTTCACTATTCTTATTCAGCGTGCTTCCCGGGTGGAAAGGACTGCAGTTCATACTAAGTCCCAACTACAGTCTTAAACTGTAGTGCCTAAACTGTAGTGAATAATGCAAACGAAGTGCATTATGAAAATACAGATCGCCATGTAGACTGGAAAGTAGACAAAAACATACGTGAACTATTATCAAAGCATAGTTTCGACTGCAGTTTATAAGTAGCGTTCTAAGTGGTATCGAGTCTGCTATCGGAATGTATTTTCGAATGTACATTTGAAGTGCTCACCGATAGTGAAGTAATAATTGTACTTTTATTCTAGCAGTTTTGCGCTTCAGGCTTCATTTCGCCATGCGTGTCGCACGATGAGTCGAAACTGCTGTTTTACTCTTACAAGGTATACACTTTTTAAGTTAGACGCGAAGTGTCATCAGAATTTGCAGACTCTAAGCTGTTCGTCTAGGGGTTCTTGTCCTCTGATCGTGGAAGAATAATTTAGGTTCGGCAAGGCGCAGCATTAGTTGTAGCGGAGAAAAGGTAAATTTTTTCCCGGCAAGTGCATTTTGTGTGTAGCTCAACTGCAGAAAAACTGTAGTTCATCTGAACAGTCGTTACGGCGGGAGGCCTTGTCATGTGGTCGGGGCATCGCACGCTCGTCCCCACGGGCGCTCACCAGCGTAGTGGATAACACAACAATTCCACAACACCAAAGATCCAGGATCGAACCCCAACACTGACATTACACTTTCACAATTCCAAGATACGAAACATACCATGAGAGGGAGGGGGCACAGGAGAGGGGCATAGAAGGAGAGAAAAAGAGTCGGAATGTCAAAAATTTTTGATTTTTGAACTTTGCATTGTTCAGTACATTTATGATTGTAATGGTGGTTGTAGTTTAAATACGTTTTGGAGCTGTATTTTAAAGAATGATGTCAACTAGATTCAAAACTGCAGAAAAACTGCTAATGTCCGAAAAAACTACCACTTTCCCAGTACATAAACTGCAGTTGAACTGTAGTTAACTATAGTTTAACAGTAGTTTGAGCAGTTTAACTGCAGTTGGAATGCATCTGGACTGCATGGACCTATCTGCAGTCCAAGTACTATTACTTTACATTTAAAATGTACTTGTGATCAGTAGATTAACATTAATCCATGCACAAATAGACAACAAATGTCTTACAGTTTAAGTAGTGTAACACGTGCATTTTCGAAATGTAAACGAAAGTATACTCCTTTCCACCCGGGTTTGAAAACAAATTAACTCTAGACGAATATTTACACATTTACAAATTTACATACAGATGTGTATATATACCCACATATATACCCACCCACATTCAAGAAACTTTGCCGCCTGGGTTCACTGAGATTCCAAACGCTATGAATATAGAACGTGTGGTGAAATGCCCTGAGAAATGGCACCATACGTGCAATGCCTCAGCCATATTACATCTTACGTGCAAATGCGTCCCGAAAATGCCCTATGCTTATGCATGGGAATGGGAAGGTATTGCACGTAATGTGCAGTGCAATAGCATTGCACCAATTGACACTATATTCATAGCTTTTGGATTCTCTGCGTTAATAAGGGGCCCAACGGAGGTGTCACAACTCAGCTCAAGCACCTTCTTGCCTATTTTCATGATTAACAAACCCCCAAATACCGATAAAATCATCGAAAATATCTAGTTTCGGCGTATACTGAACAAAGTGTCGACACGATTACCTGAGAGATGGACCTCTCGCGGGCCTAACACACTGTCTACACATTTCCTTTTCATCACTCCTGCAGAGTGTTCGCGACGCCGGCACGTCAAATTTCTGTCCGTCTTCGAGTGAGTCGCCGTCCCGACGGCAGGCAGCCGCGATGCTCCTCCCATGGCGTGAGTGCACGCCCCAGGCTCCCCCAGGCTCGCGCACGCACGCCACTGCATTGATAATGACTCCCCGGGGCGTCGCGTGCGCTGGTCACGCACCTCGCGGCGTGGCTCGGTGCGGTTGCAGTGCAACGCGAGACAGTGTGCCTTCCGTGGCCGCGGCTCGCGTTTGACGGCTCGCAGCGCAGCGGCTCACCGCGACAGCGCGACGCAACAAGTCTGGTATACTGCCAGTGTCCGACCGCGCCGGCCGCACAGTGGGCCTGAAGACCGGTGGAGGCGGCCACAATAGGGCACTTCGGGGAAAAGCTGGACCGGAAGTTGAGAAGAAATCAAAAAGAACAAACGCTGGACTTAAATGAGAATATAACTCTGCGGAAGCGGCAGAACGGCGACGCAGACGCTCATTCTTACACATTTCGCATACTTAGTTCTTCTTGATTTCTTCTCAACTTCCGCTCCAGCCCTTCTCCGAAGTACCCTATCCTAGACGTGCTTTGCGCTCCTGAGTCGCTGAACAGGACTCAAAACCGAACTTGTGATCTCATCAATGGACTGCTCGCCGGATAAGGAATCCAAAGACTATTACGCTGAATCCGCTACCATCCCTCGAGAAAACAAATCCACCGGAAGTCGTGTCGCGTCGGCTAATCAGAAGCCTCCGTTCATCATTGGTAGCGCCCATTCTTGAAAGGATAGGCTCTGATTAGCCGACGCGACCCAACTTCCGGTGCATTTGTTTTCTCGAGGGATCGAAGCGGGTCCAGCGAAATAGTCCATTGGTGGGGTCACGCGTTAGGTTCGCGTCCGATCTAGTGACTCTGGAGTTCACATCGCGTCCTGTAAGTTTAACCGCCCCCACCGCACGGCAAAAACGGAACCTGCTTTTCCCAGGAAGCCATTGGTGAAGACATAGGCGATTTCAAGGGAGTTCCTGGGAAAACCAGGAACCGTTTCTACCGTGCGGTCTTTTCACCCACTGTGGGCCGGGCCTTACCGCACCCCGATAGGATCTTTCGCTTGTCGGTATCTAAACCGCTGAAGAAGGGTATTGAGTCGACTGCCCCTTGAACACAGACACTGCTGAGGACTTCCGTGGACCCTGGAACGGAAGTGCGCCATGTTGGCGGAAGTCGATCAAGCGTGACATGGAAACAAAACGATATGCCAACATGACGGTCACAAATCAACTTCTCGTCTGAAACCTACTTCATAGCAGTATTTCTGTTTCTAGGCCACAATCTGTACCACGTTGAGGTCGTTTCTGTTGACTTCCGGTCCACAGTCCCCGAAAGTATCCTTCACTATTCCCCTCTAAATTCAACGGTCATGGTGCTGTAATTAAATAAGAAAACCCCTCGGAGTGTGACGCGACCAGGCCGTAGGTTTTTCTTTAGCTAGTGGTAGTAACTAACACCACCATTCAGGACTCCAGTTCGGCTCGCGGAACCGCGAGTTTTTTCCAGATGCCTGTGTGTGGGTGTCAACTCTCGTCCCCGTGCGATTTTGGATGCAAGTGACTTGTTCAGGTGGTCGGGATCCTCTTATCAAATCGTCACCCACTTGTTGCATGCCTTGAAATACTGCCTTGCAAGGTGGAGGTGACACAGCACTAAATCGACTCTTTACAGAGTATGCCTGCTAATGGAGTTGTATTTCTTGGTTTGATAATGTATCCTTCACGAACTTTGCCTGCTAACAGTTTCTAGTTTTGAATTTTGTAGTCACTATTTGGCCAGAATTCGATCAGTCTGTCCGCTTTGAGCGGTTTATTTCAAATGGCATTGATACGCATAAGTCGAATGGCTAGGAACAAATTATATTTAAAATTCAGATTTCTGGCGCTCACCGTTTAGTCGTACCTGCTCCCTCGTGTTTTCTCAAGAGTGCTGCCAACTCTACGAATATCGTGGGCGACAGTTCCAGGAAAATTTCAGTGAGTCCACGCGTTACGTCGATTCGGACACACGCTCGGCACCAATTCAGAGCTGCGGCCACTGTTAAAGAAAAATATCGGTACTACCCCATTTTAGTGACCGACGTGAGCCCCAGGGACTCGTATCGGCGACAGGCCTCGACGATGCGACTCCATTCCCCTGACACACTGGACACAGTTTGGAAAAGAGAGGTAAGTCTACCGAGGAAGTCTAAACATCGTCAGATTCCTACCGGAATAATTGCTTGTTAATCTTGAAGCGCATCGCGATATCAATACTCAGAAAACGAGGCAACTGCTTTGTGAAGAAAATACAGGAATTGTAGAATTTCTCCGTATCATGAAGGAATGCTTTTGTATAACGAAGGATTGCGCTTGAAAACGAATCGTTTCTTCTTTCATTTTACAATGCCTTCTTTTCCGTCGTATTACGAAGCGGTTCTTTGTTCACTTTTTACTGTGAGGTCCATTGAATTCCATGCGCCTGAAAAATCTATTGAAGCCCAAAACATAGGCTACCCCTTAAACCAAAAAAATCAAAACTCGAAATTTGGGTGTTAAACTTTGCCAAAGCTTGCAAAATCTCTTCCCTTCAAAAACTTTTATAAATAATTGAAAATTATGCCATAATATGAATCTAATTATCAAAAGTACAGTGCTTTCACTGAAAGTCTTGATCTATTATACCCAATTTCAGGCGAGGTATACTTTATCACCCCAATTCGGGTGAGGGCCATACATATTCTCTTTGAATTGTTTGATTTCATTTGATTTGAGTAATAAATGGGCTGTCAGCTGCCTATAGGGCCAGATAGTATCACCCATATTCCTAACCATCTCCCGTATTTGGGTGAGGATGGTTCCCCCTCTCAAATTTGGGTGCTAAAATGATTCTCTCCGCGAATTGGGCAAAGGACACCCCACCCTAAATTTCAGTCGTCATTGTGACTCTTTCACTCTCAGTTTTCGCGAGCCAGATCGTGTCAATCGCTCCCGGTTCCGTATTGCGCTGAAAGTCGACCAGAAAACCTCCGCACCGAATCTTCTCGAGGTGGACTGTGCTCAGACGGCCGGCACACGCAACGCTTGAGACTCTTGGCGCGCTCCAGTGACAATGGGGGAGGGCCGTGAATCATGACTTAGCACACATAATGAAGAATTCGTTGGACTGAAAAATTAATGGCGACGGTCTGGACATGAGAAGCAGGCGTGCCCCTCTGTGCAGGTTGGCTGTGGGACACTCCGGCAGCGGCCTCACGCAGCAGCAGACGACAGCACCGCGCCGCGCCGCCCGGTGGCCGACCGCCTGCGACTCCAGCCTGCCCCGCAGCTCCACTGGACGTGTGTAACCAAGCCCTGCCTCCTGGACTCTCGCCCTGCCTCCGCCGCTGCACTGGCAGTCCCGACGATGCGAGCCGCCGGTTGCAACCCGTTACCCTTCAGGATGCGTCCGAAAGTCATACTGACGTTCTTGTGCCAACACGTCCCGTCAAAATGCCACTGCCGAATTCAGGCCACCGATTGCGTCTGTTACCATGTCTGGACGATCCTTACTGGCATTGGAGCTGAACGCAGGCTGTGGGTGAGGTGGACAGCTGCGCAGGTGGTTTGCTCTCACGCGTTCCGCCTTTTGGCCCCTGCCAGTGCAGGGTGGGTGCCGTGCATCCATTCCTCCGTCCGAGCTTCTCCCGTTGTCGGCATTCCCAAACGTCCTTAAGGGGAAATCACTGTGAGTGAATTTCAGTGTACGAATATAATAAATTTCAGTTGAATTTTAATGAATTTCAGGCAAAAACTACTGAATTTTATGAAAAATTTCAATGAATATAAACATATTTTGATGAATTTCAATTAATTCCAGTGAATGTCACAAGTTTGATGAAGTTTGGTGTACTAATTTGGCTGCAGTTATTTCCCTTTGAACGTGTTACTGAAAAATGCCGCGCAGTCATGATACTGAGCTAATTCTGAGTATTCGGCACACTCGCAGACTCGTACTTACCGCGAGTTTTTCACAAATGACGCATTGACTTTTGTGCACATAATTAAGCATAATGGCATTTTTATTTCTTTCACAATTTTCTATAATCAATTTTGTCTCGACTAATATGTTAAGCATCTCAACAAAATTCTATTAAACGTCAATGAACATTCATAATATGTCAATTAAAGGATGAGGGTGCGACACCAAATCTTAAATAATAGAGAGAAATGTGTTAGTAATGTGAAGGAACTGCTCATAAGTTGCTAAGATCCCTTCACCACAGTTACTGCCTTCGCTGTGCTGTCAAAACACTGAGCTTTCTGTGTGTATTACGAAGAAAAAGATCGCGGTAGGATGTTGAGAGTGCGATCCTCGTGAGAAGGTCAACTCATGGTTGTACATGCGCACTCCATAGTAACGACACAATCTATCACGTGGCTGCCGATTTGGTGCTGTCGCAGACGTCCTTTCAGTGTGTCACAAAGAGTCAGGAATTGTATTCGACTTACTGTTTGAAGACTTTCACAACATTTTTAAATAAATAAACTCAGGGGTTCTACTTTTGATTTGTTCCGTGGCCTAGGACTTCACCCGAAGTTTGAGTATAATCGACGATTTAGTTCAAGAGGCTTGCCATTGGATTCCATTTCGTACACCACAAGCTGAACTGTGTTCTGGGTATACATCTTCGGATGCATGCTTTGAAAAGTACACACTTGAGATATTTGCATCTGTAGATGGGCACTTGGCACACAGTTCAGTTTGTAGCGCAGTATATTCTTCACAAGCAATGTTCGCAAAATTTAACATTTTCGGGGAGGAAGGGACTACCTCAATCAGCGCGGATGTTTCATGGGATGTCTCGGCACTGACGTTGACACGGCATGTTTACACATTTAGTGCCGCCGGGAGATTGCCGGGGAGTCGGCGGCCTTGCCAGTGCGATGTCGATGGTCACGGACCTTGGCTTTTGGATATGGCTTCTGCGACGAGAAGGCCCGAGAGGACTGCGACAACGCATCTTCGCCATGTTCGTCTGCAGTATGGTAAAGATCGCATCACAGCACCAGAGGAAAGAAGGATTAGTTACCAACCCTGCAATTCTTCACACTGTTAGTAACTCAAAGAGTCGGATCTTCTCGCCAAATTTCGGCGACAGTGCACATTAAACGCATTTGTACAATTTTGTACGTGGTCTCACAACTATTTCGAACATGCAAACTTTTAAGTACAAATTTGTTCGGAGAATCGTACAGCTTCGTGCGACGCAAATGTGCGGAAAGCACGTGAGTGTACAAACAAGTATACGCAATAGTCTGGCGGGACAACAATTTGCCTGCACGGTAAAAACGGTACCTGGTTTTCCCATAGATGTAGAAACATAGGCGATTTCCAGGGAGTTCCTGGGAAAACCAGGAACCGTTTTTACCGTGTGGACCGTTCGCGCCGTACCCGTTTTCCGAGCTCATTTAATAGTTTATGTAGAATAAGAACGGAGGATCCGTGCTTTCTTCCATGTTTCCTTACTCGAGTCTTCCTGTACATTTACCTTAAAAAAGTACGTATTTGTTTTAGTGGAGACTCGTTGTATCACCGAATAAACGCCGCATCACACAAAAGGGTCACACATTAGCGAGATTCACCCAGTTGCTCCGAGTAAGACTCCCGGCTTCGTGTGATCTAGGATCAACTTTGCTTCTGAAACCAGCGTTAAATCCTCTGCTAGTTTCGAAAAACTTGTTCCCGGCCTTTCGACGAAATGACTGATCACCCACATGAAGCAGCTATGATTTTCTCCGAAGCTGCAAAGACCACTTTTCAAGGTGGGGTGGGATGGGTTTCAGTGTGCCGCGACTCTACACTGGCAAAACTAAAGGTTACTCGATAGTTCTACGCTTCTTTCAAGCACAGGAACTACGCTCGAAGACCTCACGGTAAAAACGGTACCTGGTTTTCCCAGGAGCCCTAAGGCGCAGACATAGGCGATTTCCAGGGGGTTCCTGGGAAAGCCAGGAACCGTTTTTACCGTGCTTACTCCCTCCTAGAAGCGTACAGTGCAACTACGCTTCAAGACATGCCCTCTGGAGACCTAGATCCATGGCTGCTACGTCCCCTCATTTAGATGGGGAAAAGCGGGAAAACGGAGCGCATGAGCTCGTACACTGCGAGAAAGGCGTACAGACTGCACGCTCCACGAGTGGCTCAGTGATTTACTCTGGTCGTGCCAGTGTAGGTGCCCCAAGTGTTCGTGGGGGTGTGTGCAGCCATGATGGGGACGGCCGCGCTGCTTTCGGCCGACCTGGTGGAGGCGTCGAACCCCGCCAACATGGCCTGCGGCTTCTACTCGTGTCTTGGCGCCAACGTCACCTTCTACCGGAGACGCGACCGCACCCTGGCCATTCTCAGGGACCTCCAGGACGTCGCCAAGCAGATCCAGAAGGGTGCCGACGAGGACCCTGTCATCCAGGTGAACACCATAACGACGCGTACTAATAGAGCAATCTTAACTGTCAGAGCAGATTTAGAACTATCCTAACTGCAGAGGCACCTAAAAGTGTTTATGAACTATCTTCACTGCAAAATCAGTGAATATCGATATCTCTGAACTTGAGTTCTGACTCTGACAGGGTAAAGCCAAGCTTTTGAGTTTTCTGGCATAAAAATGGACAAGGTCGTCATCGACTCTGCGCTATTAAGCTGCTTGAGGGTTTCTTCAAGTTGACTTTACTTTGTTGGCAGAAAGTGCTGGCGCATGCGCACCGCATGCACCGCAGAATGACAAACCTGCAGGTTAGTGATATGTTCCTCATCCAGCGTATGGGTGCGTGAGACCATGGATGGATGTGAGACCGCTATGCCAGACTTTCCAGTCGGGACTTCCGCAACTCCTGTCGATTCTTCACATACCGCCTAGTTCCCGCGAAAAATTGTCGATTTCGCAAGGTTTTCCTCAAAAACGGTACCCAGCTTTTCCAGGAAGTCTAAAGTACAGACCTGTGAGATTTCCAGGCGAGGTTCCTCACTGAGAATGAAAGAGTCACCACCATCGCCCTTTCATTGGGTGACGCACGCATCGTCGCTCAAATTTGGGCAGTCATAAAATCGTCGCCCAAATTTGGGTAACGTCGTCGGCGACGCCGTGAGGTCCCCGATGACGTTCTTCCGGGGCCACCACGATGACCCAATGCGGCGTTGAGGCCTTCGGTCATCGTGGTGGCCCCGGAAGGACGTCATAGCGGACCTCACGGCGTCGCCGACGGCGTTACCAAAATTTGGGCAACCTAACGCCTGTTACCAAATTTCGGGTGATGAATTTTTCGTCACCCAAAATTGAGCAACGAAGTTGCATCACCCATTTAAAGGGTGATGGTGGTGACCCATTCATTCTCAGTGCTGGGAAAACAAGGAATCGTTTTTGCCAAATATTCTCTCAAGCATACATTTTTTTTCAAGAGTGTACTTCGTAGACAGTTGGGTTTACTGTTCTTGAGAGTGTGCCTTCGCCAGACCTACTTCGGCAGCGCCATGATCGGCAGCGTGTGGCTGACGGTGCTGGCCTCGGGCGGCTTGTACTGCGCCGTCTGGCCGGCCCCGACCAGCGACGAGGCCGCGCGGGCCGGGGGCTTGGCGCAGGCCGTGCTCATGCTCGTGGGGTGCACGGGCTTCTACGCGGCGGGCAGCCTCATCGGCGTCATGGTCACGTCCCTCATGGGCCAGTACGGCGTGCTGGGCGTCTGGCTGCGGAGGGCGCGCACCAACCGGGACGTGGAGGCCGCCATCGCCCTGCACCAGAAGGTTTGCGTCGGCCGCCCCGCAGTGCGCCGGAAGACCGGCCTAGACGTTTTCAGCTCCAGAGTCGCTAAACAGAACTGGAACCGAGCGTGTGACCCCACCAATGGCCTGCTCTCCGAACGAGGAATCCATTGGTGGGATCACGCGTTCCACTGCAAGAAAAATTGTGAATAGTACAACAAATGTACACGGTAAAAACGTAACCTGGTTTTCCCAGGAAGCCTGTGGTAGAGACATAGGCGGTTTCCAGGGAGTTCCTGGGAAAACCAGGAACCGTTTTTGCCGTGTACAACAAAAGCTATACGATAAAAGTTTAACAGGGATTGTAGAAAGTACAACGAGAATTGTACAAACCACAACGGGGCCTAAACTGCACAGCAATCCTGATGCCGGTTCCATTGTACTTTGTACAACAATTGTTGTACTTTGAAAGTACAATAAATTCCTGACGATAAAAATTACCAGAAATGTGTGTACTTTTGTTGTGGGTTTTTTCTTGCAGTGTCGGTTCGAGTCCCGTTAAGCGACACTGGAGCTCAAAACGCAGCCGGGATTTTGACCGCCTCCTGCTTACTCGAACGCTAGAGGTCTGCTGAGGCCTAACAGCGCTGATGATGATGACCGGTCTTCTGGCCCACTGTGCGCCCCCACACTGAAAAAAAAGTCTAGTTACAGCAACTAGGATTTTGGTGCCAATTACCAGACAGTCTAATTGAATAGGAACCAACAAGGAATCTAGTTACAAATACCAGACTGCCTAGTTGGTCTCTGTCTAGTAAAAATAACCAGATTCTTGGTAAACCTTACCATGCCATCGGACCCCCAATCTAGTAAAATTAACTAAATTTCTAGTAAAAATTTTGAGTTGAGACAAGACAAAGCAGAAGAAGAAAATGGAATTTCTCAACTCTACGCCCCCACATGTACGCTGGGAGGTCGTAAAGCTGGGAAGAATTATTTTCCGGTTTGCTTCTGGCCGGGATCGAACCACCCATCTTCCCCATCGAGCCAAGGGGTCGTTGGCCACGCGCACCAACCCCCACATGGGGGAGCCCGCCCGAAGGTTTGGGCGGCCGCCCCCCGGGGCGCCAGCCGGCCAGACGTTTTCGCTCCAATCCCAAGGCAGCTGAACGAGGGGGCCCCCTGGCCTGCTCTCGAACGGGTCCTTTGGAGATTCAGGTCACCGAAGGGATTCAAACGCATTGTTAAAATTTAGTCTCTTCCAATTTTAAATTACGAGGACAATTTAACAGGGATAGTTTAAAAATACAAGGAATTTAAAAACACAACGCTGGTAAATGTTACCAAAACCATGCCTTAGTAGTACAACTTTTTAAAATCTAAACCTGAAAAAAATTTCCAAAAATGTTTTTTAGTTGTTATTACCGGTGGCTCCCCTTAAACCCAGGCAGCCGGGTTTTTTGGTACTTTTAACCCAAGGGGGGCCCCCTTTTTTTTTCCCCCGTGCACACTGGATAACGAAAAAGGCCTGCTCCATTGCACTGCAAATCCAAGTGTAGGACAGGTCGACACTTTAAAGCGTAGACCAGTTTGTCCTACGCTTGCAAGTGTCGACCACTTGTGTCCGACGCTTTGAAGTGTCGACCACTCAGTGTTCGACGCCTGCAAGTGTCGACCATAGCATGTCCGACGGCCGAAGTGTGGGACCACAATAGGAAACTCAGTGTAATTTGCCGTAGGACAAACAGTGACCTGCACATGCAGGCGTCGGACAGAGTGTGGTCGACACTTCAAAGCGTCGCACACAGCTGGTCGACACTTGCAAGCGTAGGACAAACTGGTCTACGCCTTAAAGTGTCGACCTGTCCTACACTTGGATTTGCAGTGTGGCCTTCCTATGTAATTTCAACGTGTTTTTTTTTCGAACAGATATTATGCCTGGCACGGAAGGTGGAGGAGCTTTACTCTGACAGCATAACGCATTTCATGCTGTGCTGTTTCTCCGCCCCTTTAATAAGCACTCTGCAAGTAAGTTGGTAGGAGATTGATTCCTTGCGTGTCGTGCTTTTCTGCGTTCTGAAATATGAAAAGAAAAAAAAGGCCAGTGAATGTATTGATTACTGTACGGTACTGTACGGGCAACCCTCTTAGATGGTACAGTGGAGATTGGCAATTTGCCACAACGCACCCTTTTTTCTCTCTCAGACGCGCCGTGGCAAGATGGCCTGGTTTTCTCAGAAACCCATTTGTTGCGATTTATTGCGGCTTTTGTGTCAAACTGCGCCGTATCACACAGTGGACCAGAAGACCGGTGGTGCCGGTCAAAATCCCGGACGCGTTTTGAGCTCCAGAGTCGGCAAATGAGACTCTAACCGAAAGCGTGACCCCCCCGCCCCAATGGATTCTCTCCGAACCAGGAATCCATTGATGGTGTCACACGTTCGGTTTGAGTCCTGTTTGGCGACTCTGGGTGAAAACACGTCTAGAGTTTCGGCCGCCCCCACCGGTCTTCTGGCCCACTGTGCATAATGTGGTCCAGGTGCTGAACGACGAAATGGGCATGCTCACGTTCACGGCGGCCTTCATCAACCTCGCGGTGTTCATGCCGCTGGCCATCCTCAGCCAGAGCCTCACGGACGTGAGCCTGACAGTGCGGGAGAACGCGTTCCACGCCGCCTTCGAGGTGGGCATGTGCGAATAGTTCGAAATCAAATCGAATCAGGCGATATTCGATTGAATTTGCTGAGTTTGACCTAGAATTACTCGAAATTTCTGATCTTTGGTGGTGGTTCGTCTTCGAACTGAGGCTGACGGAAAGGAAAAAGTCATTAACCGCCAGGAAACTCCGAACTGGCACCAAATGGTTCGGGTTCTACGTCAACTCCTTACCTGATTCGATTACTAAGACTTATGTAAGATTCAATGCTAGTTCGAATTCAAAAAATTATTTATGATTCAATTCTAATTTGATTTAAGACAAATTAAGGTACGATTCGAAATTAAAAACCAATTTAAGATTCAAGTTGAATTCGATTCGCATTCAATTCAAATAAATTTTGATTGGAATTGAATTCGAATTAATTTTGATTCGAATTAAATTCTTATTCAATTCGATTCAAACTCAATTCGATTCGAACTCAATTCGATTCGAACTCAATTCGATTCGAACTCCATTCGATTCGACATCAATTCGAACTCAATTTAATTATTCGAATTCGATTTGTAAACATAACACTGCAAAAAATTGCGTAGTTTTGTATGGAGAATGTGCAGACGAAAATGGTAGGGAAGTACGGAAAATTGTACGGAACGTCCGTTTGTCCCATAAGAACTCAGGTAATTGGGTACGGTTAAAAAGTACAGAAGTTCCGTAGTAGGACAGGTAGGGATGGTTCAGGCAAATTATTGACCAGACATGTTCACACTAAATTACTATGTAGGTTTTTCTGCGCGCCAATGCACGAAATTAAACATGCACTTCGTAACGCACGAATTTCTGCGCGACAATGGACGATTTTCTGCATACTTGCGCACGAAATCGTGCATTTTCGCGCACAAATTCGTGCGTTAAGAAGTGCATGTTTAATTGCGTGCATTGGCGCGCAGAAAAACCTACAAAGTACTTTAGTGTGTTCCGTACTTTTTCCGTACTTTTTTCTCGCAGTGAAGCCTAATTTAAGATTTGGTTCGAAACTAAACGTGTTGATTCGAGGTGGACGACGACGACACCCCCGGCATGCGCCGCGCCCTGCTGCTCATGGAGATACTGGCCGAGCGGCCGGCCAGACTCAGCTTCAAGGGGCTCGGGCCGCTCAACCTGAGCAGCGCCGGCAACGCGCTCCGCACCTGGTACTCCTGCACCAGCGTGCTGGCCAACGCGGGACCCAAGAAGGGCTAGCTTTCTTAGCTTTCTGCTGTGATCTGCGACGTTCGCTATCAAGGTTTCCATTGGGAATACATCTGTTACGTTGCACTTTCAACTGTGGTCTGATTTCACAACCTCTCATCCCAGCACACGTGTATGTGTCCATTGTCCTTAATTATTGCCATATTTGAGTACATTTTCAAGCTATTTACAATTTAATTTTCCTAAATTAGGGACAATGTTTCCATATTGGGATTAAGTTTATATAAATTGTACACAATTTATGTACGCATTTTGAAGTAACTTCCACCCAGCTGCATTTATGTGCAAAAAGTTAAGCATTTAGGGTTCGATCGTCGAGCCACCTATTTTACAGTGGCACCGCAGTCAACACCTGAATGCCTTACAGTATGAAACTTGAGCTGTGACAACGAATTCCGCGTAGGGACGTAAAATTTCCCGCCAATGAAAATCTTTTTCAAGATTCTCATCACACAGAAAAAACATCGTTGTACGAAAAAAAGCCACGTTCATATTAACACTGTGGCAAAAAGCTACGGAAAATTCTGTATGAAGCTTGTGGTGATTCTCTGTACCCCCTTGTCAATGTTCTACGTAAGACCTTCTTACAGTCTTCTCCGTGGGACCTTACAGTGACCTCCGTAGGACAATGCAGTCTTTCAGGTCCTACGGAGAAGACTGCACGACGGTCCTACGGAGGATAGCCTACTGGAAGAGCCTACGGAGAATATTGATAAGAGGGCTACGGAGAATCTTGGTTAAAAAAATAAACAGAATTTTCCGTATCTATTTGCCGCAGTGTAGCCTGTGCCATTTCCTTCGTATCATGGGAAATTTCCTCGTGAGACATAAGGCGGTCAGCCCAGCCGTCCGTGGCGGGCCTTGACCAGGTCCGCGGCGCGCTCGGCGAGCATGATGACGGGCGCGTTGAGGTTGCCGGTGATGGACTCCGGGAACACGGAGGCGTCCACGACGCGCAGGTTGTCCAGGCCGCGCACCACCAGGCTGGGGTCCACGACGGCCGTGGCGTCCGTGCCCATCCTGCACGTGCCCGTCATGTGGTAGATGGCGTACGTCGCGGTGCGCGCCGCGCAGCGGAAGTAGGACCGGCCGAACCACGGCAGCACCAGGGCGCACTGCGGCAGCGGCAGCATCCGCCACCTTGACGGACAACGCAGCGAATAGAAATCGGCTTATTTCGAAATTACAATTTTTCACCACTCTACAAATCGAAGAGCGTACATTGTATGCTCTAACTAAAAAATTACGCAGAAATCTGTGAACAACTTGTGATAATTCTCCGTTCCCAGAACCCAACATTTTCTGTAGCCTTCGTGTCAATCTTCTCCGTGCACAGTAAATGTCTTACGGTGAAAGGCTGCACCAACATAATATGGTGGAGATTTTATCCATAATACCAACGAAATTCGTCAAAATCTCTATAATATAAGGTACAGCGAATTGTCTATGGTATGTTACGAAATCAGCTGCACCACCATAATATGGAGAATCTTCACTGTAGAGTGTGCACCTCATTGGTCTGCAACGGGCATGCGGGGAGCTGTAAGAGCTATTGCTGTTTGATGCCCTTCGGATTCGAAGTGTGCCCTTCGAACTTTCCTTCCAACAGTTGAAGTGCTGTAATACTCATTTCATTCTGATCCATCAGTTCGTTGTCGAACACACCTCATGCTCTTGAAGACGTCTGAATCTGCCAGTTTGTGGTAGAAGAAGTGGAACCCCTCCGCGAGTGCAGCGACGTCAGTGTCGTGGTCGAGCAGGTTCAGGTCCACTTTGGGATCATCGAAGGGATCGGTACTCCTGCAAACGAACAAGGGAATGAGTGCACTGACTGCCCATCTAACACACTTATTCCAGGAGCTGACATCACGTTGAAACGGGCGAGACAAAATGTTACGCTCCTTTTAGCATTGTGTCATCCGATCGAATGTGAATGAGCTACAGCTGATTCGCAGTCAATCGAATGTGACACATTGCTCCAAGGAGCGTTTCAACGTGATGTCACGTTACTGGGAGGAGAGTGATTACGTGTTGGGTTATATTAAAAACAGGGATCCTTAACTAAACATTTAACCTTTAAATTTCAAAACGTAACATAAGACAATGTTCGCTAAAGGACTTTTGCAAGTACTTCCAAAAGTATCTCCACTCAAATTCGAGACACAAGAAAAATAACATCCTTTTGAAAAGAACACTGGTAAAACTAAAGCGTAACTCTATGCTTGAGTCAAGCATAAAGTTACGCTTGAAGACGTTACGCTTGAAATGAAGCATACTCTGGCAATTCCCCCATGCATTTAGATAGGCGGAATCTTGGAGGAAGAGCCTGTTACGCTTGATTTCAAGCGTAAAGTGATTACGCTTGAAAACAGAGGGTAATACTACGCTTTAGTTTTACCAGTGAAGTTAAAGGTTTTAACTTCAACTCGAACGATAACGTTATGATGCCCTTCTGTCGCACTGAAATTACTTGTGAATAACCCTTGGGTACATGGGTTATTCATTGGTAAACCTAAAGCGTAACTCTATGCTTGAGTCAAGCATAAAGTTACGCTTGAAGACATTACGCTTGAAATGAAGCATACTCTGGAAAATCCCCCATGCATTTAGATAGGGGGAACCTGGCGGATGAGCCTGTTACGCTTGATTTCAAGCGTAACCTGATCAAGCTTGAAAACAGGGGATAATACTACGCTTTAGTTTTACCAGTGTTCTGATGAGCTGTGATAGATGCTTCGGAAAGTTTGGGGTTCATCTGACGTTTCGTTACAGCTGCTAGAATATTTGCATACCTGAGTCTGACTGTTCCAACACTCCTGGGCTTCACCAGAGCCGGCAGCAGTTGGATAATGTTGTAGTAAGCCACGTCGGGCACTGGCACAGGACATCCCGCGATGAGTTTCAGGATTCCCTTCTTGTCCAGTGTGAATCCGTTGAGCTGCAGTTGGATGTCCGGCCTGGGGTCGTCGGCAGGCTGGTACTTTGTGCGGTAGAACGCGCCCACCTACGAACGTTTTGATAATCTGGCATACACGTCTCACGTGCAAAACAAATCTACACTCTCAGCACGTTACTGACTTTTTTTCTCATTAATTACATTTTCGTATAAGCAACAATAACACTTAGTATTTTCGAAGTAAGTACTGTATGACTAATTTCCTTTGTAAAATTATGTACAAAACCAAATTGTTAGTACATTATTTTGATATTTCCTAAGTAGTTCTTTAAAAAAGGAAAAGTACGTATTATCGGTGCTCAAATTACTTACATAAGTACTGATAAAATGAACAAAGAGTCAGTAACGTGCTGAAAGTGTATGAAATAGTCTCAGACGACGATGGGATACTGCACCCACGGCCGAGGGGGTATGCACTCGCGTAATAGTCGGTTCACTCTATCTGTAATAGCACGCGTAATAATACGCGTAATAGTCGCGTAATAGCCGAAATTGTCAAAATTTTATCAATTTTGGTGTGTTTTAGGCCGTTTTTAGCTAAATTCCGATTAATTTGTGGCGTAATAGAGCGTAATAGCGTAATAGTCGGTACACAGGTTCAGAGAGCGCATACCCCCTCGCCCACGGCACTCAAATGACTAGTCGGTTTGCTCGTAAAAATATGCAAGTCATTTCATTACATAGTGGTACACACAAGTGTATTTGTAAAGCGAAATTGCGTAAAGTTTGTACGAAAACGCGCCAGAGTGTGGGACACCACGCACCGAAGTTGCGAAGGACTAGAGTGTGTCGGAAGCCTTTTTGAACTTACATTCAAGGGGCCAATGCTGGCAGCAGGTCCACCGCCCGTCCTGTTCCAAAGGTCAACGTTGTCCCAGCGCTGGTACACTGTAAAAAATTTGTTCGTAAATTTACAAACAAATCAGGGGTAATTTCGTTGCACGAATTATTTGTAAATATACAACGTTTTTATGTTTTTATCGATTTATGAATTATTCTTCACGCAGTAGTTTGTAAAATCACAAACTTTTTACAAGTTCCAATTTACGTGGACCGCTTTTGTTCAACATTGTCACGCTGATTAAATGAAGATAAACTTGTTTCAGCGGATTTTTTTTGTTCTATGAAACATCTTGTAGTTCTATGAAATATCTTGTAAAATGACGAAGGCATCACCCTATTTCGTAATTTTACAAGCGATTTGTGCAACGAAATTACCCATGGATTTGTTGTAATTTTAGGAAACATTTCATATTTCTGTGACCTCACTGTAGTATTATCGTCACTTTTGAGATGTATTTAGTTCGTACCATTTCATAAAGCGGTGTTCACAAACAAATTTCATACAATTAAGAAGATTTCTGTGATGAATAATCCATAAATCGGCCTTTACAAACAAATTTCATAAAATAACGAAATGTTATTGTTACTTTACAAGGAATTTGTAAAATAAAATTTCGTAAATTCACAATAATTTTTTACAGTGTAGATGTCGTCATTCACCCCCAGGGTTGCCCCCTCCTTCATGACGAACACGTTGCCGAATGATGATGCGTGGTCCGTGAGACGCTCTCCCACGGGCAGGTCCTGGTTGCGTCAAAGAGTTAATGTTACCAAAAGAACGGAACGTAATGTCACCTAGGGGTCTCTAAACGAGGTCTGACCGACAAACTCCTATCACTCACTTCGATCACGGGTATGTCCAGACTGCTGAGGTGGTCCTTGGGCCCCAGCCCAGACAGCATGAGCAGCTGAGGTGACCCGTACGTGCCGGCGCTCAAGATGACCTCCTTCCTGGTTTTGACCGTCCTGCTCTTGCCGTTCACGTCCTGGTAGGCCACGCCCACTGCGCGACCCTCTTCGATCAGCACTTTGGTCACCCTAGCCCGCGTCACCACCTGCAGGTTCGGGCGCTTGTCTCGGATGTTGGCCAGGTACGCCCTGTTTGGAATGGAGTGTCAAACGCTCAAAACCTTTGTATAGATCATACGCACTGTAAGGGGAAGTCGTATTTTTACAACTTTATTTTACATGAATACCATCGTAATTTTACAACATAAACTCGTAATTTTACGAACGTATTCGTTATTGGCTAAATTCAAAGAGAAATTTCACAATTTTACACAGATTTTTACGGTTAACCTTGTAAAATTACGAACTATAGCTGTAATTTTACGAAGAATGTCGTCATTTCACGAACGAAAGTTGTCATATTACAAGCATTATCGTAATTTTACAAGTTTGATTGTAAATTAACGAGTAATTCCCTGTTAATTCTATAGGACAAATTGTTCGTAAAATTACAAAAGTTTGTTAAATTACAAAGAAAAATCGTAATTTAACAAGGAAAAATCGTAAATTTACAAAGAAAGTCGTAAAATTTTCAAGGTACATTATTAGTTCTATTTTCACGTTTTTTCGTCGAGGCAAACCAAGACCAACCTGAAAATGATACGGTTAAAGATTTGAATTATGACGACTGTACTCATTAACTTACGAACAATTTGTCCTATAGAATTAACAGGGAATTACTCGTTATTTTACAACAAAATCCCTAACAGTGCGTAAGGCACAAACTAATCAGTTTGATACACGTACAAGTAATTTGATCGTTACGAAGTATTTTCTTTGTAACCTTATGTATTCGTAGAACGTTTGCTCAAAATACTTGGCTCTCAGCAAGCTACTTTTCTTTTAGTAAGGCCTGAAATACTAAATTGCTAAGTGTTGAGAGTTCTGAAAGGCACTTTCGAACTCTTAATGACGGTTCGGTGCGTGTACCATTAGAGGTCTTTATCGTAGACATCATTTGCCAAAAGTCGAAATAAACTGAGCACGTCTCGACACTGAAAATTGCATGGTCAGACACATGGCCAAATAGGGGCGCGACCAAAAGTCACGCCGAAAATTGGCGTGACAGGAAATTCACGCCGAAAAACGGCATAACATGTGCGTCACGCCGTCATCTGGCGTGAATGTACTATGTGGAATGGTGCGCAAGAATGCGCTTTATGAGAATTGCCATGCCAAAAAGCCGGCATGACAGGAAATTCACGCCAAAACTTGTCGTAAATTCTGAGTCACGCCGATTTTTGACATGGCTTTTTTGTCGCGTTTGATGCGTTCCAACCTGTTGGTGCTGGCGCGGCGGCCGTTCCTCGAGGTGGTCTGGTAGTAGAAGCTGGAGTAGCTGCTGTTGGGGGCGAGCTGCGAGGCGCCGTTGATGTCCGCCACGGGCGGCAGGCCCGCCTCGGCCAGCACGCGCTTGATGCGCCGCGCGTTGTCGTCGCGGTACGGAAGCCACTCCACGCTCAGCGGCCCACCTGCGGCACGGTGCGTCCGAGCCGTCTGGTCAGCACACAGTAAAAACTCTACGAAGCATCGCTTTGTAATACGGAGAAAATGAAGGCATTGTAAAATGTAAGTGTTTCGTATTATGAAGCAAAATCCTTCGTAATACGAAGCAATTTTCTACAATGCCTACAACGCCTTCATTTTCTTTGTAGTTGTGGAGCAAATGCTTCGTAGGCTTTTAGTCGTGCACGCTGTCATGAACACGCTTAAACCTTCCGAAAGATCCTCAGCACATGTTATGTAATTAACTTTGTTTTACAGTGAAATAGTGTGCAAATTACAAAGTATATTCTTTGCAGGTGCATGGTTGCTCAGATTACTTTGTAGCTCAGGCTACTTTATTTTGTAAAGCCTAAAATCATTTCTAAGGATTTGAGGTGGTGCAATACATCGACAGACGCCGGTGTGTGAAATTACGGATATACACTCAAATTTCGTACAGTACTGTAAGTAAGCAGTAGTTACTTCATGTAACAAAGTATTTTGACTATACGTAAGCATACAGAGAAAATAGTGCGAACTTTACGAACTATTTCTTCGTATAAGAAAAAGAATAAGTTTGTACTACGTTTGTAAGGTTTTAAGCGTGCACTAGAAGTGAATAAAAATTGAACTATGCCCTATGCGGACCCTTTTGAGATTTCGACCAAAGACCACCAATCGCTGCAAGTTTCATAGTTATCGGAGCACTAATCGACGTTAATGTTGCCGATTTCACATTGCACACACTTTCGAGTACATTGTTTCTTCACCCTAAATGTTTTTGTACAAAATTTGTACGAGACATCACAGTTTTTGGTGCACACGAACTTTTCGTACAAATTTGTACGGAATTGTGCACAAAAATGGTGACATTTGTGCGGTTTCTCGTTCAAAATTTAAGAAAAGTTCGTGTCCACAAAAAACTGAGATGTCTCGTACAAAATTGTACATAACGTTTAGTGTGTTCGACCTCGAATCAAGCTGATATGATTACACACAAAATGTTACGTGCAACTTTTCGTGCAATTGATCCATAAAGCGGAAGAAGGGGTTAAGTCGAGTTGATTCAGTGACCTCTTATCAGGCTACCAAGTAAACATGAGCGAAAATTTGGTCCAAAAATAAGTGTGGTGAGGCAAGTCCCATCCTCTTGCATCTATTTTTAGATGACATTCCCCACCTGTTCTCCCACCTGCAAGGTTTAGTCCTTGCAAAAGTGCACGGTTTCAACTCGACTTATCCCCTTCTTCCGCTTCCTGGATCAATTATCGTACGAAAAACACTGCACATACTCCTCAATTTTTGTGCAAACTCGCGTATAAATTTGTACAAAAAATGCACAAAAAAATGTAACGTTTCGTACAAAATTTGTTCAAAAAGACAAGGTAGGTTTACGCCAGACCGCGTCTTGTCGTAACAGGCTTCGCGATGTCTCGCTGCCTGCTCCTCCAATCCGCGCCTGGCGTACCTACCTTGGCCTGCGGCGCTAGCCTGCCTGCGGCAGGCAATGGCTTGTCCGTTGTCGGTTTTTTTTAACTTGTTGAATGCTGGGGGGCTCCCCAGACCCCCCTACATTCTAAATAGAGTTGTTTTATCTACAGATAACACGATCTTGACCCTTGTCAATTTTTAACTTGTCGTGGCTGGGGGGCACCGCCCCCCAGACCCCCCTTTCTCCAAGACAGGAGTGGTCTATCTGCAGAAATCTCTATTTTTCGCCGTTTATTAGGTGTTTTTCGCCTATAAAAACTGAACCAGTTGAGCTAGGATGGTGAAATTTCGCGTGTGCCGAGCCAAGGACATACCCAAGAAGAGTGCGAAATCTCACCGAGATCGACCGAGCCGTTCAGGAGGAGTAGTGCGGACACACAGACACACAGACAGACAGACAGACAGACCGACAGACAGACAAAACTTTTCAACCCCACTGGAGTAACAGGCTTCGCTATCGCTCAGCCAATTAAGCGTATACCCGTGCCGTGGTGCTGGGTGTCGCTGGCCACCTCTGCCGCCAAGTTGTCTTCGGCCTTCTTGAAGTAGCGCAGCGCCGTGTCGTACCCCCAGCCGAGGTGCGCCAGGCGGTCGTAGTCCACCCGGTTGCCCCTGGTGTCAAGGGGGAATAACTTCAGCCAAATTTGTACACCAAAATTCATCAAATGTGTAACATATACTAAAATTCATTGAAATTCATCAAAATTTATTGAAATTGATCAAAAATTTTTTCAAAATTCAGCATTTTTTTTGCCTGAAAGTCATCGAAATTCGACTGAAATCCACTGAATTTGTACTCTGAAAGTGATTTCCCCTTGCCTGGTGTACAGCATGCCGTTGATGGCCGAGGAGCCGCCCAGGACGTGGCCGCGGAAGGAGAAGGTGCCGACGGGCGCCGCGCCGTTGCGCTGCGGCGACGTCAGCATGAACTTGGTCATGTCCGAGGCCAGGCCGTACGTCAGGAAGGACGGCGTCGCGGACTCGGCCGGCTCCTCGGGGCCCGACTCCAGCAGCAGCACGCGCCAGTCGGGCACCTCGGAGAGGCGGCTCGCCAGCACGCACCTGCCGACAGGGGGAAACAGCTTCAGCAAACTTCGCCCACCAACATTCAAAAACTACTTGCCCAATATCGATGGGCCCTATGAACAAAGACCGATGTCCTTTGGGCAGGGATGATACCCAAACCGCAACGATACCAGGGCCGTTACGACAACAGTTTGCACATATGACTGAAACTCAAAAAGTGTTGCACCTGGAACCAAGGGAAGAGCTTTTCCTTGTTGATCAAGGCGCACCGGAGTTTTGTTCCCATATGAGCCAAGTCCAAATTCCGCTTCCCTGAGTTTTGTTGATTTAGGCCCCAAAAAGAACAAAACTCAGGGAAGCGGAATTTGGACTTGGCCCATATGGGAACAAAACTCCGGTACGCCTTGATCAACAAGGAAAAGCTCTTCCCTTGGTTCCAGGTGCAACACTTTTTGAGTTTCAGTCATATGTGCAAACTGTTGTCGTAACGGCCCTGGTATCGTTTCGGTTTGGGTATCATCCCTGCCTTTGGGTCGCTCGAACAAAGACCGATCTCCATTTCCTAACCTCTCAACGCGTTCAGTTTGAAGTCCCAGAACAATCTCTACGTTTTGATTCCACACTAATGAGTTTTAGATAATCATTCTCTATTGGAGCAAAACCTTCAAACTATTGTTTGAGTTGGATGTCTGTTGCGAGAACTACAAGATAAAGAAGCGGCGATTGCAGAAACGGCCGAAATGGAGATCGGTCTTTGTTCGAGCGACCCAAAAGACATCGGTCTTTGTTCATAGGACCCATCGATATTATCTTTACTATAGAGAAATGGTCTCAGAAAGAATCACTGAGGCAGGGCTTTAACCTGAAACTGAATGCGCACAGGACAATTGGAGGGTTGCAACTTTTGAATGACATCGTTCTCGGCCATCAGTCCACCAGCTTTAAAACACAAGTTTCAAGTGCACGGGTAAAACTAAAACGGAGCATTCCTTTGCTTTCAAGCGTAATTGGCTGAGCGATAGCGAAGCCTGTTACTCCAGTGCGGTTGAAAAGTTTTGTCTGTCTGTCTGTCTGTGTGTGTGTCTGTGTGTGTGTGTGTACACTACTCCTCCTGAACGGCTCGGCCGATCTGGCTGAGATTTCGCAGGGTTATTAGGTATGTTCTTGGCTCGGCACACGCGAAATTTCACCATCCTAGCTCAACTGGTTCAGTTTTTATAGCCGAAAAACACCTAAAAAACGGCGAAAAATCGAGTTTTCTGTCGGTAGACCTCTCCTGTCTGGATGAAAGGGGGGTCTGGGGGCGGAGCCCCCTAGCCACGAAAGTTGAAAAGTTACAAGGGTCAAGATCGTGAAATTTGTAGATGAAGCACCTCTATGTAGAAAAAGGGGGTTTTGGGGAGCGGGCCCCCCAGCATGCAACAGTTCAGAAGTAACTGATGATGGAGAAGCATTGTCTGCTGAAGGCAGCCTAGCGCCGCAGGCCAAGGTAGGTACGCCAGGCGCGGATTGGAGAAACGGGCAGCGAAACATCGCGAAGCCTGTTACGACAAGACGCGGTCTGGCGTAAACCTACCTTGTCGTTTATGTTTGAGTTTGAAATCAAGCGTAACAGGCTCATCCACCAAGACTTCCTCTATATTGGTGCAAGGGGGAATTTCTAGTCTGTGATGGATTTCAAGCGTATCGTACTCAAGGGTAACATGGCCCTTTAGTTTATCAGTGTGCCGAGATCGCAGAGTAGGGACGTACCCAGCGGACCCGCCGCCCACAATGATGAAGTCGACCTCGTCCTCCGGGTACTGCCGCCGCTTGGCGCGCTCCAAGTCCCTGGCGATGGAGTCCGCGATGAGTCCCAGCACGAAGGAGGCGAAGACGGACTGGGCGGAGCAGTACTGCAGCCCGCCGGGGGGCACGTGCTGCACGGGCAGCAGAGCCATCTGCCGAGGGGCGAAAAAAATCGTGGGCTGCATGCTCAGTGTGAATAGCACAACAAAAGTACAAGGAAGACGCAATGATGAAAAAATACAACGAGTGTTGTGGAAAGAACAACGAGGCATGGGCTGGACTGCACTCGCCATGCCGGTTTCATGCCTTCGAGTCCTTCGTTTTTCTATGAAATCTTCGAAAGTTACGGTCCATGAAATTTGCGCTTGTTGGTTCACGAAATCTGTGATAGTTACGGTATGTGGTAGTTACGGCTCCCGAAATCTGCGATAGTTTCGGTCTGTCAGGGCATAATGTAACGGGCAGTTGTGGCTTGTTTGGGCAGTTCTTAATCTCAATTTGGCAGTTGTTACCAAAAAAATGGGCAGTTGTCTCGAGGCCAAATTTGGCGAAGTTAGGGAAAGGGAAATGTGGCAAAACACGGGTTTTGTGGGAAATGACGGAGTGTGTAAGCAGTTTTTTCCCAAAAAAAAAGACTAGAAGTTTATAAAGAATCAGAATCCTTTTGTGGTGACGACACGCATCTCGGGGAGACACCTGATCGCGGCCGCTGGGCCCCATTGACCCCCCCCGGTCGTCCGGATTTCGGCAGTTGTAAAAATTTCTTACATTATGCCCTGCGGTCTGTGATAGTTACGGTTCACGAAAGCGATAGTTACGGTCTATGATAGTTACGGTTCACGAAACCTGCGATAGTTACGGTTCACGAAATCCACGATAGTTACGGTTCACGAAATCCGCGATAGTTACGGTTCACGAAATCCGCGAAAGTTACGGTTCACGAAATCCGCGATAGTTTAAGGTTTAAGGTTTAAGGTTGGACGCTCAACGAACGGCTCTGTCAAGCATGAGCCTCTCACTGTTACTTAGTGAGGTTGATGGGCAACACAGGGGGCCCTTAGTCCGCAGAGTGCGGCTCCGAGGAGCGACACTCCGCTGCGCGCGTACAACTGGGCTGACTGTCAACCTTTTGGTACAGTACGGTTCACGAAATCTGCGATAGTTACGGTTCGCGAAATCTGCGATAGTTACGGTCTATGAAATTCACTGTACCGAAGAGTCCATCTTGACTCGGCAAGTCAGCGTCAGCGTCGCACAGAACAGACTGACGGTGACTTGCCGACGCGCCGGCATGGCGCTGAGAACACCAGCGACCACATTAGCCCATTAAAGTTAGTGGCGCGCCTCAGGTGCGCTTTCTTCGCACACACAAGGAACGAAGCGCTACTGCCGCATCCCGCGCTGGACAAAAGGCAATGCGCGTTCACTGTGATTTCAAACGCATTCCAGTGCTTTAGCTTTACCAGCGCAGCAAGAGTGGAGTCGGTGCTCAGTGGGCCAGAAGACCGGTGGAGACGGTCAAAATACCCAACGCGTTTTGAGCTTCAGAGTAGGGTGGGTCGAAAATCCCAGAATTAAACGGCGTATGGTTTTCTTTGCAGTTGACCACATTAGAAAAGAGATCCAACAATGCCGGTGTCCTGTGACGTCACCTTCTATCTCTTTGGAGGCTCCAAACTTGGGTCTAATAGTGAAAAATGGCACTTTTGGCCCTACAGGGACCAAACCAGGCATCGCCCAGGATGCGGCTATCTCGCGATGGGTGCGGAATATGTTTCTTTATATCCCTGCAAAGTCTGGGCGATGTGGCTCAACATCTTGGTTAAGCCCGGGCTCTTGTTTTAACGCTAAAACAATGTTGCAAAACACTAAAAATTGGATTTAAGGGTCTATTGTTTGCCCGAAGGTCCCATGTACTTATATAAATGAAAAGGGCTCAAAAAATGCAATTTTTTGGTATATCAAGAACCTATAAAGCCCCAATCCGACTGACTCACTCACTGACTCACTCACTCACTCACTCATAGAAATGTTTGGGGTGAAGGAGTGGTCGTAGAGACTTGCGGTTTTTTCCATTGGATTCCAAATTTTATGGGAAAATTGGGAAAAATCCCAAAAGTTGAAAATTCCTCACCGTTTCCGAGAAAAGGGGAAAAGGGGAACAAAAAAGGGGAACAAATTTCTCACCGTTTCCGAGCAAACCTACTCAATCTTCAAAAAAGGGGACCGACCGACTAAAAATTTTTATTCGCCCCATCGGTAGGTCTGGTCGAGACATTTCCGAAACTGTGCCGCAATCGGGTCCCCGTCACCGGCAACATCCTCAAAAACGACTAAATAGGCCTAAATTCAACAAAATCCACTCAATCTTCAAACAAGCTAGGGCCCGCCCTTCCGTCGAACCGAGTTGCCAGCTCCGCTTCGCTGCGCCGGCAACTCGGTTCGACAGGGGGCCGGCCCAGCTTGGCCTGCCGGCGGCCTTTTCTCGGGCCTTCGGCCCTCGCATCAGACCCAACTTGGCCAGTCGAAGGCCCGGGCCTTCGGCCCGCTCGCATCGCACACACCGTGAGCGGGAAAAGCAAAGTTATCGATGAACCATCGTGACTTAGGCCCGCCCTTCTATTCACAATATGCAATAGTCCTTATACTTTTTACTCCAACTGTCCTTAGAATATGCCCATTTTATTTGTCTCTTCACCCTCCTTCCGAAAATACCCATATTTGCCGCCATGCTACTGCAACTCCTTGCAATAGAGGCACAGCAGGAGCGCAAAACGAGACCGTCGCTCTTTTTCCCATAACTCATGAAGGCGGGCTCCTGGACCCCCCTTCCGACCCCTCGTTGAAGAGGTCTTGCCAAGACCTATCCAAAACTTAAGTAAAAATTTTCAGTCGGTCGACCCCCTTTTTTCAAGATCCTGATGTGACTAATAGACGATGTCGGGCTCCTGGACCCCCTTTCCGACCCCTCGTTGAAAAGGTCTTGCTGAGACCAATCGAAATCTGCAATATTTTTTTTTAGTCGGTCGACCCCCTTTTTTGAAGATCCTGATCTGGCCAAGTTGTAAAAGCAGCCGATGGGGTCGGGACCAGGTCCATTCATCTTGTCTCGTCGCCCCGATTCCAAAAATACCCCTATGTGCCCTGCTAGCACCAATAATGGCGGAAATCCCCCTCCCGCTCATGTAAACCATGATGCACCTGCAGCAGCCCTTGTGCGACCCGGACGGGATTTGCACCACCGGATTATTTGTTTGGACGGTACTCCTGAAGAACCCTCCAAATCTGGTTACTCTAGCTCAACTCCTTCCTTGTACACAGACGCCAACAACAACAACAACAACAACAACAACAACAACACACAGCACAAAGGCAAATGCATAGGCCCTCCCCCTATTTTTTGAATAGAAGGGCGGGCCCAAAAAGGGGACCGACCGACTGAAAATTTTTATTCGCCTTATCGGTAGGTCTGGTCGAGACATTTCCGAAACTGTGCCGCAATCGGGTCCCCGTCACCGGCAACATCCTCAAAAACGACTAAATAGGCCTAAATTCAACAAAATCCACTCAATCTTCAAAAAAGGGGACCGACCGACTGAAAATTTTTATTCGCCCTATCGGTAGGTCTGGTCGAGACATTTCCGAAACTGTGCCGCAATCGGGTCCCCGTCACCGGCAACATCCTCAAAAACGATTAAAAAGGCCTAAATTCAACAAAATCCACTCAATCTTCAAAAAAGGGGACTGACCGACTAAAAATTTTTATTCGCCCCATCGGTAGGTCTGGTCGAGACATTTCCGAAACTGTGCCGCAATCGGGTCCCCGTCACCGGCAACATCCTCAAAAACGATTAAATAGGCCTAAAATTTTAAAAAAATCCACTCAATCTTCAAAAAAGGGGCCCGACCGCCTAAAAATTTTTATTCGCCCCATCGGTAGGTCTAGTCGAGACATTTCCGAAACTGTGCCGCAATCGGGTCCCTGTCACCGGCAACATCTTCAAAAACGATTAAATGGGCCTAAATTCAACAAAATCCACTCAATCTTCAAAAAAGGGGACCGACCGACTAAAAATTTTTATTCGCCTCATCGGTAGGTCTGGTCGAGACATTTCCGAAACTGTGCCGCAATCGGGTCCCCGTCACCGGCAGCATCCTCAAAAACGATTAAATTGGCCTAAATTCAATAAAATCTACTCTATCTTAAAAAAAGGGCACCGACCGACTAAAAATTTTTATTCGCCCCGTCGGTAGGTCAAGTCGAGACATTTCAGAAACTGTGCCACAATCGGGTCCCCGTCACCGCCAACATACTCAAAATCAATCATCAATTGTCATCAAGAACCTTTAAAGCCCCAAAATCCGACTGACTGACTCCCTTACTCATCAATCAAGAACCTATATAGCCCCAATCCGACTGACTGACTCCCTCACTCGCTCACTATGTTTGGGGTCAAGGAGTAGTCGTAAAGACTTGCGGGTTTCTTCCATTCGATTCCAAATTTTATGGGAAAATGATATTAAATCCCATAAGTTGAAAATTCTTCACCGAGCTTTCGAAGAAGCAGGACATTTACTTCCTTAGAAAATTTGCCTTTGGTCACCACGGACTTACTGAAAATACTTCGGTACGCGCTCCACACATGCGGGGGTCTGGGGGCGGAGCCCCCAGCGAGCAGCGCGAGTATTACTTTGTGATCGGACGAAAATTGTTGCGAGAGCGAAACTTTACACATTTCAGCAAAAGCTCAAAAACACTAAAAAGTGATCTTTAGGAGAATATATATTGCCTGTGCACCCAATATGATCGTACTGTTCGAAAGATCGAAAAAATGAAAAATTTCGGTATATTAAAATTTGTGATTGGACAAAAAATCGAATTGTTGCAAAATAATTCACTAGCAAAGCGAAGCAAAGCCCTTGTTAGGCAAGAGATGGCCCGACGAACGCTTACACTTTCTTCTATAATTAACAACAAATCGAGTTTTTGTCCAATCACAAAACTTTATGTACCAAAATTTTGCATTTTTTTTGGATCTTTCGAACAGTATGATCATATTGGGTGCACAGGCAATATATATTCTCCTAAAGATCACTTTTTAGTGTTTTTGAGCTTTTGCTGAAATATGTAAAGTTTCGCTCTCGCAACAATTTTCGTCCGATCACAAAGTAATATATACCAAAAAATTGCATTTTTTGAGCCCTTTCCATTTATATAGATATATGGGACCTTCGGGCAAACAATAGACCCTTAAATCCAATTTTTAGTGTTTTGCAACTTTGTTTTAGCGTTAAAACAAGAGCCCGGGCTTAACCAAGATGTTGAGCCACATCGCCCAGACTTTGCAGGGATATAAAGAAACATATTCCGCACCCATCGCGAGATAGCCGCATCCTGGGCGATGCCTGGTTTGGTCCCTGTAGGGCCAAAAGTGCCATTTTTCACTATTAGACCCAAGTTTGGAGCCTCCAAAGAGATGGAAGGTGACGTCACCAGACACCGGCATTGTTGGATCTCTTTTCTAATGTGGTCAACTGCAAAGAAAACTATACGCCGTTTAATTCTGGGATTTTCGACCCACCCTACTTCAGAGTCACTAAATGGAACTCGAACCGAACTTGTGACCCCACCAATGGATTCCTCGTTCGGAGAGCAATCCATTGATGGGGTCACACGTTCGGTTTGAGTTCCATTTAGCGACTCTGGAGCTCGAAACGCGTCTAGAAATTTGGCCGCCACTACTGGTCTTCCGGCCCACAGTGCGATATCTCACAACGATTATCTTCGTAGGCTGTGAAACCTTTGTCTTCTTTGTATTACAACGAGCAGTTCTTTGTAGGAATTGATCTGCGTGGAGGCCCGATCCACACTCTCAAAGTCTTACGAAGCAAACCAACACTTTTTCTTCATAACAAAAAAAATGATTTGGTGCAAAAATGTAATAGAGACATTTTCCCTTCGTTAAAAATGAGACATTTTGTCTGTACACAATACCTAAATTTATTTGTACAATTTTGTGCGTAGTTTCACGCACATGCTAACTTTTTCGCACAAAATTGTACGCAGAATCGTACAAATTTGTGAGAGAAGGAAATTAGCGCAAAATTATGTGAGAGCACGTAATATGTGAGAGCAAGGAATATAGTGTGTACCTTTTAAATAAATCCTGAAAAAAATTCGTAATATTAACAAATTTAGTTCGTGTTACGTTTGCACAAATTTCTTTGCACTCTATGCAGTCAAATTCAGTGTAAGAATCTTTGAGTTCTGCGAATCGTACTCCGACTCCGAGGCTCGAGTGATACTCGGGGATATCTTACCTTCCTGGCACTGTACACTCCAAATGTCCGGGGTGAAATTTGAGCCGTTACATTGACTTTGGAGCAATCACATTATGAAGCAAAATTTCTGCAATGTATTTTTGGGTGTTCGTTGTGAGACATTAAGTAAACCTTGGCAATATGCTAAATTTCTGAGAGTGTACGAGAGAAGAGATGAAGAGCCTAATTCTTGGTCACGCTTACAGTTGCAGTGGTGAGCGCGTCGTCCGCCGAGGCCGTGCAAGAGTGTGGCTTTGAAGGCACCGCGAATCCCGCAGGGAGACTCGGTCTGGACTCGTTCGTGGCGATAGGAAAACACGTGTCTTCACTCATGGCTTGGCTTTCACGCTCGAAAAAAGAGGTCACCTCGCAGGCCTGACTTGCAGTGACTTTTCAAGCATATGCGCTCGACTACGTTTATCAGCTTGCATTTTCCACTGATTTGAGCACTGTGAAAACAAGTGCGGAGAACACGAAATGGCGAGAAGTTGACTTCGCTGTCTCCACTCTTCAAAAGTGGACACTCAATATAATTGTTGTGGACTTTTTTTAATGGATATTTATGCATGCACAGATACGTTCGTAAGCTGCGTACAATAATATGCATCGCTGTGTACATTTCACGCAGGAAGATGCATAAAACGTTCACACCGATGCGTAATATTGTACTCACTCACTTACGTATCTGTGCGTGCACAATTATGCAAAAAAGGTGCATAATAATGCATTTAAAAAGTCCACAAGAATTAGGCGTGGAGTTCTCCACGTTTGCACCATGCCAAGAGATGGGGCCTCTGTGAGCTTCTCGACCCTTAAAGTGTGAACACTGTAAACTCCATGCGTCCACGTGTAGATAAGTAGATAGCGGACTTCGAAGTTCTCAGTTCTCGCGCTGTGTCAGAGAGCGCGTGCTGCAGTTCTCACTTATAATTTCAGTTGGCACACGCTTACAACCTTACAAAGTATTTCGTTCATACATTGTACAAACCAATTAAGGGGAGGTTCTGGTGAAAATCTTGCCATTTTCCAAATGGATCCTACAGTCATAATTTGTTCGGAATATAAAATTTTTCATTGGGAAGACTAAAATTTGACTTTTGAAGGCACATGCCAGGCTGTAAACCCAGTCGAAGAGTCTTTTAGAGCCTATTTTAGCTGTATCTTAAAAAATCCCCTTGCGCATACTATTTTGTCGTAAAAGGTTGACCTTGACATTTTTCACTTCTTCGACTCATTTTCAAATGATTCCGGCATGCAGAGCTCAAAACTTCCATAATATTATTAGTTATTAGCTTTTAAAGCTGAAAAGTCCTTAAAATTTGTCTATTTTGTACATTTTTGATCAATTATAGTGAAATGCTTGGTTAGAAAGCTTGCAAATAAATATGCAATTGACATTTTGAGATGTCCATGCCGGCATTTTTAAAAAATTAATCGAAGAAGTGAAAAATGTCTAAGCCAACCTTTTACGACAAAATAGTATGCGCAAGAAGATTTATAAAGTTATAGCCAAAATGGGAGAAAAAGGCTCTGCGACTGGGTTCAGGGCATAGAATGTGCCTCCCCAATGAAAATTTTTAATAAATACTTGATAAGACATCAAATTTTTAACAAATTTAACAAATTTAACAAATTTTCACAGTGGGACCTATTTTGGAGAAAATAGCATTTTCACCAGAACCTCCCCTTAAAAAATTTTAAGGGAGGTTCTGGTGAAAATGCTATTTTCTCCAAAATAGGTCCCACTGTGAAAATTTGTTAAAAATTTGATGTCTTATCAAGTATTTATTAAAATTTTTCATTGGGGAGGCACATTCTATGCCCTGAATCCAGTCGCAGAGCCTTTTTCTCCCATTTAGGCTATAACTTTAAAAATCTTCTTGCGCATACTATTTTGTCGTAAAAGGTTAGCTTCGACATTTTTCACTTCTTCGATTCATTTTTTTAAAATGCCGGCATGCCCATCTCAAAATGTCAATTGCATTTTTATTTGCAAGCTTTCTAACCAAGCATTTCACTAGAATTGATCAAAAATGTACAAAATAGACAAATTTTAGGGACTTTTCAGCTTAAAAAGCTAATAATTAATAATGTAATGGAAGTTTTGAGCTATGCATGCCGGAATCTTTTGAAAATGAGTCGAAGAAGTGAAAAATGTCAAGGTCAACCTTTTACGACAAAATAGTATGCGCAAGGAGATTTTTTAAGATACAGCCAAAATAGGCTCAACAAGACTTTTCGACTGGCTTTACAGCCTGGCATGTGCCTTCAAAAGTCAAGTTTTGGTCTCCTCAATGAAAAATTTTATATTCCGAACAAATTATGACTGTAGGATCCATTTGGAAAATGGCAAGATTTTCACCAGAACCTCCCCTTAAACGAAGAAATGGTTCGTAAATTACGAAGTATTTTCGTTGTGAGCTTATGTATGCTCAAAATACTTTGTTATAACAAGCTGCTTTTCTTTGTAATAGGCCTAAAATAGTTTGTAAGGTTTTCACAGTGCTTAGTTGTTACGAGTGTCCGCCTAGGCTGGCCGCGTAGAGAAAATATTAATTTGTTAATTGTGAAAAACCGAAAAAGAGGTCGCCGTCGACCAGTGAGTACGCATTGCATGCCGTTAAACCGAAAAGTGGTGCTTGTCCCCTCACCACACTATAAATTCGCTACTTCTCCATGAGAAACCTTACCGTTAACAGCAGTCCAGTGCAAAACCTAACTGCAGACGAGTCGATACGGTCAATTTCTGACGATGATATAATCTTCCCTCGTGCGGACGAATCCACTTCCCGTCTGGAGACGCGGTCCAAGTCTCAAACCACAACGCGCGGACTACTCCACGTGCGGTTTTACCGATTCGAAGACTTACTCTGCGAAAAGCTGTGACCGCAGTTACCACATTTGTTTTATTCAAACACGTGCTTACATTTCTTTGCCTCAAAATCGCCCACGGTGAGTCGCTTGGGCTTGAGCAATGCTGACCACCATCCAGCACGAAGCGCCTGGTTTGCCTACACTGTGGCAAAAAGCTACGGAAAATTCTGTAAACAGCTTGTGGTAATTCTCCGTAGCCCCTTTAACAATATTCTCCGTAGGCTCTTACAGTATTTTCCGTAGGACAGCACAGTATTCTCCGTAGGACTATACAGTCTTCCAGGGCCTACGGAGAAGACTGTGCGGACTTACAGAGAATACTGTACGGCCCTACGGAGAATACTGTAAGAGCCTACGGAGAATATTGATAAGAGGGCTACGGAGAATCCTGGCAAAAAAATTAACAGAATTTTCCGTACCTTTTTGCCACAGTGTAGCGCCCGTCATGTTGAGCACGCGATTTGTGCGGGCTGGCCTATCCTGTCGACGCAAGGCGTCCGAAAACTACACTCGTAATTTCTGGCAGTGAATTCGGGAAAAGTGTACGCAGAAATTTGTGCAAACATTGTTTTCAATGAGAATCTTTTCCAGCTTCCTACAAATCCAAGGGTCAATGTTACGAAGTCTCCATAATATATTTGCACGAATTTCTTTGCATAATTGTAAGGAAATGGTCTTCCACTCAAGAAAACATCCCGTTTTTTCAGTCTAATGAGTCTCTGCAACAATGCTCTATTTTCCTATGCTGTCGAATAAGCTAAAACGCACCAGTAGAAAAGAAAAGTCTTCAGGGAGATGTAAAGTGAATCAGGCAGTTAATGGGACCAAGCCAATTTATTAATAAAAAATAATTTACATTTATCTTCGTTTGAATTATAAAAACGCAATCGGTCAACAGACACAGTGGAGTCGTGCGAATCAAAGGGTAAAATAGAATCGCTACCTTGGTATTTCATTATAGTTAAGTTATATCACAGAGGCGCTTCATAACATGTGTTTAAAATGCACAGATACAGTCCACATGTGCCACATGTCAATAAATAGCTGCAGACTGGCCAGTCAACCAGATACGACACAAATGTGGCTTCTCTACACCCACCTGGCGTTGTCATACAACACATTGAGCCCGCCCGTACCCCCCTTTTCCCAACATAATTGTCAGAAAGAGAAAAACCACCCCGTCTCTCCATAAAACAAAACTTCGTAGGAAAAAATATCAAACGGGCAAAGCCGCAGGTTCTTGAACGTCGGTGAGATGAGCTGATGATTTCTGCTGATGTTCTTGTCTTGAGGCAGGCAGTACCATGCTGCCATTGACCTCCTCATCCTTTGGATTGGACCAAGGGGGCTGCACAAAGATGCACAGAACGCCACCAACTGAAACAAAGGAGAAGATAGAACGTCAAACGGTGCGACACCAAATTTCTGACGAAAAGAAAGGCTACAGGCAGGCAGCCATATCTTTCATGGAATCTTGACTAAACCCAGATCTAGTTTCGTAAATGCACATGGTTTACAGCTTTTTTTACAATTTTTGATTTGAACTTGAAGTATGCTCACCTATGACTGTTCCGGCTATGAGGAAAATTGGCACCTCACAGCTGATGTCCAGCAGCGACCCAAGGACCAGGTTGCTGACTGCGGCCCCAACTCGGCCGGCAAGGATGGCTGAGCACACTCCAAAAGCACTGTTCGGATAATAAAAAGACAATAAAATCAATCACCCATACACTCTTAGTAGTTGTTGTGGATGTTTCGGTGGACCATAACATACAGATTGAAACCTGAGGTATGATACACCACAAACCTCTACACTTAGTTTCCATTGATAAGGGACGCAAGTCAATAAAGAAGAGGACGTCTTAACGTTTTTGAACTAGGGATGACGATTTCTTAAAACCCAATTATCACTCAGGTTTTAACCTTCCTGCACTAAAAAAAAAATTCGTTGTCACTTTGGGACAGAATACACATTATATTCCCTTTGAAATGATGGAAATTTCATCACACAAATGGATGAATTTTCCTTAAAGCTCCTCCGCTCACAAGAGGGGCATTACCTTGACATCAAATACTTTGATGACAATTTCGAAAGTAAAATGAGCCTTGAAATTGTCATCAAGAGATATCCAAACGTTCACAGTGTTCCTGCGCTACTTACTGTCCCTACAGAGCACAGTGGACCAGGAGAGCGGTGGAGGCGGCCAAAACTCTAGACGCGTTTTGATCTCCAGAGTCGCCAAACAGGACTGGAACAGAACGTTTGACCCCACCAATGGATTCCTCGTTCAGAGAGCAATCCATTGGTGGGGTCACACGTTCTGTTCCAGTCCTGTCTAGCGACTCTGGAGCTCAAAACGCGTCTTGAGTTTCGGCCGCCTCCACCGCTCTCCTGGTCCACTGTGCGGCGCCACCCGCTTACCTCACTCTCGGCGGGAAGATGTCCACCATGAAGCCGTTGATGGCCGTGTTGGCGTTGCCGACGAGCGCCTGGAACAGGCTGGCCACCACCAGGTTGCCGGTCGTCGAGTCCACGAAGTAGATGGCGGCGGCCAGGGCCCCGGACGCCACGTTGAGGACCAGCGGCAGCGCGCGGCGGCCCACTGCGGGGGCGAGCAGCGCGGCCACCACGTTGGCCACCAGGCACACGCCGCTGATGATGAGCGTCTTGAGGAACACGGCCTCGTTCACGGCCTCGGCGGCGTTGCAGCCCGCGGACGTGGCGTTTGCGGCGTCCGTCAAGTTCTGCGGGGAAAGGCGTCAGGGTTCAGTGTTCCGTACTAGAATGCTCGGCTGCTCCGCACTGGTGGGCCAGCAGAGGACCAGAAGAGGCGGCCAAATATCTAGACGGGTTTTGAGCTCCAGAATCGCTTAACAGGACTCATACCGAGCGTGTGACCCCCCCAAATGCGTGGCTCTCCGAACGAGGAATTCATCGGTGGGGAAGCGCGGATGCAGAGGTGGGCAAAAGGACAATTCCCCCCGCCCCCTTGACCTCTAGATATCCGCCTGAAACGTAGGCAAAAAGCACCACTTTGCCCCTGTAAGTGCAAAAAGTGCTACATTGCCCCCCCCCCTCCCGCCCGACTCTGGATCTGCCACTGTCGGTGGGGCCACACCTTCGGATTCAGTCCTGTTTAGCGACTCTGGAGCTCAAATCGCATCCACAATTTAGCCGCCTGCACCAATCATGTGGCTAGTCTAGTGGAACAGTTTGTAACAGGATTCGACTTACAGTCATGCAAAGATTAAAGGACACTTCTAGTAATTTGACTCTGAGCGAGCGCACTTGAGGTTATAGAGTACTTCTCAGCGCGCACACCCCTTCACTATGTTCTCACCTGTTCTGCTGCTTCGATCGAAGTGCTGTTCATCTTCATCTGCTGCATCTCGACCTGCTCCGCGGCCCAGGTCTGCGAGAGCTGGCACACCGTGGTGGTCTGGTCGGGGTGCAGGGCGTAGTGGACCTCGAAGCGGTTGAACAGTTCGGGCAGCCACAGCACCAGGCCGTAGTAGCTGAACATGTTGGCGAAGACGATGGCGCAGACGAGGGCCGTGCGGGCGAGGACGGGCACGCGGAACAGGGTCATGGCCTCGGACAGCTTCCGCCGCGCCACCGCCGCCACGGACTTGACGCTCAGCTCGGGGGCCGCGTCCACCTCGGCCACGCCGGCCGAGTCGTCGCCCGCCAGGGCGAGGCTCGCGATCTGTACGGAAGGAAGCAAGATTGCACTGTGAGAAAAAAAAGTACAGAGAAAGTACGGAACATGTCTGGTCAATAATTTGCCTGGACCATCCGTACTTGCCAAGTACGGAACTTCCGTACTTTATTTCCGTACCCGTTTACATGGGTTCATATGGAGCAAGTACGGACGTTCCGTACTTGTCTCCGTACCTTCGTACTATATTTTTCTGTACCATTTCCGTACAAATTACGGAATTTTTTACAGTGTGACGTTAGAAGCCATGCAGCGAGTGAGTGACCTCAGCGCCTTGCGAACAAGGGGAAATAACTTTGAGTTTCAGGGTACAAATTTTTAAATTCCACATGAATTTTGGATTAATTTTGGTAAATTGAAGACAAATTTTTTTGAATTTCGATATGAATTTCACTGGTTTTTGAAGAATTTCTATAAATCTCGACTGAATTCTAAGAAATTTGACTAAAATTCCAGATTTACCATGAATTTTGGTGTACAGTTTTTTTTTTTTCGAGTTGTTTCCCCTTGCTCGCGAAGCAGCGTCCTCGTATAGGCATAGCTTTCTCTGGATTTTGGTGTACGCTGTTCTAAAGAAATGAAGTCGTACCGGGTACTCGTCGCCGGCGCGGCCCGTGTTGGTGACGTAGATGCCCGTGAGGACGGCCAAGGCCTCCTTGAGCCTGCCCTGCGACATGAGGAACTTGGGCGTCTCCGGGAAGCGCATGGCGAGCGCCGCGGACACCAGTGTGGGGGCGGCGATCAGGGACAGCATGACGCGCCACGAGTTGAAGGTCAGGCCCAGCGCGCGCACCTCCCAGGGCTGGGGCAGCACCAGCCACGCCAAGCCTGCCGACGGGACCACCACACTCTAAAAACCTTACTACACTGCGAATCTAAACGCTATGATTATGGCGTCAATAGGTGCAACGCAAAAGCATTGCACATGAAGTGCAATGCGTTCCCTTTCCCATGCATTAGCATAGGGCACTTCCGGGACGCATCGCACGTAAGGTGCAATATGGCTGGCATTGCACGTATGGTGCGATATCTCAGTGCATTGCGCCATGCGTGCTATACTCATAGCGTTTAAAATCTCAGTGAATTTCAAGCCTTCAAAAAAAAAAACCTATGTTCGTGCGAAATTTTGTACGTGTAGGGTAAAGTGCCGAACATGGATCGGGGTACCAATCATGGATCATTTTTGTAAGCGAGCCCGTACCGCCAAACCAATCGACCAATTTATTTTTTTCAAAGTTTTCCATTTGGTCTACACATTAGACTACAAGAATCACGCGCGGGGGAGCTGATCAATCTTACCGTTACCCTTGCGATATGCAAATGAAAAAGTGCCTCGGAAAAAGGGTCCGAAAACGGCCTGGTTTCAAAATTCAAATCGTTATTACAGACGATCCATTCATCAGAAATGTCTCAAAATTTTTTCGTGGCACCTTCAGAGTGTGCCCTTTTAAAATTTAGCCGACCGGAAGTTATCGGAACGCCCCTGTCAAAACGCGAGGGGGGGTGATCCATGTTTGGGTCAGACCCAAATATGGATCACTAAAATCAGTGAAATTTCAAAGCCCTGTAAATTTCAAAGTATTTGTTCTAAAATGTTCAGTTCTTGAGGGGAGGTTGTCTTTGTGGTCATCTTGGAGCGTATCGAAGAAAATTTGGGTCATCACTTGTTTGAGCCGAAATACAGGACATCGCTAAAAAGTGATCCATGTTTAACCTTACCCTAATTTGCACGATTTTGAGCGGACACCGTGAGGGCACAAAACTGTCGAATCACAGTATTTTATCTTCAGAGGCCCCTGTGAAAGGCCCTTCCTCTCGAGATGCTACTTTACCTGGCAAAATGATCCACGACACTGTCCAAAACCCTCCGACGATCAGAGAGTAGGACGTCCGCTTCCGCGCGGGGACGAACTCGCCCACGTAGAGGAACGCCAGAGAAGCTGGCCCACCGATCCTGTGAAAGGAACAATCAAGATCGTAAGTTAAAAGAAAAAATTGAAAAATAAAAAAAAAAGACAGGTACGAGGACCGAGATGATTAGTTACGACTATCACTGACATTCAACGCGGATGTGTCGTTTTTTTTTTCGGTCAAATGTGAATCATCGCGTTAGATTAACGATCCGTGTTATGTCACATCATATTCTAGCCCATGAGACACAATAGATCACATGTAACGAACGCCACATTCGTGGGAAAACAAACGGATTTCAAAACTCGCTCAAGGTATACGACGTAAATCGTGTCGATTGCAGCTAGGGTGTAAACCGAGCGGAGCTGACAAGAAATGAAAGTATATATAAATGAAAGTATATATTAGACACGCAGAAAGGCGAATTGGACGGCTGAGGTGTCAGGAGACGTACCAACTCTGATTCATTGGAGGCGACCGCGACATAGATCAATTACGGCATAGATCAATTGTGGTCTAGCCCGTAATGGTAATGGTACTGGTTAGGCAACCCAACGCGCGCTGATGTACGTTGGGCCCCAGGCGCTATCGGGGCATTCCACGTCAAACCATCATGGTGCAAAACGCACTTGCTCACATCCGGCTCCCAATTTTTTCTGTCATAGCCTACCACTCAAGGACCACTCATATAATTTTTTTTTGGAAAAATATTCAGAACTTTGGCCGTGGCGGTTTTTTGAAATTTCAAAAAAATTTCAAAACTTTTTTTAAAGTTTTTTAAAAATTGTGTCTTTAGGCGCTCAAATGGGTTGAAAACAGTAAATGGCGCCATAATAAAGTGAGAAACAAGGTTGGGACCCTCAGTCTTCGCCTAAAAGGACGTTTTTGACTAAAAATAACGGTTTTTTGAATTCTTAAAATACGCTATCTTACTTTTCGACCATATTGGTATCAAAGGGCACTCACATTTCCTTCAGGACCGCTGTACACACTTTAGTTCTCGAAGTGTAAACTCAGTACCACTTTACTGCTCTATGTTTGTTCTCAGCACACACCATAGTTTTCAGTGTGTCCTTGCGTAAATATGGATGTTTGTTAAGAACTGAACTGCCCCCGGTTACCGAGGTGCACGCACACTGGCGTAGAATTCGGGTCACTCTTTATCCGTACAAGCAAGCGCAACAGTTCGAGGGGTACCGCAATAGCCGAAATTCTCAGAATTTTGACGACTTGATCGTAGTTTAGAGCTATGTTTAGTCCAATTTCGGTGATTTTGAGGCCCGTCGCCTGTTACAAACTGCCTCGCTCTCCCTAGCACTTTCGTGGGTACCAGAGTGTCTTTCGCACGTCGAACAACTTACAGCGCTCCGCTGACAAAGCGGAAGGCGGCGAAAGAGGCGTAGCTCTGCGACAGGGTGGAGCACAGCGTGCAGAGCGCGTCGGCGACCAGTGCGAACACCATGACGGGCCGTCTGCCCAGCGCGTCGCCCAGGATGCCCCAGACGTACGAGCTCACCATGCCACCTTACAAAAAAAAATTGAAGAAATTCTTGAATTATGGTTAAGTTGAAACAGATTCGCCCACACTGCAAATCCAAGTGTAGGACAGGTCGACACTTTAAAGCGTAGACCAGTTTGTCCTACGCTTGCAAGTGTCGACCGGCTGTGTCCGACGCTTTGAAGTGTCGACCACACTGTGTCCGACGCCTGCATGTGTAGGACACTGTTTGTCCTACGGCAAATTACTCTGAGTTTCCTATTGTGACCCCACACTTCGGTCGTCGGACATGCTGTGGTCGACACTTGCAGGCGTCGAACACTGAGTGGTCGACACTTCAAAGCGTCGGACACAACTGGTCGACACTTCAAAGCGTCGGACACAACTGGTCGACACTTGCAAGCGTAGGACAAACTGGTCTACGCTTTAAAGTGTCGACCTGTCCTACACTTGGATTTGCAGTGCACAGAGCACACGACCTTGTAATGGACAGACTATTGTAAAATTTAAAATTCTGTAGAAAAAAGATGTTTCTAACGTTCCAATTTTAAGAACATCGGTGTTGTCCGTAAAAAAAAAGTACAAGAAATCCAATAACCGTTAATGTTCAAAATGCAGAGCTTTATTTTGCTGACTAACGAAGAGGTCGGCTCAACCAAGCAAAGTTATGTTGAATTGTGCAAACTGTTGTGCGACTTTTTCAGCGTCTGGTGTCTACTGTAGCTCATTGTTAATCTAAAATCATTCAACACGGACAAAATTTATGAATCTACAGCTTCGTTTGAGCTCCGTGCGCGCAGGATTTTCTCCACTCAAGAAGGCAAACGTTCTGTCCAAAGGAGTCTCATCCTTCAGTCAACATTTTATTAATATTCTTTGAGGCTTCAGCGCATTTAATCGAGTTTCGTGAGGACGCTTAACAGAGTTGTCAATAATGTAAACAAAAATGTCACAATAAAAATGTTAATACGAGTATTGATAAGCGCAATCGTCAGTACGTTATTAAACAAAAAGGCAGTTAGAGGGTATTTCTAACCAAAAAAGGGAAGGCAGGAGGTGCAGCGTGCAAGTTTCAAGTTAGGGGTTCAAGCAGCAGCCTTGGGGTGGCTTCACGTCCGTTTGGACCGTTCCCAACCCCCCCCCCCAGATACTCACCAGCCAGGAAGAAAGCGTTGAGCGCGCCCATCTGCGCGGACGACAGGTCGAAGTCGCACTTGGCGGCGGGCAGGATGTAGGCGTTGATGCCGTTCTGGAGGCCGCTGGTCAGGAAGATGAGGCCGGCCGTCACGAGGATGCCGTAGCTGAACAGGCCGCAGCCTGGAGGGGAACAAGGAAAGTGGCAATTGGATCGTTTCACTGCACTGCAGGCAAATGGAATAGTCGGAGCGGCCAAATTATGGCATGACAAAAAGTAACACCGAAAATTAACGTGACGGACTGTCACACCGAAAATTGGCGTGATTTCTGAGTCACGTCGATTTTTGGCAATACACTGTTAAAAATAGTTGTTTTAAAACAACAACATAGTTACCAACCTCTACAACGCTGTTGTTTGTGAACAAGTTTGCTTGTTTTGAAACGACGAATTCGTTGCTAATTATTTTCTGACTTAGCTGTTTCCAAAAATGTTGCTGTGTACAAACAACCCGGACAATCTAAGAAGTGGTTACTGCGGGGTAACCGGGACTCTACTAGGTCTGTGACCTAATCGGCAATAAAAATTGATGCAATTAGGCGTCTATCGGTTTACAAACATCTTGTGGAAATGACGCAATCGTTTAACAACAAACGATTTTGAAAACTTTGATCGCTAAGAAATAGCAACATATTACTGCTAAATTACAAACAATTTTTAACAGTAAATTCTCTGTCCTGCCGTTTTTAATGTTTGATGAATTTGTCCACGTTGACCACTGAAAACGAAACGGTCGAACACATGGCCAAATTATGGCGTGACAAAAAGTCACGCCATAAATTGGCGTGACACGAAATTCACGCCGATAAACGGCGTGACATGTGAGTCACGGCGTCATCTGGCGTGAATGGCAACGCGTTTTATGAGACAAGTCATGCCCAAAAGCGGCATGACAAGAAATTCACACCAAAAATTGGTGTTAATTTTAGAGTCACGCCGAAAAATTGACGTGAGTTTTAGAGTCACGCCGATTTTTGGCGTGACTTTTCAGTCATGCCGTTTAGTGGCGTGACACTTTATGGATGAATTTCAGGCGGAAACTACTTAATTTTGAGAAGAGTTTCGACGAATTTTAGTGTATTTCACATGTTTGATGAATTTTGGCGCACGAATTTGGCTTGAGTCATTTCCCCTTGGACTGAATGAAATAGGCAGGGAGACTAGACAACAACGGCCTCGCCCGGAAGAAACGCGTTACAAACACGAGAGTGAGCAATGACCGTTCCGAAGAGAAATTCGGTCTTGGCAAATACAAAGTTGGTACCAAATGACAATCCATTGGCGATGCCTTCGTGCAGTCGCCATCAAATTTTCGAGTCCCGCGCGCGTCCCGATTGCCAGAGCGAGCTTCTCGTGCCGCGTCTAGCGCATGACCCTATAATCACACGCTCCACGCTGCCGGGGGTACCGCGCGCACACGTACTCACAGTGTGTGAGTCTGTGATAAGAGACGGTAGCAAGTGCTGCAGACTCATTCTGAGAGTCGTGTACGTCGCTCTCTGTCCTCCTTGCACTCACGGGGCGTCCCGTACAGGTGTGAGCGAGACAGAGAGAAGAAAACAACTCTCGGAATCACTCTGCCGTTGCAATGTCAAAGTCCTGTTGACGTGTTGTCGGGACACGCGCGTGCGGTCTTTGTGCACAGAGTGCGTAAACACAAACCGCCAAACTACGCTGTGTGTGTGTGTGTGTGTGTGGCGCGCGCACCGGCGTGGCCTAGAAAGAACTCTGAATCATCATCGCCTGCGCAGTGCGGTTCTACAACCACCCGATCGAGGGGGAAATCACTCTTAAAAACTGTGACCCGACTACTCCCTATTACGTTCTATTACGCTATTACAGAAGGCTTATTACGCTCGAAAATATCCAGATTTAGTCTAAATTCGGACCCTAAATAGGGAAAATCTTTAAAAATTTGGCTATTACGCTATTACTATTACGCGTAATACTAGGAATCGGTGACCCGACTATTACGCGAGTGATTTCCCCCTCGCACCCGATTGTTGACGGCGAAATTTAGCGAACTTTTTGGAAATGGAGCATCTAGTGGTTTTCGTTCATCTCAGACCTTATCTAAAGAGAAAATAGTACATATAACGTTTGCACAAAAATCATTATGGCAAGAGACAAAAGTCAATACGAGTCTGAGAGTGTTTTATTCACTCTCAATACCTCACAAACTACCTCAGGTCGACCTCAGGCTTTCGTAATTTGTTTTTAAAAGAAATCACGTCTACGTTTAAATTTGTGTAAACGGCGAGATAGTCCTCTGCAACGACGTGTCGCAGCATTATTTATCAAAAATCGTTGATCTTTCGAAAACAAAAATTCTACTTGGAAGCGAATTGTAACATATTGAAACGACCTTGACCTCGGCAAGCAGATTTCGACTGAAACCGGTTGAAGTGTGAAACGGGAAGGGCGTTCCTTGGCCTTGACTCTATGGGGCCCAGTGGGTGCTGTGCCCGCATGCAGAACGCGAGAGAGAGAGAGAGAGAGAGAGGAGAGAGAGGGAGAGGAGAGAGAGAGAGAGAGAGAGAGAGAGAGAGAGAGAGAGAGAGAGAGAGAACAAAATCAGAGAAGAAAGGCAAGGTGTTGACGAGAGTGACACTGACACCACACCAGTCACAACATGCGCAGCCTGGTTCTGAAAAAGTTCTGTTGTCCCTCTGTTTCACTCGCGGCCCCATGACGCGTCCTGCGAGTGCGAGAGAGACAGAGCGGCTGTTCGGAGCCAGCCTGCCGGGGCCGCCCTGTGTGCATCGGTGCGGAAAGGAGAAGGGCGTCGCCTATTGCCGCGACACTGTGCGTCTGCGCATGCCCTCCAGGCACCACTTCCATTCAGCAGTGAGCCCCCCCCCCCCTCTCTGTCTGTCTCTCTCTCCGTCTCTCTCTCTTTCTCTCTCTCTCTCTCTCTCTCTCTCTGTGTGTCTGTCTCTGTGTGTGCCCCCCCCCTCCTTCTCTCTTTCCCTGTCTCTCTCTTTCCATGAGTGTGTGAGTCTGTCTGTCTGTCTCTCTCCCTCTCTCTGGAGACCCTCACGAGATTATCTCTTACTGTCTTCCCGAAACCCATCGCATATCCCTGCCTTCATATTGCATAAATTTCTTCGAAACGTGTCTCCGCCCACTAGAATTTTAGAATTGAGAATTTTGAAATTACATCGTTATCAGACAACCCCACCGAAAGATCGCCTCCGAAGGCAGCAACGAATGTTTCGAAAAAGCTGCCTGTAAAGGATGCGTTTAGTACAGATAATTTCTTCAAGCATGGGTTAACTTTCCAACTTAATTTTGAAAAGATGACGCGGGTTCGCCAAAAATTGACGGCTGTAGACGCGCTACGCGAATTACGTATGATCCCCGACCTGCCGCTATCCGCTCTCCATCCTGCCGGCAAAGCAGATGAAAAGTATCCACAATGCTCAATTTGTGCTTTGTGGAAACCGGCTCACAGCGCAGCATCCGATTGCCCCCACTCATGTCCCGATCTGTACCAGTTTCGGCAGGCGCGAGGGTTTCCCCCACCGAAGCATACTGTGAGCGCAAGGAGCAGAGAATCCCACTATCTTGCATCAGAAACGCCTGTAAGTAAGCAAAAGGCTCGACGAGATCGTACAGATCCCAAACGATCCGACACATTCACATAATCTTTCGTCAGCGAAATTCTGAGTGAGGGGCCCCGTCACTGTTCTTGTGTGATAAATTTCATACAATTTGTTGCGAAAAGGCTAATTCCTTCAAATTATCGCATCTGTGGCAGCAATAAAAAATTATCGCATTAAAAATGCAATAAGTCTCTTACGTTTTGGCCGGTCTGGGCCCAGATTATTACAGTTATGGTGGATAAAACGATAACTACACTAAAAAAAGTGATAAATGCGCCTACAATAATTGTTGCACCTAAAATGCAATAACTTTTTCATGGCGCTACTAATGCAATAAAAATGTTATTGCTTTCTAAATTAGTTCATTGTTACACTTATAAAAACCTTATTAAAGTGCATGTTCCAAGAGTGGCTCCAAGGGGCGGCCACAGGCCTTTCGCCCCCTCCCCCAGATGGCACCTAGATGACGCCTGAACTGTTGGCAAAGAACCATACTTTGCCCCTGTAAGTAGGCAAAAGTAGCTCTCCCCAAAAGGCCGCCTCTAGGGATCCCCCACTGAGAAATTCATAAATCCGTCAAGAAAATCGGTAGTTACTCTGCTTGCAGGGAACCTCGACGGATTTAAAGCGAGAAAACTCACCGGTGGCGTCGATGGCTGTTTCGAAGTCTGCCGCTGCGTCACTCTTCACGTTCGCTTTTTCGTGGCGTCTGATCCGATGTGTGGGTGTTCCCTCCGGATAGAACCGAGTGGCACATGGTGGACAGGCTCTGCAGACAACAGGCACATTATAAATCGGGAGGGTAACACACTCAAACTACACAATTTGCAACAATAATCCTATTGCATAAAAGTACACATGTAATATTGATGTACTTTCATTGTCAAAATTTCTACCGAGAGATTCGTTTATATGTAAGCAATGCTGTAATGCACGAATTAAGGTCACTATTCAAACGCTTCACTTTTTATAAAATTGCTTTAAATTTAAGTAAAACTTTAACTTACACTTGCATAAATGCTTCCATGCTTGTATAGGAAAGGCCCACAAGCCTTACGTGTGGAAGCAAGCTAAAATATTTAACTCGGGTGAACTCCAGATTTGACGGTACGGCAAAGTGAACCGAATGGAGAGATTAATAATAAACTCATGCAACAACTAAAAATCGACAAACGATTACGATTAAAATGCTTTAAAGATACCGCATTAACTTTTCTAATTCCGATAGTGCCAACAGTGGTTCTGCGTGGCAACCGGGTTTTACACATAAGTGACCGGGTCGATTCTGGTCCGTCTCCCAAGACCGGATTTGTTCCCAGCGAACTAAACGTGCCTCCCGGGGCTCGGGGAAAAAAGTCCAAAAACTAACAGGGACAAAAAGGGGAAATGTGAAAACGGGCCGCCTACGGTCGCCACGGCCGATTTCTTGCGACGGGAATAAGGTAGGCGCACTAAAATTTGGCAAATCTTTCCTAATTTGATGCTCTTTGCTCTTTTCTTAACTCTTCCTCAAATCGAACCGTAAGGATCAAAATACGAATCATGTTTGGATTTTGATTTTGGAGAACGACAGAATAACCTTGGTCATATGAAGAAAAATCACGATCATACTGCTAGCGCCATTTCCTTCGTAACATGGGGCGTTTCATTTTCAGACATAAAGAGCGTCAACTTCATTTTGAACCGGTTTTCGTAGAACGAGAACACGGAAAGCAAAGGTACGAAACAAATCTGATCAAAAATTGGCCTGGACTCTTCGTACTTGCTAACTATGGAACTTCCGTGACTTGTTTCCCGTTACACACTGAATGTCTTTTGAGCAAATTTGGTACAAGATGTCAGTCTTGTGCAGATTTGTGCAGGACACGATTTTGTTCCTAAATGGGAAAATATGTGCAGTTCTTCGTACGAAAATTTTACGAGAAGTTTATCTGCACAAAATAAAACCTGTGATGTCTCGTACAAAATTGTACGTAACATTTGGTGTGTACATGTGGTCATGAAAGAAAGACGGACGTACCGTACATTTCTGTGCCTCTTAACCCAAGCCTTCACTCTCAGCCTCCTACTGTACTGAGTTTTCGATCGATAACGTAATGATGTAATAAACGTGTTAACATTTTCATTGTTCCACAAACATTTTCATCAATTTTGTTCAAAGCTGATGAGCTTTCTAACAAAACTCTATTAATGCGTAGAAACGTCAATGAATATTGATAAAATGTCGATTGAAGAATTAGAGTGTTCAACACATTTCCCTAGCAAAAGTACTTTCTTTTTCTTTTTTTTGTTCAACACTCTAAATGTCTTCCAATGAAATTTGACCTTTGTTATTCGTATGTTACAGTGAATTCGGCGCAAGCATAATACGAAGCAATATTCCTTCGTAATACGAATATTTTCAGCTTTATCATTGTAAGATACAAAGAAAAACGTTCGTAATATACGAAGAAAAACCACCTTCGTACTATGCTTGCGCCATTTCCTTCGTATTATGAATGGGAAATTTCTTCGTTAGACATTTTCAGTGAATGAGAGACTCACCGTGGGGCACGTGCTCCCCGTCGGGGTGCGCTCGCGGGGCCATGTCGCTTCGCCGCTTCGCGTTGGACGCCGCCGCAGTGAGTCAGGAAGAGCCGAACGCCGGTCCTGCGTCGCCTACACTCGCTGGAACGCGTCTGGTGGTGCCGGCGCCCGCGGGCAGCGCGGACGGAGGACGGAGGAGGGGGGAGCCGGCAGTACAGTCGCAGACAGTCAATCACCACGAGGGGCGTGGCGGCACCTGCGGAAAGTAGATTTTGACTTGGCAGAAGGTACAAAGGGCACCGCACTCTATAAAAGCCCACAATGTAGTTTTTGGTGCATAAGTTTTGCACGAAACTGTGCATGCGTTATAAAATGCACGAATTTCATGATAAACAATGCACATTTTAGTGCGCAGTTGTGCACAAATTTGTGCATTTAGAAACGCAAGCACACTTTCGTGCAAAGCTTATGCACAAAAAAACCAAGCTACATAGTAATTTAGTGTGCTACGAAGAACACGGAGATATTTGGTATTGTTCTAAGGTAAGACACTATTTTTTTCCATCGTAGTAAGCTTTTTCTTCGTACCTCACAAAGAGAAAACGAAAGGATTCGTTCAGTAAACAAATTTAATACGTACTATGTATCAACAAATTTCGTCTTACACTACTGCCAAGTCCACTTCAAGAAATTATGAGTGCACTTGCGTAGTCAGTCACGTGTGTGTCTGGAAGGGCTGGCTGTGTGCAAAATGCGAACATATTATGGAATGGAGCCACTCTTCCTTCGTAAAATGAAGCTTTTTCTTTGTAGCTTACTAAGAAAAGCTGAAAAAGATTCGTCATATAAACAATCTTCGTTCGTACTAGGTATGTACTACAACTACAACGTACACTACAACCAACTCCACTGTAAGAAATTTGGAGTGAACACTAAGAATGAGCTTTCGCTTTAGCTATTTTTACGTCCGAACCTCGGCTGTGCCGGCAAAGCCTTGAGTTCCTCTTAAACGTACGTTTTTCATCGGGGAGCGGGAACAGTTCGTCCGAATCGCTACACTGTGGCAAAAAGGTACGGAAAATTCTGTTAATTATTTTGCCAGGATTCTCCGTAGCCCTCTTATCAATATTCTCCGTAGGCTCTTACAGTATTCTCCGTAGGGCCGTACAGTAAGTCCGTACAGTCTTCTCCGTAGGACCTGGAAGACTGTATAGTCCTACGGAGATCACTGTAAGGTCCTACGGAGAATACTGTGCGGTCCTACGGAAAATACTGTAAGAGCCTACGGAGAATATTGATAAGGGGGCTACGGAGAATTACCACAAGCTGTTAACAGAATTTTTCGTAGCCTTTTGCCACAGTGTAGACGACTTAAAATGCCACAAATCAGTCCCATAAATGAGTGAAACAGGGGCGGAGGTCAGGGGTAGAATGTTGTGAACAGAGATCCTTAACATTTAACTAACACTGCTTTCATAACGTAACATGACAATGCTCGCTAATGGTTAAGGGTACGGACTTTTGCAAGTACTTCGAAAAGTATCTCTACACAAATTCGAGACACAAGAAAAATAACTTATCCTTTAGAAAAGAATTCAGAAGTTAAGGGTTATAATTTTAACTCGTACAATAACGTCTTGATGCCTTTTTAGGTAAGTTAAGGATCCCTCGTTACGAAAAGGTTTACGGTAGAAATTTTGAAGTTAAAAGTCCCTAGTTTGTTCTCTTTTTATCTTTTTTTTTCGGGGGTAAGCTATACTGAACCGTCATTTGACAGACGGTACCTGTAGGATTAGGAGTGCCCAAATTTCACTCACCTGTTTCCGGACGCGAGGCGGGATGTTGCAATACGTCATTTCGCTCGAAGACGAAAACCAAGGAGCAGCGCGTCTCGTTTTCAGCTAGCCGAGTACAAGCGAAGCGGGGCCCACAGTTTGGGAAAGTGACACGGCTAATGGCAAGCGCGGGAGCGGTACTCGCTTTTATACGTCGGTCGCTGGGATGCCCCACTCTCTCCCCAGGGACGGATGCGCTCAGAGCGCGATCGGGCCGGGCTGCGTCTGAAACGCGGTCCAAGGCACGCGCAGTGGATCGCATCCGGAACGTGCTCAGAGACAAGCGCAGTAGGGTGCCCGAAAACATGCCGCTTTGAGAAGACAGCCGGCGAAAACAAGAGCAGGTACGCACTTCTCTGAAGCGTATGACGCAAACTACTTTCTATGGCGTCTCCTCATGCGAGTCTACATTGACCCAGGGGGCGGAACTAACACACCACTTACACCATTAAGCTGGAGAACACACTTAACTTCTATGCTTGCGCGTGGTACGCGCGTGCTTTCAATACAAATTTGTACGCAATGTCGCAAGAATTAGTGTAATTTTACACTCTCAGCCGTTTACGGACTATTTCTCGTCTCATCAGCAGAAGTATTTCTGAAGGCAGCCATAGAACTTGGTATATTTCGTTCTTAAATGCTTAAAAAATTATTTGTATAATTTATTTAGGAAACGGTGATACCAGTACAGTAATTAGCAATTGCTAAGGAATACTGACAAATATACTAAGTTCTATAGTTGTTCACAGAAATGAGTCTTAATGAGAAATAGTCAGTAAAAGGCTGAGAGTGTACGCTGAAGTTGGTACGAAAATGCTAGCATGTTTAGAATTGTGGAAGGGAAGAAGGGGGAAAAACTTACTTATCCCCAAATTAATTTTTTTTAAATTTTAGAATTTGGGTTTTCCCCAAAAAATTTGGTGTAGAGTTTTAAAAAAAATCCCTGGGGGATAACCCAAATTTAAAAATTAAATTTTTGGAAAGGGGAAAAAGTCCAAGTCCCTTTCTTCCTTTCCTTTTGGTTTTTAACAGTGGGAAAAAAATTCCCAATTTTCCCCCAATTTTTAAATTTTAATTTTTGGTTTTTTCCAAAAAACCGAGGCCCCAAAAATTTTTTTCTTGTTTTCTTTTTTCAGAAAACGGGGGGCCAAATTTTTGGGCCCCTTTTTTTTAAAAACGGCAAATTTTTTTTTTAATTTTCCTTTTTTTTCCAAAAAAATTTTTTTAAAACCAAAGTTGCCAAAAGGTTTTAAAGAAGGGCTTTTTTCAAACCCCCTTTAAAAACAAAAGAAATTAATTTTTTCCCGGCCCCGAAAAAATTTTATTTCCAGGAGGGGGATTGGGGGAAAAAAAAAAAGGGGGGTTAAACCCCCTTTCCCCTTTTTTAAAAAAACCCCCGGTTTTCTGACTATTTCTCATTTGCAGACGCATTTCTGTAAGCAACCATAATACTTAGTATTTTTTGTCAGTTTTACTTAGCAATTACTAATTACTGTACTGATATTACAGTTTTCTTTGTAAATTACAAAGAAATTTTTAAGTATTTAAGAACAAAATACTAAGTATCATGGTTGCTTACAGAAATACGTCTGCTAATGAGAAATAGTCAGTAAACGGCTGAGAGTGTACTACACGCAAGAGAGACACACCAGGGCATCCCTTGCTACATTTGAACTTTTCAGCTTGAGGCTTGTTAACAGCGCCCGACCTTGACATCGCGCCACGGCAGGCTGCTTCAGAGAGTCGCTTCCAACACTCTCTCTCGCACTCACAAGGGCGTCCCGTACACGTGCAAGAGAGACAGAGCGACGAAAACGACTCTCGGAATCAGTCTACGCCTCGTATCTCCATCCGTTGCACCCCTACGCCGCGGTCCTGAGCGAACCAGAATCAACACGAGGTGCGCACGAGACGGTCTCAGCACCGATATGCTTGCTTAGCTTTTCGTCAGGCAGCCGCTGTCTGCTACCTGTTGCGAACCGAAAACTGAGCAACCAGAGAGAGTACAGTACTTTGACCACGCGAGATGACTTCACTCCCAGGGGGCAACACCTCGCGCAATCTTGCGTTCACCCTTGCAAGGGGAAAATCGTTGCTGGTTTTCCCTGGTGGCCTGTTGTAAAAACTCGACCTGGACATTGGGTCGATGCCGTTCACACGCAAACACTTTCAAATTTCGAAAAAGAAAAAGCAATAACCGCATTTCGGGCACTACCGGCAACAATGTGTCAGCGTCGAGGGGTGACCCACTGTCAAATTTTATGTACAATGATTGTGTGAATGTGCAAGATTTCTGGCGGTGTTGCCTACTTACAGGCGTTTTTGCCACCTGAATGTGGAATGTGGTCAAATTTTGTACAATGAATGTGTGAAGCTGTTCCCCTCTCGGTCAGCGTTAGGCACACCTAAAAAAAGCGTTTCTTGAACACCGAGATAATATACTTGCCGTAAGTGAATTTTCTTGGAACATCCTAGTAAATTTGTGGCAAGTATATTGGTTCAAGAAACGCCTTTCTTTTATAGTTCAATGCGTGCACGCGCCTGGGGTTCGCCTTCAAGTCACATCTTCACTCCCGATTTCCTTCAGATAAATGCCGTGCATTCTCAATACCTAAGGACACAAATGTATCATAATACAGAGCGTCCATTAAGGAAGAAACTAGTCTTAAGTCAATGAGAACACTTGGGTCCACACTCGGCTGTCGACGGTGTAGAAGGTAGGCCGTCTGACCCGCAGATCGTAGCACTCCGTCAACTTTGGTAAGCCTGTAAGTACCGTCATGTCCCCTAAAGTGGGACGATTTTTACGGAAAATCGCCTGTAATTCACAGAATAACGATAGCACCGAAAATCGCCGGGGATTTAAGAATCTTCATGTCAAAACACGTCTTTTACCGAAAACAAATTTTCTTTTCAGACCAAGGGGCTCCGGTAGGAGCAGCAAGAACCGTGTCCCAATTTAGGAGCCAAAGTCTCCTAAAGTGGGACAAAGTCCCCTAAAGTGGGACACGTTCATTCTTTTTCGCCTAAAAACTGCAGTAGCAAAAATTTTCATAAAATGTATTATGTCTAAAATTAAATTTGAAGCAAGATTGGTTCAGAAGTCTTTTTCGATATCTCGACTGGTTAAGCTGATATGAGCCACTTCTACCAAATAGATTTCCTAAGATATATTTAAATTAGAAACCACCGTAGCGCCTAAACCAATTGAAATACGGCAAAGACCAATAAAACAAAATGGCCTTAAAATTGAATTTCTGACCAAAAACATTTAATATTTTTTTTGCTGGGCACGTATTTTAGAAGTTTCAAAATGCATGGCAAGAAATACATGTTGAAATTTTGAAAACTAAAAGCCGTTCGCCGTACAACTTTTTCTCTAAAATATTTTTTGTTTAAAATTTAATTTTACGCAAGATTTGTTTAATGGTCGATAACGATATCTTTATCGGTTCAGCCAAGAGGAAGCATTTGCTTTCAAACATTAACTAAATTTTGTGCTGACTTAAAAAAGCATACCGAACCGTACTTTCCCGACTGCTTGGGTCTCCAAACCGACCTGGCAACCAAATATAGACCAAGTGGCATTTCTAGGACGCTGGAGGTGAATGCAACGCGTCTGAATCGGTCAAAACCTAAGAAAAACGAAAAAAATTGGAGTGTCCCACTTTACAGCCCCTCAGAAGATTGCTTCCCACCGTAAAACGAAGCGTCGGAAACAAATTTTCTAAAGTGCATCTTGTAGGTGAAAGAACGCGTTACAACATGTCTGAAGTCTAGAATGGTCCGAGCATCGACGGCTCGAAGCCCCGAATCCGCGCTAGACGTCTGAAAAAACTACTCTATTTTTCGGCATTTAATTCCAATTTTCAAGATTTTTGGGGGGAGGGGGTATGAGCGGGAAAAAAACACTCTCTGCGGATATGGTCTCGGAGGGGTCCTACCGTCTCAACAACATTTTTTAACTCGCAAAATATCCACGCGTTGGCCGTTTACGGCCTAAAATAGGGAAAATAGTCAAAATGTCCCACTTTAGGGTTCGTGTTCACATTTAGGGGACTTGACGGTAGTTCTCCAAGAAACGAAAACTTTCGTACTTGTACTTACACTCTCAGCACATTACTGACTCTTTGATCATTTTGTCAGTACTTATTCAAGCAATTTGTGCAACCATAATACGTACTGTTTCTTTTGTCAAGAACTACTCAGGAAATGTTAATTGATGTACTAACAATTTGGTTTCGTACATAATTTTACAAAGGAATTTTGTCATACTTTCTTAGACAACAGAAAACACCAAGTATTAGTGTTGCTCATACGAATACGTAATTAATGAGGAAAAAGTCAGTAACGTGCTGAGAGTGTATTATGTTTACACAAATCATTTCCACAAGTAAAATTTAGTGAAAACTCAGTTACGTTACTGAACACTATTTTTACCCTCTTTACTGTTTGCACTTGAAATGTGCTTTCTTAGTATGTGTTAAGCGTAACGTTACGCTAGCTCCGACGCTCCTCTTCCATGAAATGCAGCGTTTTACGCCGAGCATACCCCCTCCCCTAAGTGCCTGACGTAACTCATGGACGGCCCCTTTCGGTCGCGGTTCCGGAGCGCTCGAAGCCAAGCACGCCCTCTCCAGTCAGCCGAGCCTGGCAAGCCTGGCACAGACCCGGCAGCGGAGACGAGAGCGACGAGGAGCAATTGGGTACTTCGGAAGAGCTGGGACGGAAGTTGAGAAGAAATCAAGAAGAAGAACAGCCGGACTTGGATGAGAATAGAAAACTCCGCGGAAGCGGCAGAACGGCGCCGCAGACGCTCTTTCTCATACTTTGTTCTTCTTGATTTCTTTTCCACTTCCGTTCCAGACTTTCTCCAAAGTAACGTATTCTGTAAAAGACGTCTGAAAGGGATTGACGTGTACTTCTTGTGTGCAGCACTGTACTGCGTACGGGCAAGGTCGGCCGTCTGGCATCTGGGTGGAACGCAGCAGACATTCCGGATATATCAACCCTACATCTAACCGTCTGGAGGCAAGTACCACGGGAGAAAGAACAGTCAAGTTGTCTTCGCTCTGCTCCTGCTCTGGTAAAATTGAAGTGCAGCATTTCCCTTCATTTTCAAAAGTAATCAGTTTACGCGTTACAGGCTCATCCGCCAAGATTCCCTCTATACAAACGCATGGTGGACTTTCTAGTCTACGCTTCATTTCAATCGTAACGTCTTCAAGCGAAACCTTATGCTTGATTCAGGCACACTCACTAAATTCTTGTAGTCTTTCTTTTACGCTAGTGGAAACAACTGCAAAAGATTTGTACACCGAAATTCATCACTGGTTTTCTAAGTGTCATAATGACCTAATTTTAAAAGCAACAACTTTTTTATTGCATTTAAAGTGCCTTGAAAGAGTTTTTGCATTGTGAGTGCATTAAATATTGCATTGCATTACCGCATTTATCACTCTATTAGCGTACACTCTAAATGTGGAGTACCCAGAAACTGGGCGTCTTTGTCGCCCGCCCCACTTTTCAGGGTGCCCAATGTCGCCCAGTTTCTGGGCACCTTTGTCGCCCAGTATCGGGGTGCACAAATCATACAGTAACTGGCCCTCTCCCATGCCATGTGTCTAGTTCCTGGGCGACGAAGGTGTCGAAATTCATAAAAATCCTTCTTAAATTAGAATTTTACACAGCAATGCTAGCAAATATGGGCAAAGTTGAGTGCCATGCACTAAAGTTAATCCAAAATCCGAGTGGGATTCCAAACTTTTGCACAGCGTTATTCAATGTCATGTCCTCTTGCTTTTACGTGCGTAAGTTGTGTTTGATACGTATCATGCATAAAGGGTACACGGCAATGCATTATATCATTCACACCTTACGTACGTACGTATCTGTGCACTCTCAGACTGTTATTGACTTTTTGTCCTTTGTTATAGAGTATTTTACACAGCAATAAAAAGTACTATTTCCTCAATATTTATGTAGGATTTTGTTCGTTATATTGACATAAAGTCAATTTGCTATTGACAAAGAGTCAATGCGCAATTGACTTAAAAAATAGTCAATAATTGATGACAATTTAGTCTTTATAGTGAACAATATTGTACATGGTTACAAAGGAAATACTACATATTATTGCTGCTAAAAAAACTACGTAAGCAAAGGACAAAATGTCAATAGTGGAGAGAAAAAAGTCAATACGAGTCTGAGAGTGTGCATGCGCAATTATGCTTAAAAAAGCATAATTATGCACACTAAATGTTTTTTTGTACAAATTTTGTACGAGACATCACAGTTTTCTGTGCACACGAACTTTTCGTACAAATTTGTTCAAAATTTTGTACAATTTTGTACGAAAATGGCGAAATGTGTGCAGTTTTTCGTACAAGAACTGTGCAAAAATTTCGTGTGCACTAAAAACTTATGTCTCGTACAAAACTGTACAAAACATTAAGTGGGTGCCTTAAAAAGTCCCGAAGAGTTTATGTGTAGAGACGCTTTAGTTTTACCAATGTGAGCGGACGCTGGAGTGGAGTAAAAATGCGCTACAGCGAGAAAGTTTCTGTTGCGCAGATGGAACTTTCCGACTTGACCGATGACGTCCTGATCAAGGTGTTCAGTTACCTGAGTGCCAGTGAGCTGCTGCAGTGCAGGACCGTGTGCCGAAGATGGCGACCACTGGCCCTGCTCCCTTGTCTCTGGCGCAACAAGACAATTAGGTAAGTAAACTATGTTCATGTCTGAACTTCACTGCCAAAAAAATACTTCTTTTGCCAATATCTTTGGTGTTTACGGATTGTCATCCCCAATATTTTGCTGACGGTTAGAGCACCCCTTAAGGGTCCTTCAATGCCAATATCGGCCAATATGGTCCAAAAGTAAGATTGCGTATTTTGGTAATTATTAAAACGGTGTATTTTTAGCCAAATCTTTCTTTTGGGCAAAGGCTGGGGGTTCGAAACATGTTTCTCACTACATTATGGTGCCCTTTACTGTTTTCAATCCATTTGAGCGCCAATGTTTTTTTTGCCACGGCCAAAGCTTTGAATTTCAAAAAAAATATAGGAGTGTTTCTGGGGTGGTAGGCTGCGATAGAAAAAATTGGGAGCTGGATTTGGACCATGATGGTTTGTCGTGGAATGCCCCGTTCTTCACTCGGCCCCGAGCGAAAGGGTCTATCACGGAAATATCTCAAACTTCGGTTGACCCGTTTGTTACACATCTCATCAGTTGATGGGTTAACCCAAAGCTCATTGCCTTTCCAAATTTTGCGTTGGTCTGAGGGTGCTGATTCACCGCTCTGGGTAACAATTTCACCGTACAGAAATATAGACTCTACGCAGACCTCAGCCCCACGTCAATTGTCTCCTAATTCCACCTTGTTTGGGAGAACTACGTAAACATGGTTCCGTAGTCCATTCCAACGTAAAGATTTAAATCGAAAAACCCGTCTACAGAGTGATGCTACACTTTTAAAAATTTTCACAGTTATTTCTTAAGCTTTTTTGACAAAAATCCAATTGCATCATTTTTCTGATTGAATTAAGGTTACCCTGCAAACAGTCTTTTGTTTCTCCTGAAAAATGATGATAATTGAGTTATCCCCTTCTTCCGCTTCATGGATCATTTAGTGTGAATGCTGTAAATCTCATGTTAAATTCTGTTAGGTTCTTCGATGGGAAGTCGCGTGAGGATTTGCCTGCCGTTCTGCGCGTTGCGCCCCGCTTAAACGAACTCAGACTGTATGGCATTTCCGACGAGACAATCGTGGAGTGGGGCCTTTTGCTGTTCTCTACAAGCTGCGCCGTTGCCGATCTCAGCATCAGCTTCGATGGAGCGGACTCAGGTTTTGCTTCGATGGTGCTTGCTCGGTGAGTTTGGTGGTGCACTGTTAAAAATAGTGTTGTAATTTAGCAGTAACTATGTCGCTAATTTTCTGAATGACCAAAGTTGTCAACATGACTTCAGTTGTTTAATGATGACTTACGTTGTTCGAAAATAAGATCTTTGTTAACTAGTAGACAGCCATATGGGCATCCATTTTGATTGCCGTTTTAGTCACGAACCTTACCTTACCGACGTATCCAGTGCATGCATACTTAAGCATGAAAAGTGCACAACTATGCATTTAAAAAGTCCACATTATTGTGTTCAAAACGGGACGCACCAAACTCGAATCATCCTTTTGCTCCCCTCCATGCTTGGTCGCTAAGTCAATACATAGTAAGTTACCATCATTTTCGGTTCGGTCTCTGCTAACAGCCGCTGTCAATGAATTGTCTTGAGGGCTCCTTTGCATTTATTTCAGATAGGCGTAGGTATCTTGGGCGGATAATAGTATCCATTTTTGTTCATTAAGGCGTTTGGTGTTTACAGTCAAGTTTCTCTTGGACGTTTGAAGGGGGTTTCTCTAAGATTGAATTGGAAAAATCCCTCGAAAATCCGCCTAGGAGCTCTGCTAAGGCAGTTGGTCTGCACAGAAGGTGAGTTCTTATTTTTTTACGAAGACTTTTGCACATTACAAAGAAAATGGTGCGAGCTTAACATACTTTATTTTCGTACAATAGAGGTTTTTATTTCGGATCTTCCAGTAAAGATCCACTAAAAAAAATATTCGTACGTAGTACGGCGAAGATATTCTCCGTATATGCTTGCGTCGAACCATTGCTCCATGGTACAAATTTCGCAACTTGCAGAGTGTACAAGATGACAAAGAGACGTAACACACACCAGCGTACACCTACCAAGTAGTAAATTCAGGATAAATGCAACGTTCGTGAAAACTACCGTGAAACGGGGTAACTTCGGACACTTTTGATAGGTTTTTTTAAAATTGTGAAAGTTGTGGTGCTGTCATGGACTTGAGGGTTAAAATTTATCATCTACCCACCTTTAGCTTCGTTTTGGCGCTTATTTCAAATATCTGCACCTCACCGTTTTTACAGTGGAGGGTCCGAAGCAGTGTCCGAAATTACCCCGTGTTTTGGGGTCATTTCGGACACCCTTGGAAAAAACGAATTTTCGTTCTGATTTTGGTCCCAAAATCGATCACTGTCTCTTTCTAAAGTGCTAAAATGATTATATGAGAAATTCGTAAGGGTTTAGATGTAAAGGTAAGGTAGGGGTGGTCATTCATACATAATTTGAAGTCATGTTTTTGCACTCATATGTAGTTCGATTTCAGGAATAGTGGGTGCAACTAGTAGAGCCATTTAGAACGCTTATTTTTTAATTTTTGACCGATAAGCTTTCATAGGCAACTCGGGCCATACTTTATTACGCGAAAGTGAATCTTAAATGTTCCTCTACAAGATTACATACGATCACAAACATGCTTATGAAAGGCAAGTAGTCGTGTGGTATGTACGGTTAGGAAGATACAGGGGCTCAGTGGAAAGCTTTGCATTTCAATTGTAGTAAACCGGCGAGCTATGCAGCCATTCGCTAAGTCCAACTCTCATGTCACATGAAAGAAAATTAATCGCAAAACAGTCGTTGACACTACGGTAGGACATGCACATAAAACTAAGTATTAAAGATGTAGCTTTGCCCCATTTTTATGAAATTCGAAGTTTACAAAGCAACCGCTGTAACAATTGGGGATTATCGTTGTTATTGGATTATCTTCAACTTTCAGAAGAGCTCTTCAGCTTCCACCACTCAAACTCTGCGAAATTGAAAGTGTGCAGGACGTACCCACTCTCCCTGGCGTGACGTTTGTATGTCCGAAATTACCCCGTAAAGTAACAATTTTTTTGGTTTTGAGCCCATATAAACCATACTATTTGACCCAGGTGATTGAAAATTTGACACAGTATGCTCTTAACATGATTTAACCGACAAACAATCGCCTCATCAACCGGCCATGAACAGTTTCGGCTTGCCAGTCAAAGTTTTTACGCATAAGGCGAATTTAGGTAAAAATGGTTAAATACAAAAACCACTCTTTCTCCTGAAGTTTGCCCCTCATTTGGCCTCCGGGTGATTGATCAGATGGTTTTAAGTGTGGCCGATGCGATGCGCGCAACGGGACAAGCCTCCAAGTTGGCCGTTAGATGGGAGCATCATTGCAATGCTTCCGGGCAGAGTTGTCCGAAATTACACCGAGTGTCCGAAATTACCCCGTTTCACGGTAAGGGAGTATGGGGCGATTTGTAACAGATTTCGGAATTCTCTTTACCAAATTAAGAACATTCTGCATATCGGTGTCAAACTTGTGCCAGTTGAGCAGTCTGGCCCTTCATCTAGACTGTGCAGCTCCATTGGATCAATCTGGAGTCCGTAATCTTTGAAATCTAAGACGCTTTCCAAACCCTTGCATGCTGTTACGAATCGCCCCAGCATGGGGTGATTTGTAACAGCAATGGGGCTTTTCATAACATCCTACACATTAAATGAAACATCGTCGGGAATGTTATCTCCTCCAGCAGTTGTTCTTCGGATGTCCTACAGACGCCTTAAAATCTACATTACAAGCTGCCGTTGACCGCCTCAGTATTAACTGACCGGCTATGTCAACCCTAACCTCTCTTTTTTCAATTTTGGAGGAAAGAATAGAATAACTCGCTTTAAAATGCATTTTGGAGCTGTGTAAATGTATTGGAATTAGGCAGCAGATGATTCGAGAAATAATTCAAGCATTTAATTGCAAAAACTACTAAAATTCTTGTTTTTATACGGGTCTGTTACGAATCACCCCAAATGCCTGTTACGCAGGAAATCCGTCCCTAACTATCACTGGACAAAGTAAAAGCAACTTATGCCACGTGGTTACATTGTAAAGGGGTCACGCTTCAAGGCCCCAACGGTACTTCGATGGTGATTCATACCTAGGGAGCCTCAGACAGAAACTTCCTAGAACTCAAAATAAAAGATTTGCCTGTTTTCGGTGTACCCTATATTTCAGACGCCCTCCAAAACTATACCTGAGCACCGATCACATCCGCTTACATTGTTCAAGGACGCTCTACTTGAAGTGAAAGAGGGGCCATACTCAGATTTTCCTCTGCTCCCTTCACTTAAATTAATATACGCATTTGTTACGAATTGCCCCTGTTACAAATCGCCCCATACTCCCTTACGTTCAAGACACTGAAAAAAAAACTTTGAAAAATCGTCCACTGGGACGACGGAATGGTGCGGCTGCGCCGGGCTGCGCGGTCCGGCCGCCGCACGCCGGACTGTAGCGTGCATCGCTTCACGCGCTGTCTAGGCTGCTGCAACGCCCTGCTCTGTACACACTAAATGATTTTGTACAAATTTTATACGAGACATCACAGTGTTTTGTGCACACGAACTTTTCAAATTTGTTCAAATTTTTTTACAGTTTTGTGCCAAAATGGCGGAAAATGTGCAGTTTTTCGTACGAAAATTGTGTGAAACTTTCGTGTGCACTAAAAACTGTGATGTCTCGTACAAAATTGTACATAACATTAAGTGTGTAGGATTCTGAGACTCTTGGGTATTTTCACTTTCCCTTGCCCTTATTTTGATGCAGGTTTGGAGTCCATCTGTGTTGAAGCATGGGATCATCCCGAGCTATCGCACTTCCCCAGTGCAACCCAAGTCGGAGGCGCGGTCCCTCCAGCGTCCCTGCGGATTCTTAAGCACTACGTCCCGTGCCGTGACGAGTACTTGCCGCTTTATTTGGAGTGGCATGCGGCCACTCTTGAGGTAAACGCCTAGCTTGCTCTTTATGAGGAGAGCCAGCCGAAAAAATGTACCGCGATGTACACTGCGAGATAAAACTACGGAAAGTTCCACTCTGTATCCAAACCACGGAGATCTCAGTCTTTTAAGGGGGGGAGGGGACCCTGCTCAACTTTTAGTTCTTGAGACAACTTTTTCCTCGAAAAAAAAATGTATTGGGGGACCATGCTAAAAATACGTTTCAAGAGGTGCTGATCACATTGAGATAGTTGAAAAAAATATTTTTTTCTGGACCCCAAACCACTTAAGTTCAGTGGTAAAATGACCCAAAACTTCAATTGATCACAGTTCCTCTAATAATTGCCTGAGATGGCTGAAATTTTGTGGGGTTGTTAACCAATGGGTAGGCACCATTTAAGCCAAATAAGCCAAAGAGGAGCGAAATCGCCGATGGTCTGCTTCGAACGGCCCTGATACGCTCAAATCTTGAGTAAAAATAGTGAAATTGAGCAACTTTGAGAGCCCGTAGCGTCCAAACCCGACGTCGTAGAGCCTCACGCGACCCGGCATTCGAAAGAGCGCACTTTTTTCTTTCGGAAACAACACTGAGGTGATTTTTTGGCCAGCAGGTTCCGGGACCCCCAAAAGCCCCAAACCCTAAAAAACAGCCATTTTTAGGGGTTTTTGACCTCTACCAAAAATCCAATCGGTGTTTGATCCGGCCCAATTGGTGTTTCGGCAATTCGTATTCACTAGAGGAACCAAAAAAATCGGGAGGGAGCCAGATCTGAGGGGGTCCCCGGCCAAGTGTTTTTTTTTGTCTGGAGCTGCTTAAAGGGGGTGAATCACTCCAAAAACAGTGCTTTTGTAAAAACGACATTTAAACCAAACGGAAAGAGATAAATTGTTCACAGCTTTTGTTCGCGGAATTTGTTTACAGTTAAGGGGGTACCCTGGTGAAACTTTCAAGTAGGCTTCAAAATAATCCCAGAGAGTTGAAACTTTGCTTAATTATGAGGTTCATTATGGTGAGTTCCCAAAACAAAATTCAATCCAAAATGTTGAACGGTCTCTGAGAAAAGTGGCTTTTTAGTGTTTTTTGGGGCGTTGGAGAAAAATCCTCCTGCGTCTTTCATTGGGACGGAAAGTCTTGAAAATTTTTTTGGGTTATCCTAAAGATGTATAGAAGAGATTTTAGTGACGGAATTTTCAAATTAAACTTCTGTCCTGAGATATGAGTTTTCAAATTTCAACATTTAATAAAAAGTGATTTTTTTCCCTTTTTTCAAACTTTTAGGTGTGTTAAAGAAAAAGTAGGGCTGATATCAAGATTCCGTCACTAAAATTTGTCGACAAGTCATCAATGAATAGAGTCCATGCAAGACAACTCATGTAGGTGTCAACCAGGAACGCAGGAAGTCTTTCTACGACAAAACTTTTTGTCGACTGAGCAAAGCTGTGAAGTTGAGCGTAGAAGCCAACGACAACTGATCTCAATGTTATTTCCTTCCAAATGATAAAGAAACTACCCACTTAGCTTAAAGGTGTTCAACCTGTCGAATTTGAAACCCTCTCTGCACATTTTTATCTATTAACTTTGAAAATACTATTTTTTGGAATTTTGGCGATTTTTTCACCAGGGTCCCCCCTTAAATATTTTTAATTTTACGTGACAAGATTCACTTTTAGACAAAACCTGTATGCAGGTTCATGAAATTGGGCGTGTGCACATTCCATCAGGAAGCGTCCCTACTTAAAATTCTCTGTGCTGAAACGCTGTCTCTTTGTCTACCAGAAGGTGTCATTCATGGCAGATTCGCCTGGAGCTCGCGTGGCGTCCCTGCTCTCGTCCCTGCCCCGCTTGCGAGACCTTCGCTGCCCTTTGTTGGAGGACATGCATTCTCTGCTGCCGTGCCCGTCACTGAAGAGACTCTTCCTGCACGTCGACCTGACCGACTCGAACTGGCTAACTTTGCCCGGGGTCCGGGCGTTCCTCAGCTCGGCCGTCTTACTGCTGGAGGAGCTGGTGCTGGACGTCTTCAAAAACTCGGACGACGACGACGCGGTGAGCTTGGTGCAGTCCCTAGGCGGCACGGGGACATCACCTGCAACGCTGCGAAGTTTAAAGTTCTGTGTCGCCCATGAGTACGAGATTCCACAAGTCGAATGGGACCCTCCACTACTGCTGCAGCCTCTGGCTAGCATTCTCCACCGACTTCCGCACCTTCGACACCTCGACATTGGCGGCGCGCCGTCGGACGAGTTCCTGGAGGCGCTGGACGGGCGCGTGCTGCCAAACCTTCGAGAGCTAGAGGTGTGCACGTCTCGGGAGTTCACGCACGAGCAGTTCCACAGTGAACGAGTGCGTATGCTCATGCGGAGGAACCCGCGGTTGCATCTTATGGTCACGGTTGCATCGAATGAAGAAGGAGAAAAAGAAATCATCGAGTGTAGCCACTGCCCTTTCCCGCTAACCGGGAAAAAGAATTTGAATTCACTCTGTTCAGTCACCCCGTGGGAAAGGGCCATGTGATGTAAAGCATTGGGCGCCTGACATCTTCATCAGTTGAGTAGAAATATGCATATGCATTAGATCTGTAATTCAATGTACATGCTGTCATGTGTTTCCTGCACTTCTCACGACATGCCTTCTTCAATAATTAAATTGTTTTAACAGCTTTTGAAAGCCATTTATTTAATTGTACTCCGTACTCCCACTTCCAATAGACCTTTCCAGGCTTAAGTTTTTGGACAGTACCCAACACGTCCATTCCAGGAAAGTGACATCACGTTGAAACGAACGGACAAAATTCACATTTGTTTAATGATGGAAGGGAATTAAACTCTGTGTTAACTGGAGTATCGACAACACCGAGTTCAATGCCATTTCCCAGGGTGGAACTGAAAGTGTGGCGGGAAAATATTCGAACATTGCACAAGAAACTTTGCCCGGAAAAGTCTTTTTTTAAATTCACCCAGCTTGCCGCTTTTTTGGGGAAACTTGGAAGTTTCACCAAAGGGGGGGAAAATTTTGGCTTCCGGCTTCCTTTGTCGCCCTTCCCTGGCTTTGCGGTTTTTGCCCGCCCACATCCCCGAACCCGGCCACCCCTGGGCCTTGGGAACCTTTGGACCCGCACCCCGCCCAAAGGAGATGGGAAAAAAAAAAAGGGGGAAAAGGTTTTAAAAAGTTTGTCGGGGAAAGGGGGGGTGCAGGTCCTTGTGGGGGCGTCCACGGGAAAAACCTTTTAAAGGGGGGTGGGGGGGGGCCCCCCCATTCCAAATTTTCCACAAGGCGATTGCCGGGCCCCAGGGAGGTTGCGGGGGCCCGGGGGTGAAGGGGATTTTAGGCGGGAGGGGTGGGGGCCTTTGCAAAACCTCGGGCCAGGAGCGGTTTTTTTTGGGGCGAACCCTCGGGTTTTGTCCCAGTCTTTCTTTTGGTGGTTTTTCCAAAAAATCCCGAAATTTTTTGAAAAGGTAAGTCCCTGGGAATTTGGTTTTACCGACGCTTGTTCCTGGACTGGGGGCCAAAAAAGGGGGGCCGGGAAAAGGGATGGGTTTTGAGCAATCAAAACTTTTAAATGGAAAAAAAATTTTAAACAGAAATTTTTAAAAATTATGAAGGCGATTAAAAATAAAAATCCCGTCGTTTGGTTTTTTCCCCGGGAAATGGTGATTCTTGGGGGTAATTTTGAAAGGGGAAGGCGTATTGCCCCGTTGGGGTAACAAAAGGAAACCCGGGGGGGCTGGTTTCGGGGGGCCGCCCGCACTTTAAAAACCAAAGTGGTTTTGGGCCGGGCACCAAACCCCCGGTTCGGGTCCTGGGCCATTTTTGAACCCCACAGTTTGGTTTGGTCTGGCCACCCAACTGATGGGGGGTCAAAATGGCCCCTCTGAACACCAAGGGGCGCGGCCCGGGGGTTTTTCCCCGTGGCGCCCAGGCCCGGCGGGAAAATCCCTCCCCAACGGGAAGCCTTTGGGGGGGGGCCAAGCACGGGGGTTTTTTAGGAGGGCGGTTTCCTTTCCGTTGGGTACCCGATTGCCCCCCGTTGGTTAAAAAAGGTTTCAATTTTTTTAATTATCCCTTTAAATCTCCTAAACAAACAAAAATTTAATTTTACCCCCTTTTCACCGTTTGGGGAAAAAAACAAACTTTTTCCGTTAACCCGAAAGTAAAACCCCCGAACTTACGGGAATTTTTTACCTTTTCCTATTTAAACCCTTAATAGGTGTACCAACCAACAAAGTTGATGGAAAATTTTGGGAATTTTGTTGGGCAAGCAAGATTTTAAAAAAGGGGTACCTTGGGAAAATTTGTTTAATAAAATTTTTCGGAAAAGCCAATTTATTTTTAAATTTTAAAATTTTACGGAAAAAAGGGAACAGTTTTTTTTCCCTGGGATCCAAAAAAGGGGGAAAATTGGGGACCTAAACATTTACCCGGGGCCTTAATTTCCCTAAAAAAAACTCCAAAACTTTTAGCCGGTGAGATTGTAGGATTTTTGTAATGGTTTTAATTTAAATTGGGCCTGCACTTACTTGGGCAGGCTTCAGTGGCGTCGGGTTTTACCTTTTTCTGAACCCAGAAACTGCCCCGGCCTTTTCTCCCCGCACCTTCCTGCCAGAAAAACCAAATTTGAACACCCAACCCCAGCGCGGAAACCGTCCCCCTAAAGTTCGGGCCAGAAAGGTCCTTGAACTCCCTCCATGTGTCCTGGCCCCGGGCCCCTTGGCTTTCCAAGGTCCAGGGTGGGGCCTACCAAAATGTTCCTAAGGGGGTGCGGACTTTTCAACTAAAAACCATTTGTGCTGCCGTTCCACTTTTCGTGAGCCCTTTCCACGCTGAAGTGCCTTTTCCGCTTTTGCCGGGGCAAGCAAAAAAAACACGGAGAGGGGGAAACTGGTGCGGGGCGCGGCAGCAGCAGCGGGGTCGCTGGCCAGGACGGCGCGCCCGTCGTCTTGCCGAGTGGGCTCCACCAGCATCGCACGCCCCGTCGACGCATCCCTGCAAACGCCCCGCTTTCAATTTTCGTCATGAATGAACTCTCATTCCAGGAACGTGACATCACGTGGAAACGAACGTGACAAAATGTCACGTTCGTTTCAGCGTTGTGTCACTGAATGTGAACAAGCTAATTTTTGGCCGATTCACATCCAAACGAATGTGACACAGCGCTCAAACGAACGTGACATTTTGTCTCGTTCGTTTCAACGTGATGTCACGTTCTTGGAATGAGAGTGTGACCAATCACAAAGCACCGGTAAAACTAAGAGTCAAGCATAGAGTTACGCTTGAAATGAAGCATACTCTGGAAATTCCCACATCCATTTAGATAGGGCGAATTTTGGCGGGTGAGCCTGTAACTCTTGATTTCAAGCGTAAACTGATTACGCTTGAAGACAGAGGGTAATACTACGCTTTCGTTTTACCAGTGAGGTTTTGCCATAACAAAGGGTGTAAACGGTTTACGCCCCCGTGACGACATAAATCGATTTACCCTAGGTGCGTTAAGTATACCCGAGTAAAATAGAAGGCTGCAGAAAGGCTGACGCACGGCTGACGCATGGCTGTATGGACCGTTTTTGGCTGTATGCATGGCTGCCGAGGCTGCCTTGCAGCCATGTCGCAGCCATAGCGACGTCCTGGACTTGCAGCCATGCACGCTGCAGTGGCTGGTCTGGCTGTTTTACGGAGCGCTTTGGCTGTGGAACGCTCAGAAACTGCGCACAGAAGCCTTTTGCTGCCACGCTGCCACGCACAGCCAACTTAGCTGCAGTGGCTGCAGGCTTCGCATCGCAGCGTGTTGGCTGCTAGCGCCAGCCGTGCCGCGGCTAGACGTTACAGCCATGTAGGCTGCCATGGCTGTAGGCTGCGCGTCGCAGTGTGTTGGCTGCTAGCGCCAGCCAGGCCGCGGCTGGACTTTACAGCTATGTAGGCTGCGCGTAGCAGCGTGTTGGCTGCTGGCGCCAGCCGGGCCGTGGCTGGACTTTGCAGCCACGTAGGCTGCTATGGCTGTAGGCTGCGCGTCGCAGCGTGCCGCTGAAGCCATTAAGGTTGCCACGGCTGTAGGCTGCGCGTCCCAGCGTGTTGGCTGCTGGCGCTAGCCGGGCCACGGCTGGACTTTACAGCCACGCGGGCTGCAATGCTGTAGACTGCGCGCTGCGCGTCGCAGCGTGCTGGCTGCCGGATGCAGCCGGGCTACGGCAGGACTATACAGCCATGTAGGCTGCAATGGCTGTAGGCTACGGATTGCAGCATGGTGGATGCTAGCGGTATTCAGGCAACGGTCGCACCCCTTGATTAAAGGGCGATAAAAAATAGAAAAACATAGAATGGGTGCGTGGTATGCTGATATTTGAGTTGAATACGTTAACATACATAAGCCATGCAAGTTTCGTAAAAATCGGGAAACTTTTTTACTATCTTTGATATCTCGGGAACGGTAAGTCCTAGATGAAATTACTTGTCAGATTTGGATCTGGAACGGTGTTGGGACCCTAGAAAATCTACTAAGGGCTCCATAGAACTTCAAAAGGCGTAACAGGCACCCTCAAAGGTCGTCATGGGGACCTTCATGTACTAAAGAGTGAAGCCTAGTAGCGATATGGATGCTGCCGATGGCATCCACGAAGCTGCAGGATGCGGCCGAGATGTAGCTGTGACCCGCAGCTTCATAGCTGCCGAGGGCAGCGTGGCCAGGGCGAAAGAAGGCTGCCTGCAACATCCTGAAGGCTGCGGGGTGCAGCCTACAGCAGCGCCTCACAGCCTCTAGGCTTCCGGGGACAGCGTGGCCCGGGCGAAGGAAGGCAGCCTGGGGCATCGTGAAGGATGCGGGGTGCAGCCTACAGCAGCGCCTCACAGCCTCTAGGCTTCCGGGGGCAGCGTGGCCCGGGCGAAGGAAGGCTGCCTGGGGCATCCTGAAGGCTGCGGGGTGCAGCCTAGAGCAGCGGGGGCAGCGCTGACTGGGCTCCAAAGGGACACTTCAGTGGCTGGCAGGTGCAGCCAGAGAGGCTGCACCGGCTGCGGATGGCTGTATTTTGGCTGACGTATGTCCGAATACAGCCAATGTCTGCAGCCATCAGAGTTCCATCCGCGCGTTGTCAGCCACCTGGAGGGAGCCAGCCTGCAGCCAATCTGCAGCCTATAATTTTATCTCGGGATAGGAAAGGACTGACTGCAACGAGTCAGTTTGCAGCCTGCATTTTCAACTAGTGTTAACTGACTACTTTACTAAAAGACTTAACGTTAGGCAAATTTTAAATGCAGTATGTGCATACACACATTAAAGTTGCCACTTGATTACATAATTTTAGGGTTTTCTATTATTGGTAGGGTCTTTACACAAAGCTAGCTGTCACATTCATGTAATTCTCGACGGAAGGGGGTTGAACCGTCTGATAAGTGTACAGATCGGTACAGTTACTACGCAGTCAGTTTGCATCCTTTCTGATCACCAGACTTTGTCTCTAAAGGTTTAAAAGTTAAGGAAAAAAACACACAAGTCGGACGCACCTGGACACTTCCTCTTGCCAGCCTATGTAGATCACGTTGAAGTCGTTGACGAGATTGTTGGCTGCATCGTTCCACGCACTTGCCGGATCCATCAGCTGTCGATGGAGACTGAAAAAGCAGGCCGGGGCGATGGCCACGTTTTTGACCAGCATGGTCAGCCTCCCGCAGCGCGGAGCCACGAAGCGCATGACTGCCGGGTCGGACAGCATCGTAGACATGCACGGTGTTCCATCGCATAGAACGTTCAACCACAGCAGCTCACGGCCAGACCCGTCCGGGAGGACTGCCATTCCTTGGTGAAAGATAGAGTTTCCACACCCACGGTTAAACGAAAAATACGCTGAGCGCGAGAAATGACCCCAACAGGGGAATTACATTTTTAAAAAAGAAGTGTGATTTTAATTTTCTTAGAAGTGTTAATTTTTTTACTGACAATAATTGAAAATAAAAATCATCAATGACATCAACATTTACGTCCGTTTTTAGCAAACACTGCAAAGCTAGTGGTAAGTTTGCTTGTTACAAATCTGGCAAGCCGTTTTGAATGCCGAAATTTGGCATTTACAATTCATAAGCTTGCCAAATTTTGGCAAGCGGCGGAGTATTTCCTGGCCAAGCTTGCAAAATTTTGGCATTCAAAACGGCATACCAAATTTGTGGCAAGTAAACTGACCACCGGCTTCGCAGTGAAGCCATCTCAGGGCAGTTAAGCCACAGAACAACTTTGAGTCCCAACATAAAGAACACTCGGGACTTATCACACCCCGTGACTTCGATTTTCTATTTGATTTTAAGGTACTCACTGTTGTTGGAATAGAGCAGAGATGTAACTCGAGAAATAAATTGCAGTTTGCTTGGAAGTGGACCGTGGTTACCTTTTGAATGGCTGTATTCCTTGCCAAGTGCATTGCAGGCGCAAAGCCCACTTTGAACTGTTTTCTGAATTAGACGGACATGACGGACATTCGAGCACCGTTTGATCTGAACGCAATTGCGACAGTAATGTCACTTTTCTGAGCTGTCTAAGGGCGCAATTCTTAGTTACTGTCAATGGCGAATGTCAAATCAAACTGGCGACTGCTTGAGTCTCCCTTTCGCCAACGGGCACGGCCGGCCGTCACGGCCAGGACATGCGCGCAACTGAATGGCCATCCTTCGTTTGGCGACAGCGCGCCAACTGTATCGGACGGCCGAGTGCTTATCGCTTTTATCACGTGCTTCTGCCTCAAGGCACTTCAAGTTAAATGGAAAGACTTTGCGCCAAAATATGATGTGGCGAGCGAGACCTGGTCTCGCCAAAATTTGTTCAGTCAGTATTGATCCAGGAAGCGGAAGAAGGGGATAACTCCATTTTGACCATTTTTCAGGAGCAACAAAAAACTGTTCGCAGGGAAATCTAAAACTGAACAATGGAATGTTATATATGATATCAAGTTCAAAAAAATGTAAGTTAAATTTTGAGGTGAACATCAGGAGTGTCAGGTCACTGCGTATAGGATATCTGTAACTTATCACTTTCCGCTAAAATGGAAAACAGAGTCATCTCAACTTATATTTCTTAAACGAAGTGGAATTTGGAGACATGTCAAGTGGAACTGTAGTCAGCAGAGAGTGTTGGTTCCTCTGGTGCATTTTTTGGACTTAGCTCTTTTTTCCGTTTAAGTTCTAAAAATTAAAGGGTGGTAAGTTGACTTGATTCTTTTTACAATGGATACATAAAAACACAAGTTGAGTTATCTCCTATGAACAATATGTTGAACGGAGTCATGTTGACTTTGGTTGAGATGTTTCCATTTTCCGCTAAATTGACAGTGTAAAAGGGGTCAAGTTGAGTTACATCTTTTTTCGAAGTGGATTTTCTCTTTAACTGCTAGGAATTGAGTCAAATAATTTGGTGCTATGATGCAAACCATTTTAAGGCACCACGATATAATAAAAACTCAATTTGGAGATAAGTCAAATTATTCCCTTCTTCCGCTTCCGGGATCAATTGTTCAGTCACAAAATGGTGAGACTATTTGTGTCTGACCACTGTCACAACCGAACACGGAGGAGAAATCCATCGATTTCAGAAAGAAGAGTGCAATTTAGCACCTGCAAGGTAGATGGAAGTCGTGACGTCGTGAAGCGGGGCCAGTCACTGCACTGCGAATTCGGTGGTTAGTTTGCTTTTCACAAAATTGGCGAGCCGTTTTTAATGCCAAAAATTGGCAAGCTTGGCTCAGAAATACTCCCCAGCTTGCCAAAATTTGGCAAGCTTATGAAAATTTCTGACCAAAGCTTGCCAAATTTTGGCATTAAAAACGGCTCGCCAATTTTGTGGCAAGCCAACTTACCACTGGCTTTTGCAGTGTGGTGTTGGCGACAGGGAAAATGGGGCTCCAGCACACGCAGTTTTTCATTCTCGCCTTTAAGGTTTGACGCACGGCGTAGTTCCCAGAATCCACAGCCCAGCGACTGTTGACATTGTCAAGGCCTGTGCGAGGGGCACGGTGCCGAGCGGTGCCGAGTCCAGGAGCACATTTAGGGGGGAGGGGCCTCAAAGTGAACGAACTAGGCCTATTCGCTATCAGGGTTGGATTGGAAGTCGATGAGGTTCATCTGCGTCCCATCGTTCAGTTCGAGGAATGGCTTCTCCGTGTCAGTTTCTCTTTTCCACTTTCACCTCCTGCCCCACGCGTCAGGCAGGGTGGCAGGAAGATCTCCTGCCAACGCGTTCTTGAGCGTTTTCCGTTTGCCTCTGAGTCGCTAAATCGTCCACACGGTGAGAGAATTTCAACTATTTCTGTTTTGGTACTGGTGTGCATTTCCCCATTCCTTGAAAGAATTGGAGAAAACGCCTGACTCGTGATCTCGTGGACGGGCACGCGCGGTTCTGATACTTGGCTCAGGGCGCGAACCCCAGAAAAATGAGACGAAAAGCCACTCTAGTGGCTAGTACTAACTAGTAAGGGAGGGTGGGGCAGTTTGAAACAGGGGCAGTTTGAAACAAACACCAATATTAAAGCAATGAGGGCTGCCGAAGGAAATGTGAGTGTGCACAATCTTCTGTTTTCATGATCTTACTGATTTGCGATCGACACGGTCGTCAACGGTGCACTTTAGTGGCCTTGAAAGAAAGGTGAAACTTCGGTAACATTGAAATTGGCCTAAACTTAAATTTCTAAGTCACGGGAGTTTCCGTCTGGGTTTCGCTAGTAAGCGATCATCTCCCGCACACTTAATTCATCTTTTAGCACCATATTAGGCAAGCGTTACGCACCCTCGGACACTGACGTAGCCCTCACCAAGTCCGGCGGGGAGCAGCACAACTGGAATGGTGCCCTCTGGGGCAGTTTGAAACAGAAGTGGATGGGGCAGTTAGCAAAACAGCAATATCACTAGAAAAAACGTTTTATATTTTGGAAAGCGAGCATAATGATGGGAAATTCGTAATTCCCGATCGCATCAATGGAGACGTTGTATGTTTGACCCGTGACTTGCATCAAAATGCAACATTTATAAAATGTTGCATGTTGAAAACTTGCGGGCCGAAAAAGGCCTTTATTTCAACTCAAAAAAAGTAATGGTGTTAACAACTTTTGTTCGCCTCTCTGGGCAAATCCATTGCCGTACGCATTTTCAAAAGAATCGCGTTTTTAAAAAAATGCGTATTTGGCTATAATGTTATAAAAAATGTTTAAAAAATTCGTCAAAATGTCAGCACTTGCATGGCAACGTCTATTTGAGTCTATTCGAATCTATTTGAGTTGTGTACGCGGCTCTTCTTGGTCCGTGTACACTTCCATGCAGCTGTTTCAAACTGCCCCATCGCTGTTTCAAACTGCTCCGGCCTGGGGCAGTTTGAAACAGATGCAAGGGTCGTAGTTTCACCTTTATTATTAACGTTGAACGAACTTGTGAGCGTCTGCGGGCGTTTTCTAGTCAAGATAATGAGTCACTCTATTAATCTAGTGCATACACGCAGCATATAGACTAACAGTAAGATTATAATAACGAAATTCCAAATTCTGTTTCAAACTGCCCCACCCTCCCTTACCAACTAGTTAGAGAAATATTCTCAGCCGTAATATTTCTGGTTTCCGTTTACCGCCGCCCAGCCGTCGAACAGGTTGTCTTTCTGCCCCTCAGGAAAAGTTTCTGCAGGCGGCCTCCACCGGGCCGACAGGGCACGCGTTGAACGGACGTATCTCGTAGACGGCTTGACTTAAGACCTCATTTTGTTCTCAAATTACTTGTCTTGATAGTACGCATGACGAACAGAGAAGAGCTTTTTCTTGATACACTGCAAATCTAAGTGTAGGACAGGTCGACACTTTAAGGCGTAGACCAGTTTGTCCTACGTTTGCAAGTGCACGGTAAAAACGGAACCTGGTTTTCCCAGGAAGCCAATGGTGAAGGCATAGGCGATTTCCAGGGAGTTCCTGGGAAAACCAGGAACCGTTTTCACCGTGTGTCGACTAGTTGTGTCCGACGCTCTGAAGTGTCGACCACAATGTGTCCGACGCCTGCATGTGTAGGACACTGTTTGTCCTACGGCAAATTACACTGAGTTTCCTATTGTGGCCCCACACGTCAGCCGTCGGACACACTGAGAATGAAGTCATGATCAATACCCAATTTTGGGCTAGGTATACTTTATCACCCAAATTTGGGCGAGATTGTTTCCTCGCCCAAAATTGGGTGAGGAAGGGTGTATCAGCTGCCTATACGGCTCCATAGTATTATGACCCAAATTTGGGTGAGGAAACCTTCCCCACCCAAATTTGGGCGAGGAAACCTTCCTCGCCCAAATTTTGGTAATAAGGAATTCCTCACCCAAAATTTTAGTCAAGATCATGACTCTTTTATTCTCAGTGCATGCTGTGGCCGACACTTGCAGGCGTCGGACACAGTGTGGTCGACACTTCAAAGCGTCGGACACACCTGGTCGACACTTGCAAACGTAGGACAAACTGGTCTACTCCTTAAAGTGTCGATCTGTCCTACATTTGGATTTGCAGTGTACGTTTGTCAGGTAATTGCGTATTTCGGTTTTAAAACAATGTTGTCATTTCTTTGGACCAATGTTTCACTATTGCAGCTAAATTGCTCAAAAACTATATGGGATATTGTAAGTTTGACGACGGCATCGTCTTTCTTGGACCTTACTTGGTGGGAGTCGACACTTGATCCAGGAAGCGGAAGAAGGGAATAACTTGACTTATCCCCAAATTGAGTTTGTATTTTAATATTGTGCCTTAGAATGGTTTCCTTCATTACACCAAATTATTTGACTGAATTCCAAGCAGTTAGGAGAAAATCCACATGGAAAAAGGGTATAACCAACTTAACCCCTTTTACGGTCTAAATTTCATTGGAAAATGGAGATAACTCAACAGAGGTCCACATGAGTCCGTTTGACAAATTGGCAAAAGGATATAACTCAACTTGTATTTTTATGAATCTTGTGTAAAAAGAATCAACTCAACTTAGCCCCCCCTTAATTTTAAATTTCAATTTGGAAAAAAGAGCTAAGTCCAAAAAATACACCAGGGTAACATACACTTTATGCAGACTATTGTTCCACTTGACTTGTCTCCAAATTCCTCTTTGTTTAGGAAATATAAGGTGAGCTGACTCTGTTTTCCATTTCAACGGAAAGCGATAAGTCGCAGAAATCCTCTACGGAGTGACCTTACACTTTTTATTTTTTTTCCAAAATTTTACTAATGCTTTTTGAAATTATGAACATGTGCAACATTCATTTGTTTTGTTTTAGTTTTCCCTCCTAACAGTTTTTGGTTTCTCCTGGAAAATGGCCAAAATTGAGTTATCCCCTTCTTCCGCTTCCTGGATCACTTAGACCGTCAAAATCGTAACTGTTCAATTTCGCGTTAAAACGGCCGCCATCTTGGCTCTGCTCACGAAACCAAAATTTTATGCCTCTGCGGACAAAACTGTTCGGTTGGGTGTCCAGAACACCCAAAAAAGGTTCAGCACATGTTCATGAAGTGCAGATTGGCTCGGCCAGGCTCGGGGGTGGCAACGGCCTAGGGATAGCGTGAAGCGATGCTCGCGCCGTCAGTGCAGAGGTTGCGCACTTCTTCGAGATTATGAAAACTAGACTGTGTTTTTCAAAACGCTTTGCACGGATGGAAAGGGCTTGAAATTTAGGGTGCTTTAGGTTAATTGCTCTTCTCGAAACTCCCACCTTACCTAATATTAAAGTGCAGTGAAAACACCGAAAAAACACGAGAAATTATACAATTTAGAAAAAACTCGAATGCGCCATGTTGATGTAAATGATTCCGCCCTTGTGTTCGGTTGAATTGGAAGTATCGGGCAGTCTCTTAGGCCTAATGCACCCCAAACTTTGTGCTCTTTTGGCCCGTGCAAAGCGTTTTGCAATCAACGGCCTAGATCTTACAATCGAAGCAAAATAAGTAACCCCTGCACCTTGCTCGCGTATGGCTTCACGCGCTTCCTATACCGTTGCCGCACTGAAAAACCAAACATGGTGTAGACGACACCACTGGTGTGGTCAAATGGGTGCCATTTTGACCGCATCAGTTGGTGTGGTCTAGACCACGTTTGACCACGTTTTGTTCTAGACCACGTTTGGTGTGGTCTTTCGCACCAAACGTGGTCTAGACCACACCAACTGATGCGGTCAAAATGGCAACCATTTGACCACACCAGTTGGTGTGGTCTGGACCACGTTTGGCTTTTCAGTGCGCCCCCTGGCCAGGCCACCCGTCTAAAAAACAAACTAATTGGAACCAATCTGTTTTCGGCTTTCCTGTTAGTTAGGATCTCGGAGAGGTCCTTCACAAAGTGAATAAGCCTGGGAACAAGTTTAAGTAAAACGTGGATCGAATTCAGGAAGTTTAAGCTATCGCCGTGAAGCTTCTTATCACGGCAGCTACAAGATATTTTTCAGGGCATGCCTCCTAGGCCGAGAGCGCCCGTCTGGGTAGGCAGCCACTCGCACGCGAGTGTCTAAGAATTTGCCCACCCGCAAGGCGTTGTTGCGCTGGTTGAGGTGTAGAAAGTGTTTGCTTTCTCTCAAACTCGTTCGCCGATTGCAAACAAAAGTTACAAAGTTACAAAAGACTAGCAAAAGTCTCTCAGTTTTCAAAAAATCGTATTTTTCGTATGTTAAGGTGGCACATTTTACAGGGGGGCCACGAACGGCTTTATTTGTACCTTTCGGCCGGTTATCTAAGTAAATTGCAGAGTATTTTAAATTTTTTGTTGATTTGCCTCGACTCTGAGAATGCGTCTGGCTACGGCGCCTACGGCCAGTCGGCCTTGATGAGGTCCGCGGCGCGCTCGGCCAGCATGATGACGGGCATGTTGGTGTTGCCGCTGGTGAGGCCCGGCATGGCCGACGCGTCCGCCACGCGCAGCGCGTCCACGCCGCGCACGCGCAGCGCCGAGTCCAGCACGCGCCCCATGCCGCAGGTGGCCGCCCAGTGCCACATGGTGCTGGTGCTGCGCCGCGCCAGGCACAGCAGGTACGCGTCCGACCCGAAGGCCTCGTCCCTGCCAAGAGGGGTACTTAGTATACGTCTAGACAAGCGCACTGTGAAAATTTGTTGTCACTTTATGACAAAAAAAGTAGATGATATTTTCATCACTTTCACACGATGACAATCTCGTCACAAATTGATAATATTTTCATCAAAGCCCCTTTACTTTTTGCATGGGCGTAACAGCAATGTCTTCAATTTTGTTTCATGACATATTGTTAAGGAAAATAAGCACTGAAATTGTCTTCAAGTGACGACTTAAATTTTCACAATGCAAGCGTCTCTAGAAGTACACTGAGATTCCAAACGCTATGAGTATAGCACGTATGGTGCAATGCGCTGTGATATCGCACCATACGTGCAATGCCACAGCCATATTGCACCTTTGGTGCAATGCTTCCCGAAAAGGCCCTATGCTAATGCATGGGAAATGGGAGGCATTGCACTTCACGTGCAATGCTTTTGCATTGCACCAATTGACGCTATACTCATAGCGTTTGGATTCTCAGTGTAAGATAGACAAGTATTAACTGGCAGAGCAGAAACAAGGCAATCGTAACTGCCAGCGAGCAGACCCAAGACAATCCTAACTAAAAAACGGACGTAAATGTTGATGTCATTGATGATTTTTATTTTCAATTATTGTCAGTAAAAAAAAATTAACACTTCTAAGAAAATTAAAATCACACTTCTTTTTAACAATGTAATTCCCCTGTTGCGTCATTTCTCGCGCTCAGCGTATTTTACGTTTAACCGTGGGTGTGATTTCTATCTTTTCACCAAGGAATGGCAGTCCTCCTGGACGGGTCTGGCCGTGAGCTGCTGTGGTTGACCGTTCTATGCGATGGAACACCGTGCGTGTCTACGATGCTGTCCGACCCGGCAGTCATGCGCTTCGTGGCTCCGCGCTGCGGGAGGCTGACCATGCTGGTCAAAAACGTGGCCATCGCCCCGGCCTGCTTTTTCAGTCTCCATCGACAGCTGATGGATCCGGCAAGTGCGTGGAACGATGCAGCCAACAATCTCGTCAACGACTTCAACGTGATCTACGTAGGCTGGCAAGAGGAAGTGTCCAGGTGCGTCCGACTTGTGTGTTTTTTTCCTTAACTTTTAAACCTTTAGAGACAAAGTCTAGGTGATCAGAAAGGATGCAAACTGACTGCGTAGTAACTGTACCGATCTGTACACTTATCAGACGGTACAACCCCCTTCCGTCAAGAATTACATGAATGTGACAGCTAGCTTTGTGTAAAGACGCCACAAATAATAGAAAACCCTAAAATTATGTTATCAAGCGGCAACTTTAATGTGTGTATGCACAGTGAAAATGTTCCTAACGTTAAGTACTAATAATACATCTTTTTGGCTGAGCGATAGCGAAGCCCGTTACTCAGGTGGGGTTGAAAAGTTTTGTCTGTCTGTCTGTGTGTCTGTCTGTCAGCACTACTCCTCCTGAACGGCTCGGCCGATCTGGCTGAGATTTTGCACACTTTTTGGGTATGTCCTTGGCTCGGCACACGCGAAATTACACTATCCTAGCTCAACTGGTTCAGTTTTTATAGCCGAAAATCACCTAAAAAACGGCGAAAATCGAGTTTTCTGCCGGCAAATATCTTTTGCCTTGAAGAAAGGGGGGTCAGGGGGGCAGAGCCCCCCAGCCCCGGCAAGTTGAAAAGTAACAAGGGTCAAGATCGTGTTATCTGTGGATGAAGCAACTCTATCTGGAATGAAGGGGGGTCTGCGGGGCGGAGCCCCCCAGCATGCAACAATTTAGAAGTAACCGACGATGGGCAAGCCATGGCCTGCCGAAGGCAGGCTAGCGCCGCAGGCCAAGGTAGGTCCGCCAGGCGCGGATTGGAGGAACAGGCAGCGAGACATCGCGAAGCCTGTTACGACAAGACGCGGTCTGGCGTAAACCTACCTTGTAGTAAAGAAGTCAGTTAACTCTAGTTGAGAATGCAGAGGCTGCGAACTGACTCGTTGCAGTCAGTCCTTTACTACCTAACGCACCTGGGGTATAAATCGATTCATGTCGTCCCAGGGGCGTAAACCGTTTACACCCCGTTATGGCGTGCTGGTAAAACTAAAGCGTGGTATTACCTTCTATCTAAATGCCTGGGGCAATTTCCAGAGTGTGCTTCATTTCAAGCGTAACGTCTTCAAGCGTCACTTCATGCTTGACTCGAGCATAGAGTCACGCTTTAGTTTTACCAGTGCTTTATACCTACGATTGGTCATTCATGCCGAAAATTGAAAGCGGGGCGTTTGCAGGGATGCGTCGACGGGGCGGGCGATGCTGGTGGAGCCCACTCGGCAAGACGACGGGCGCGCCGTCCTGGTCAGCGACCCCGCTGCTGCTGCCGCGCCCCGCACCAGGTTCCGCCTCTCCGTGTCGCCGGCCGCCAGGGACTGCTGCAGCACGCCGACGGACCTGAGCCGCGCCACGTGGCAGCGAAAGACCGTCCCGCAGGCCGCGCCCCCGTTGAACGTGATCCTCGCGAGGGCGACCGGAGGTCTGCTAGACCTGCAGCTCCACCAGTCGAGCCTCATCAGCGAAGTCAAGGACCAGATTCGGTGCCGAACCTGCGTGTCGTTCGAACGAAACGGGTTGTTTTGGCGCGGCGAGGAGCTCCAGAATGCGAGGGCTGTTGGTGATTACCCGATCCAGAACGGCGACTTACTCGAAGTCAAGCCTGCGGGCGGCGTACAACCCGCAACCCCGACGCCGGGAGCCCTCCGCGCGGTGCCGTTCGTGTACCCCGACGCGCAGCACTTCCCCGACGACTTCAGCCTTCGAGAGGAGTCACGGGCTTCTGGCTGCCCCACGCCATACACGGCAGCGGCCTCCTTGACACCAGGGCAGGGGCCAGAGAGCGAGCCGAGGCCCAGGCACGACCAGCGCGGCCCCCACCTCATGTTCGAGGTGTTTTACCATTGGCCATCATAGCAGCTGATTTACAAAATCTGATGCTTCTAGAAGTTTAATATTTTCCATTTTACATGTTTTGTATCTGCTCAAACTACTTTAATTTAACTGTCGCTACATGATGTATCTCCACTCTCGAACACATACTCTCAGCCTCTTATTGACTTTATCGCCAGTAACCAGGAACTTTTAGCCAACAACAATAATACAGTATGTAGTATTTTCGTCTATAAAACAATTTACGGGATAAAATTATCTAGGATTTATTTTGGCCAATATGAACTTACAAAAAAAAGATGAGAACGAAAGAGAAAAGTACTGATTACTGTTGAACAAAAAACCAGAGGTAGTGTCGACAAAATGCCAATACCATGTAGTAAAAAAGACAAAAGGGAGTCTGAGAGTGCAAGTTCAGTGTCACAAAAGACTTTTCCGGGCAAAGCTTCTTGTCCAATGTTCGAATATTTTCACCGCCACACTTTCAGATCCAGCTGGCGAAATGGCATTGAACTCGGTAATGTCGATACTCCAGTTAACACAGAGTTTAATTCCCTTTCATCATTAAACGAATGAGACATTTTGTCACGTTCGTTTCAACGTGATGTCACTTTCCTGGAATGGACGTGTTGGGCACTGCCCAAAAACTTTAGCCTGAAAGGGTCTATTCGGAAGTGGGAGTACGGAGTACAATTAAATAAATGGCTGAGCGAAATGCTGTTAAAACAATTTAATCATTGAAGAAGGCATGTCCGTGAGAAAGGCTGGAAGACAGCATGTACATTGAATTACAGATCTAATGCATATTTCTACTCAACTGATGAAGATGTCAGGCCCCCAATGATTTACATCACATGGACCTCCCACGGGGTGACTGAACAGAGTGAATTCAGTTTCTTCTTCTGTTAGCGGGAAAGGGCAGTGGCTACACTCGATGATTTCTTCTTCTTCTTCATTCGATGCAACCAAGACTATAAGATGCAACCGCGGGTTCCTCCGCATAAGCATACGCACTCGCTCACTGTGGATTTGCTCGTGCGTGAACTCCCGAGACGTGCACACCTCTAGCTCTCGAAGGTTTGGCAGCACTCGCCCGTCCAGCGCCTCCAGGAACTCGTCCGACGGCGCGCCGTCAATTTTGAGGTATCGAAGGTGCGGAAGTCGATGGAGAATACTGGCCAGAGGCTGCAGTTGCAGTGGAGGGTCCCAGTCGACAGATGGAGTATCGTCCTCATGGGCGACACAGAACTTCAAACTTCGCAGCGTTGCAGGTGATGCCCCCGTGCCGCCCAGGGACTGCACCAAGCTCACCGCGTCGTCGTCGTCCGGGTTCTCGGAGAAGTCCAGCACCAGCTCCTCCAGCACTAAGACCGCCGAGCTGAGGAACGCCCGGACCCCGGGCAAAGTATGCCGGTTCGAGTCGGTCAGTTGGACGTCCAGGTGGAGATTCTCCAGTGACGGGCACGGCAGCAGAGAATGCATGTCCTCCAACAAAGGGCAGGTAAGGTCTCGCAAGCGGGGCAGGGACGAGAGCAGGGACGCCACGCGAGCTCCAGGCGAATCTGCCATGAATGACACCTCCTGGTAGACAAAGAGTCAGCGTTTCAGCACAGAGAATTTTAAGTAGCACACGCCCAATTTCATGAACTGCATACAGGTTTTGTCTAAAAGTGAATCTTGTCACGTAAATTTAAAAATATTTAACTGTGAACAAATTTCGTGAACAAAAGCTGTGAACAATTCATCCCTTTCCGTTTGGTTTCAATATCGTTTTTACAGAAGCACTGTTTTTGGAGTGAGACACCCCCTTAAAAACACTGTGATCTCCGTTTTTTTAAGGGGGACTCTAGTGAAACTTTCAGGCAGGCTTTTAAATAATCACAGAAAGTTGAAACTTTGCTCAATTATTAGATTCATTATAGTGAGTTCCGAAAACAAAACTCAATCCAAAATGTTTGACGGTCTCTGAAAGGGTCTAGGACAATTCGTCCCCGAAAATTGGTCCCCGGACTATTCGTACCCCCCATTTCGTCCCCGGGACAATAAGTACCCGACACTGTTCGTCCCCCAAATATAACTGGTCCCTAGACAATTTGCCTCTAAACACACTGAAAGAAAAAGTGTGGATAGTACAACAAAAGTACAACAAAAACTGTAGAATGAAAGTACAACAGGGATTTAGAAAGTACAACGAGAATTGTACAAACCACAACGATCCCTCACAGCACTCGTCATGCCGGTTCCATTGTACTTTGTACAACAATTGTTGTACTTGAAAAGTACACTAAATCCCTAAATTTTCATTTGTTTATTTCAAAACTGAAAGAAAGAACAGGTGCAGCAAAAGACTTTTATATATTTCCCGTCACGTTGTGGCCGATGGCGCGCAGGTAGCACAGGATGCCGTCTTCCTCGTTGTCGTAGCTACTCACTAAAAAGTTTCTAGCTGATTCGCTCCTAGTGGTGCAAATTTCGCACTTTCGCAGTGTGAAAATGGACCACTCCTGGAGGTGCTAATTTTGCACTACAGAGTGCAAAGTAGTAAGTCGGTAGCACTCCCCAGTGTAAAGGTGGAACCGGGGTAAAAAACCCCAAAAGGTGCAAACCCCCCCCCCCCCCCCCCCCTAATAGTTGATTTTTACTTTTTGAAGTGCAATTGAGTAACTCCCCCCCAAGGTGGACCGAGATCTGGGAATGGGTCACGGATTCGGTTCAAACTTTGGGGTTCAATAGGTACCACTAGGACCTATCAACCCACAAAGGAAAGTTGGCGAGCTCAAACAGAACCTGAGATATTTGCATTTTCTAAATTTGACTAATTTAGCGTAAAATTGTCGCTTTCTGACTTTTTTTTTTTATGGTAATAGTTGTTTGCTTAGTTCTGGCTTATGTTTCTTCTTTCTAGTCGTAAAAAAGAAAAAAAAAGGGTGGTGGGCCAATTTTTGTACGTTGCTTGGTTTGGCCTCCCAAAGCAATTTTGTTGAATTCATCGAAACTCTCATACCCAAAATACTCCACTTTGGATTTGGCCCTGATACGTCTCATTTCATTTCTTTTACTCCAATAAACAATTGCTATGTAGTCCCTAGCACCAACAATTCCATGTAAGCCAGAAAAATCAAAAACCATTTTCAATTTTCTACTTTGACCTATTTTGGGCACTTTTGTCAAGATTGGGGCTTCTACATGATTTTTGGGTACAGGAAAGATCCTCCCCTGCCCTAAATTTAAATATATAAACCAAAAAAAAGAGCCCCAAAATTTGCACAAAAAATTTATAAGGAAATTGTTTCGAGCAAATTTTGCAAGTTTACGAGGGGTGTGAAAAATTCAAATCGGGGGAAAAATGTAATGCTTCACCCAAAAAGTGGATTTGTGGTTCATTAGTTAGCTTTCTCAAGTAGGTTTGGTGCCCTTATAACCCTGAGAATGTTCCTCCTTGATAATCAGAGTTAAAACCCTTTTTTGGTAGGGGGTTTTGGACTTACGATTTCAACTCATCAAAAAAGTAATGATCCATTTATTTAGGTTGCTTGCAATATGTAATTTTAAACCGCTTAGTCTCAATAACTGAGCCTGGTTTCTTTTGGGTTTGAAAATTTTTTTGAGACCAGCCAGATGACTAAGACTAAGCGGTTGAACTTACACGTTGCAAGCAACCTTAGTAATGGATCATTACTTTGTTTATGAGTTGAAATCGTAAGTCCAACAACCCCATACCAAAACGGGGTTTTTTAACACTGATTATAAAGGAGGAACGTTCTCAGATTTAAAAAGGGCACCAAACCTACTTGAGAAAGCTAACTAATGAACCACAAATCCACTTTTGGCTGAAGCATTACTTTTCCTCCGATTTAAATTTTTCACACCCCTCGTAAACTTGAAAAATTTTGCTCGAAACAATTTCCTTAAAATTTTTAGTGCAACTTGAGTTTGGGTCTCTTTGTTTGTGTTGATACTATCAAAATTGAGGGCAGGGAGGATCTTTCCTGTCACCCAAGATCATGTAGAAGCCCTAATCTTTACAAAAGTGCCCAAAATAGGTCAAAGTAGAAAATTGAAAAATTGTGTTTTTTATTTTTCTGGCTTTTATGGAATTGTTGGTGCTAGGGACTGTATAGCAATTGTTAATTAGAGTAAAAGAAGTGAAATGAGACGTATCAGGGCCAAATCCAAGGTGAAGTATTTTGGGTATGAGAGTTTCGATGAATTCGACAAAATTGCTCGTGAAGGCCAAACCAAGCAACGTACAAAACTTGGCCTACTACCATTTTTCTTCTTTTTTTTTATGACTGAAAGAAGAAAAAATAAGCCCGAACTAACAAACAACTTTTACCCTAGAAAAATCAGAAAGCGACAATTTTACGCTAAATTAGTCAAAATTTTGAAAAATGCAAATATCTCAGGTTCTATTTGAGCTAGCCAACCTTCTTTTCGGGGTTGATAGGTCCTAGTGGTACCTATTGAACCCACAAAGTTTGAACCGAATCCGTGACCCAATCCCAGATCTCGGTCCACCTTGGGGTGGAGTTACTCCTGGGATATTTCGCGATGTTAGGTTCTTCGGTAACTTCGGTAACCGGTCGTTCTCCCCCCGCCAAAAACCCCCAACTTTCGTGCCCTTGACGCGCGTAATTTAAACTTACGCGCCGCATGGGAAACAATAAGAGGCGAGAAACTTCGCACTTTTCCCAGGTGAAACATTTTTGCACTTACAAGTGCACTCACTCACCGACTTAGCACTTTTTGGGGCCATTTTCGCACTTAGAAGTGCAAACCGCTGATTGCACCGTCGAGAGTGATTTTGGCAGTTCGCACTGGCGAAGTGCGAATTTAGCACTGTCGGGAGTGGAATTTGGAAGGGAAATTTTTTGTGAGTAACCGGGCTCGCTTCCTAAATCCCTTTCTTTCCCCGGGTTCCGGTTTAATTTTTTTCTCGTTTTTGAATCGGTCATGACCATAATGCTCTAGTCCCGCCGTCACAAGGCTGGGTTTGTTTACGCCCCGTGGGGTCAGTTTCGGTACCTTGGGTAGAACGTTTGCGTAAAAT